AAAATATATGCAGTGGACAAATATGAAATGTCACATTCCAGGTACCCCCCTCCAAATTTGAGTATGGGATTGTAAATATTTTTTTATTTCAAAATGGAATACTCGTGTCAACTAAACGAGTAATATTATGATAGTTTACTGACATAAGAGCAACTAAAAATTGTTAACCAACTATTTGAGTGCAATAATTGGCATTTCTAGCGCCAAATATCTGAAAATAGGCCATCAAATAGCCCGAATTTAATATAACAATGTATTTATTTCTGTATCAATTCATCAGAATTGCATGAAAAATATCAAGGAGGGTATTGTACACCTGAACATTGTCTTTGATAAGTATCAGTGTCATTAAGTGAATATTGAGCGTGAAAATAATATTTGAAATTTCAATATTTTATTTTGGGGTGACCTTACTTTTGTTTAATTACTTCCAAGATATGTCATATTTGAACTCAATAGCACAACTAAATTATTTGTAAAGGCTTATTTTGTCCTGAAAACAGTTTTTGAGGTTTTCAGGAAAGGATTTTGTAAAAAAAGGTAAAAAAACAGCAAATGCCAAGTGAAATATAGGGGAAGCCCTACTTTTAGTTGATAACTGTTAAATTATCAAATGTTTTTTCCTTTTAAATTCAATTCGATATATAATATACCTTTTCTGGTAAAACAGAGAACGATTTGTTACAATCAGTGGTCAAAAAATGTCCTTGAAAAGGCAACAAAATGTTAAATATCCCTGTCCCTGACATCAGTTTATTAATATGAGCCAAAAAAGGTAACCCAACCAAATGTTTGTTAATAACCCAGTCATTCAGCATGGGTTTGACATCATATTTGGCACAATTACCTTGTTCAATGTTCTTTCATTCTACTAAGTGTCATTGATCTATCCTTAATAGTCACGATTTTATGGCCATTTACAAAATGTGCTCAAAATATCGAAATGTGCCTAACTGACTGGACATCAATACCACCAGTTTTTTTTATCTGTGGACCTTTTTTCGATACTAACAACACTTGAAACATTAAAACAAGAGATAAGAATCACCCTTGGTATACGCAGCTAACGAAAATTGACCGGCACGGGTCAAAAGCTGGACCGGCACGGGTTAACGGTTTTATTTGAATTTAAAACAGCCATAACTTGCTCAATATTGACTTCCTTGTGTCTAATTTGAAATATATGATGCCTCCCGATGCTTTTAAGTACCCCAATTTTTTACAGATTTTTAAACGGACCAAAACTCTCTAAATGCGCATTTATGCTCTTTTCTCTCGAGAACGACTGTCTCATTTTCACGATAACTTTTATTTAGTACTTCCAACATATAAGATCTATTTTTCCCCATCAAGGTATGATGTAAATGACATGCTATTTACATATTGTGAGTTTCAATGACGCGCGTTTGATTTTATAAAAAATGCCAAACTTTGTGACAAAGAATTTCATCAGCTATTGCCCCGAACCGGTCCGTCTTCTCTCTGCAAGCAGATTGCCCCGAACCGGTCCGTCTTCTCACTGCAAGCAGGATGAAATTCTTTGTCACAAAGTTTGGCATTTTTTATAAAATCAAACGCGCGTCATTGAAACTCACAAGATGTAAATAGTATGTCATTTACATCATACCTTGATGGGGAAAAATAGATCTTATATGTTAGAAGTACTAAATAAAAGTTATCGTGAAAATGAGACAGCCGTTCTCGAGAGAAAAGAGCATAAATGCGCATTTAGAGAGTTTTGGTCCGTTTAAAAATCTGTAAAAAATTGGGGTACTTAAAAGCATCGGGAGGCACCATATATTTCAAATTAGACACGAGGAAGTCATTATTGAGCAAGTTATGGCTATTTTAAATTCAAATAAAACCGTTAACCCGTGCCGGTCCAGCTTTTGACCCGTGCCGGTCAATTTTCGTTAGCTGCGTATACCAAGGGTGAGAATGAAGATGAGAGTCATAACACATGATTTTTATGCTCCTGATTTGAACAACAACGCACGATACGTTTAAGTTGGCCTCCAGGCATGACACCCATATTTCATGGCATGGTATAAAATGGCCATAAAATCGTGACCACTAGAGACCACTGAAACTGGGTAGATTGATAATACATTGACCAAGACTCAATTCTGCCAAATATGACACTAAAACCATGCAGGATGATTGGACTGGATTATTAAGATTTGTTTGGGTTACCTTTTTGGCTCGCCCTGTATTAAGGAAAAATTGTTACTTTTGAATAAGGTGTTCTTAACCACACAGTGATATTGAGAAATGAAATGAAGAAGTTCAACTGAAGAATGTTCGATTTCAAGATGAAATTCAATAAAAAATGAGGAAAAGGTTTCTACATTAATAAATCCTCCTGAGTTAACTAGTGTAACGCAAAGTAAATCCCTGGTCTTTATACAGGGCCTGGTTCGATTATGTTATGTTCATTATCAAAAATGCTGCCTTAATTTTGTAATCTTAACCTTCATATATGTGTCTTACTTATAGAGAGCAAAAAAGAATGCTGATTAAATAAGCTTAATACTATTATGTTGTAACAACAATCAGTTACAACATTGTCTATCACCAGCATTCATCAGGGGCGGATATGGGAACCAACAAGGTGGGGGGGGGGCAAATGTCAGGTCTGAGAAAAAAACTTCCGCGGAAAAAAATTTGGACCCCCTTTTCTGGCCTTTGCATATCTTACATGTCAAAGAACAGTTATTTCATTTTTCTACAAGAACATCTCATATAAATACAATCTGCCTTACACACACAATGGATGGTCTCTGAGAAAGGGAAGCTGCATTTAGGCAATTGGTACATAGTTTCGTTGCTTATTGCCCAGCCCAATTATAATGGAGGCAGTTTATTTCCCTCCCACTCCTGGATCTGATGGTACACTCTGTAACTGTGGTATTCCGCAGCATCAGAAAATGGAGGAAGAACACGGGGCTGCAATAATTCAGATCTTGCTGCTCTCTTTTAATAGAATTTTAGAAGCTTAAGATAATTTAGGGTTTCACCATTTTTCCACCATAAATTGACAAAAGAGCATGTTCCTCAGCAATGACAGAGTTGCTTGCATTTCACTGGTTTTCTACTTGTTTACGTTGTAACAAAATGTCGGAACATCGAAGGTTTGATTTTTCTTTTTTCTTTATTTCACACATTGTAGGCAGAATTCCCACAACATTGTTATCACAAACATGTATCAGTATTATATGTTTAAAAAATGTACATATTTGCGAACAAATAGTTCAGAAGACAACAGAATCTTCGATTTAATTCCTCACTTAAGTTACATAAACGGTATTTCGATAAACAATTAAGATCTGCACTTTTAACCCAAACCGTTTATTTAACTTAAGTAAGGAATTAAGTCAACAATTCTGTGAGAAAAAAACATCGTGGGGATTCTGCCTACAACGCGTGAAAAAAAGGAAAAAAGAAATATCGTACTTTCGACGTTTAGACATTTTGTTACCGAAACGACAAGCGTAATCGAGCGGATCACCAGTGCTTTTGGTAATTTAAAAACAACCGCTTGTTTTCTCAAGAACTCACTTTTTTTATCTGCCTCAATGATAGCCTCTTGTCTATGCCATATATTAACCTGAATGCGATGTCACACCCAAGAAAAGAAACAAAATATTGTCACAGACCACTTTTCCCAAAGAAAATCATTTATATTCCAACATTTTGTTTCTTGGGTTGCTGCTTTTGGTTCAGGTTTGAAGAAAATGTTGAAGTTTGTGTTTTGTGCATGATAAATGAGAAGCACAAGGAGATCTGTATGAGTACTGTATTTGAGGTTTGGACACTTTGGATTGCAGTTTTCACAATCACAATATCTGCATCCGATGTACACTCAATGTTTTCCAACCTGACAGACAGAATTACCATCATTCCTATGCACTGAAATTAGACTCCCCAGATATCTGAGATTTTAATGTTCTCTGTCAGTTTAAATTCCGTTTAATAACCATAAATTCGTTTCTACAGCATTATACATCCAATTGATAGTTCCATAGTAATGTACTCTTAAATAATGATTTATTTATCTGATGAATTTAAATATATGCAAATTTTGTAATTGCGGATTGTAATTAATAATTTAAACAATATTAAATTCCACAAAAACTACAACTTACATTATTTAGATAAGCCTAATATAGAGCAGTTATCAAATACCCTAATATCAGAGTGGTGATATGTAATTATTCATCAAATAAAAGTGAGGTCACCTTAACATTTCACCTGGTGCAACTAATAATTCCTATTTTTCATACTAATAAGGTATAAACCTTCACAAAACTTGTATTTTAGATGATGACAAGTCTATATAAATGATTTAGATGTCAACTCTAATACAAATGTGATGCATTGTTGGAGTTAATCATCAAAACTATAGTCTCCCCTATAATGGGCGGGGCAAAACTATGAAAATGAAATAATTTTTTTCTTCCTAAGTATACACCTTAGAATTCTGACACTCACCAAATATGAAGTTCATATGAATATATAACACCATGATTTTTTTCATGCTTTTCTGACAAACCGATCCTAAAATATCTAAATAGATATGTGATAACATGCCTGTTTTATGGCCTATTTTGTTATACTTTGGGGTCAAATGACTAATTACTGGTCTCAAAATTGTTTAAAATAATATTTTAATTATTTGTGAATATGTGATCTATCATAATAAAGCTTGAATACTTGACTAAAGTATTCCATTTGGGAAGAAAAAATTGTTTCCTACCAATACTCAATTTGGGGGTAGGGTTGTAGGGGGTACCTAGGAAGTGAAATTTCATATTTGTCCACTGCATACATTTTTCTATATTTTTGATATGTTTTTCAACTGATATTAATACATAATATAAGACTAATTTAAAAACTGTTGCAATTTTTGGGATGTTTGGGCCTTTTATGAGCCCATTTGCTTGGCCTAGTATTTCTTACTTTATATTCAATAATTTTATTTGAATAGTATTCAAGTAAAATCAGGTCATATTAACTGTGTATTAACAATAAGTGCAATATTCAATATCAGAACAACAAAGGTGAATATATTCGTAATTATAAACGTAAGTTGGGTACAGGCTAGTCCATAACAATCTGCACTGCCAATCATTGAATGCGCATCATACATGTAGACTAGTCAAAATATAGCTGGGTAAAAATCAGGTCTTATTACCGTATATTAACAATAAGTGCAATATTCAATATCAGAACAACACAGGTGAATATACTCGTAATTATAAACGTAAGTTGGGTACAGGCTAGTCCATAACAATCTACATTACCAATTTTTGTATGCGCATCATAGACTAGTCCAAATATAGCTGGGTATAAAAAACTAAATATTGTGGAAACAAATAAAATGAATCCCCAAATACGACCAAATTTCTTTTTGCTAAATAGGTCGCTTAATATTGCTATAACAAGCACAAACACACATGAATGAGCCATGGTAATAACAATATTTGATACATGTAACGCTGTTAAGTTAGTTCCTAAGCTAATCAGCAATCCTTGACCTACAACAAAACCCATGTTGGTGATCAGCAAAAGAATAGGTTTCTGTATCTTTCCCTTTAGCAATTGAGCAAGCACAGCTAAGATAAAACGTGCCAACATCCCTGCAATCGGGCGTAGAATTGTAAATATGGCACTGTATGCCTCAAGTCTGGCAGATTTCAAGATTGCTGTGATATTTATTAAATACACAAAACCTATTGGCGAGATAATACTTTTTAACCAAAGAATTATTTGGAAGTTTTTGGTCAAAAAAATCCTTTTGAAATCCAACCAGGTTTCTTTGATCATTATATATATCAAGGTCTCATTGCTTGTTTCAGCATCTTCAGAATGAAAAAGTTCCGTAGATTCAGATTCATCTCCAGCTTCAGTAAAGATATCCTCTAGATCATGCTCATCTTCAGTTTCAGCTGCAATATAGTTATCATCTTTATCACTTTCTTCATCATCTCCATCATTGTCTGACTGAGGGGCAATTCGTAGGAAGGCAGCGCAGCAACAGTTTGCGATACTTGAACCAATCTTTAGCATCAAAATAAAGCCTGACCAATTTTGGTTCTGTTCATCGTATATGTGGGCATTTGTAAAATAACTAGCGTATAAGATAGCGAATACTAAAGCACCTCCCCCAAAGCATGATTCCAGAATGGCTAAAGCTTGAACACGATGTTCGCTGGTAAAGTTTGCTATAGTGGTTGTCAACGCTGCCATATATGTGTAGGACACTCCATGCCCAATTATGAAGAAATATAACTTTAACACTCCTGCTTTGGAAGTGTAAAACTCAATGCTCTTCATTGTGCTCCATATCACATGTTACAGGGTGTCTGGAAAGTAAAGATACAAATGCTCTTATTTCAATAGATTTACCTGTTGAGAGATGAAATTGCTACAGATTGTAGAATGACATTGTAACAATTTATCCTGCAACCGTCATGACAAATTGTCTCAAAATAAAAAAGTTATGGTTGTTATGGTAACAGGAGTAGCGGGTATGTGGAGCAGCGTCACAATCATGTTTTATAATTCTTTTCTTCAGTTCATATCATCTTGACACTTGGTCATCTGTTGCTATTATACATCAAATTATGTACCACAACAGCAAAAGGATTAGTACTGTAACATTATTTAGTCATTTGGCATTACTTCTGTTATCAAGTATTATGTATTTCCCACCATTATCTTAACATTCTTGGTGCATTTTGACCGGAGTCAATTCAATTGTAATTTGCAAGATTTGTTTTCTTTGATTTGTGAATTAGTCCATTGACTGTAGAGGTGTAGAAATGACTTTTCTATTAATCCAGGGACCCTTTTTCTAAGCACGTGTATACTTTTTCTTTGATTATACTAGTGACATTATATAGTTCTGATATGTATCAATGATATCAGTAAACTAAAGAGAATACTATTGCAGCAAGAATACAATATTGAACAAAACAAAACATTGATAGGAAATACAATAATAAACACTGTTTCAAATGGTTATATTTTAGCAATTTATCCCAATTTAGTGTTATCCTGGAACTGCTCCGCATACCCCTCATCACCGTAACCATGACAACCGTATAACTTTAACACGTTAAGACTATATGTTATAAAAGTTGGTAGATGTATTGTAATAAAGTTCCTCTACAATCTGTAGCAATTTCATTACAAAACAAGAACACAAATGTGTACAAAATGTCCCCACCAAGTGGTGATCCCGTCAAATGGTTATCCTGAAAATGAGTAGACAAGACTTTACCAACACAATTTGAGGACGGAAAATCCAAAGTGGCCACCTTAAAATTTACCCAGAATGCCAAAAATTTAGTCAATTCTAGATTTTCATACTAAGAACCACCCCTGAAAATTTGAAATTGATCCGTCACACAGTTAACCAGAAAACATGTAAACAAGACTTTACAGACAAGATTTCAGGATGGAAAATCCAAAATGGCTGCCTTGACATTAACCCAGAATGTCAAAAAACTAATCAGTTTGTAGATTTTCATACCAAGAATCATCCCTGAAAATATGAAATTGATCTACCAAACGGTTCACCTGAAAACAGGAAGACAAGACTTTACAGACAAGATTTTAGGACAGAAAATCCAAAATGGCTGCCTTAACATTTACGCAGAATGCAAAAAAACTAATCAGATGTAGATTTTGATACAAAGAATCATCCCTGAAAATTTGAAATTGATCTATCAAACCGTTCACCTAAAAACGTGTAGACAAGACTTTACAGGCAAGATTTTAAGACGGAAAATCCAAAATGGCTGCCTTGACATTTACACAGAATGCAAAAAAACTAATCAGTTCTAGATTTTCATACTAAGAATCATTCCTGAAAATTTGAAATTGATCTACCAAACAGTTCACCTGAAAACGAGTAGACAAGACTTTACAGACAAGATTTTAGGACGGAAAATCCCAAATGGCTGCCTTGACATTTACCCAGAATGCCAAAAAACTAATGAGATCTAGATTTTTATACTAAGAATCATCCCTGAAAATTTGAAATTGATCCACCAAACGGTTCACCTGAAAACGCGCAGACAAGACTTCACAGACAAGATTTTAGGACCGAAAAATCCAAAATGGCCGACAATAAAAAAGTCCTTATGAGTTTTTGCTCATTTCTTTTTACAAAATTATCACATATAACTACTGTTAACAATAAAGTAGGCTTTTACAACAAAGTACATCTGAAATTATTTATAAAGCTACTAAATAGTTGAAGTATGAAAACTCAAAAACACCATTCAATATGATATAAAGTATTATCGCGCGCTAACTTTTCTTAAGACATTCAAAATGGCTGACATGACTGAGCTAGCAGGTCCAAAACCTAATCAGATCTAGAATGAAGTGAGCTGAACAAGATGTTCAAGTTTTAAAAGCAACTGTGAAGCAGTTTTTCTTAAAGTTTGCAGACAAGGATTTTAGCATTTGACTTCAAAATGGCCGACAGGAAGTAGGTTTCGAGTTAAATTTTTTTCATCCACATCTATAGGCACTCATAAGTTATCCCTGAAAATTTGAAGGTGATATCTGTAGCGGTTTTGGAGAAAACTCCCGGACGTACGGACGGACGGACGGACGGACGGACAGATGGACGGACGGACGGACAGACAGTCGGACGCGCCTAGGCCGACAATATGGCCCCACACTATGTGGTGGGGACATAAAAACTAAATCTCTTTAAATAAGAGTATTTGTATCTTTACTTTCTGGACACCCTGTATGTTATGTTGTTTTTAGTAGCCATTAGATAAGAATGCAAAGTCACAAGCAATTCAACTATATTCACATAAAAATACACAGTACATTTATACACTGGCATGTAGCGATTATAGCGATACTGGATACTTTACTGAATTGTGTCAAAGTTAGACATGGGGTGCGGAATTTATTATGCAGATGACCATCATTTCAATGTTATTGCATGCAGGCAAATTGAGATTAGGCCATTAGAGTATTAATTTCAAGCATACATAAAGCATTTATCATTAACCTCTTGAATCCCAGGCTCTAAAATCGGTTGAAACCAGAGGCTTTTCATTTTTTCCCATCTTATACAACTTGAGATGCTCAACTTAGTAAAATTAGATGGCAGAGAGCATTTCTACATATTTTAAACAAGTTTTGTGAAAATTGGATGAAAATTGTAAAAATAAGAGCAATTTTAGTGAACATTTTTGTGACGGATTTTCTCGTCACTCTGGGTTTCAAGGTCATTTCTGAGGTGACGAGAAATCTTGTCACTCCAGGTAGTCAAGAGGTTAAACCAATAACTCAAACATACGAGGGGTGATCCAAGTCTTGGACGGCCCCGCTCTAACTTTGCTATTTTCTAATAAAATAACATGAAACTTTTAGATAAAAACGATCAACATCTTAACAACTTTGTGTATAAGTTTCACCAGAAAATAATATATTTTAGCTACTTTTCTAATAATTTTTTAATATTGGGTCCCTGCCACCCAGAACAGTATTTAAATACAGCAAATCACGTCACAACTGTTAATATGGCAAATACTTTAGGTACAGGTGCACAACCTAACACCAGTCATGATATGAGAGAATTTCTGATTTTTAAATCTGAGTGTCATCTGCCATCATCATCTTCACATATTGAGAACTACTTTTCAACATATTTTCCACAAATTTGAACTCATTTTTCACACCGCTTTACCCATGAATGGAAGACATTGCTTATGTGATACAAATGCTACTGGTGTGCTACTCTAAACCTCATCGAATGAGTAAAGAGCATTTTCTTTCAACCCTCCTTTCAACTTCAGAAAAGGAAGAAAATAATAGTGAGAATATCTTGTACAGGGTGTCCAAAAAAACAGGACCGTAAGAAAAATGAATAATTCGGTCAATTTTGCATATTTTGCCTTGAAATTTTAGAATTATTTAGTTCATTCAATGTGAATTTTGTTCTGTAAGTTTGATCATTGTGTCAAAAACTACAGTACTTTACAAAACATGCTCAAAGTGGGCACTTCTCTCTATGCACAAACGAATCCTGCGAACAAAGTTGTTAATTACCCTGACCTATACACATTAATGCCTAACTCGTATTTTTTGCAAGGACTCGGATGGATGGATATTCTGCCATATGACTTGCGGCAAACCTACCATTTCCCATTGGTTAACATGGGAATGTCGATTTTCAAAAATTCATCAAATTTATCATCAATTTTCGACCTATTGTAATTGAGGAAAAAAATTGAGAAAAATTTGGAGGTATTGGAATTAAAGTCAAATTAGGTTTCCATCAACAGTATAAGTATTTTCATCGCAGGTTAAGTAAATAAAAATTCAAAGTTAAAGAGGCTTTAACACGTAGTTCAATGGGGGAAAAAAGGTTGCCAAACTTATGGAGGGGAGTGTATTATACAAATATTTAATTCGATTGAGGTGAATACTTGTGCATCTTTCACAAATGATATTCCAAGAAGCCAGAAGGGCTAGTGGATTATCATCTTGTGTCACAGGTATTCACCAAAAACAGAATTAAATATCTGTTTTATTATTCACTTTTATATTCCTCACTCACATTAATGAAATAAATGTGAAATGAACTATTGATGTCTAATTAATCATAATTATGTTCATCAAGGTATATATAAAATTAAAATTACACTGGACTAAGTTGTGACTGGTGCATATCATTTGATATTCAACGAAAGTCATGGCTTTTTATTTTTAGTCACTTGTAGGACATGAACCAATCAGGGTGAGGAATATGACAGTGATATAATAATAAATAATATTCAACTAAAACTTAAACAAAGTCTTTCTTCGCTTTAGTATGTATACATTGTATTCATGTATTTCTTACTTTATATTCAATAATTTTATTTGAATAGTATTCAGATAAAATCAGGTCATATTAACCGTGTATTAACAATAAGTGCAATATTCAATACAAGAACAACACAGGTAAATATACTCGTAATTATAAACGTAAGTTGGGTACAGGCTAGTCCATAACAATCTACATTGCCAATCTTTGTATGCGCATCATAGATTAGTCCAAATATAGCTGGGTATAAAAAACTAAATATTGTAGAAACAAATAAAATGAATCCCCAAATACGACCAAATTTCTTTTTGCTAAATAGGTCGCTTAATATTGCTATAACAAGCACAAACACACATGAATGAGCCATGGTAATAACAATATTTGATACATGTAATGCTGTTAAGTTAGTTCCTAAGCTAATCAGCAATCCTTGACCGACAACGAAACCAATGTTGGTGATCAGCAAAAGAATAGGTTTCTGTATCTTCCCCTTTAGCAATTGAGCAAGCACAGCTAAGATAACACGTGCCAACATCCCTGCGATCGGGCGTAGAATTGTAAATATGGCACTGTAGGCCTCAAGTCTGGCAGATTTCAAGATTGCAGTGATATTTATTAAATACACAAAACCTATTGGTGTGATAATACTCTTTAACCAAAGAATTATTTGGAAGTTTTTGGTCACAAAAATCCTTTTGAAATCCAACCAGTTTTTTTTGATCATTATATATATCAAGGTCTCATTGCTTGTTTCAGCGTCTTCAGAATGAAAAAGTCCTGTAGATTCCGATTCATCTCCAGCTTCATTAAAGATATCCTTCAGATCATCCTCATCTTCAGTTTCAGCTGCAATATATTTATCATCTTTATCACTATCTTCATCATCTGCATCATTGGCATCTGACTGAGGGGCAATTCGTAGGAAGGCAACGCAGCAACAGTTTGCAATACTTGAACCAATTGTTAGCATCAAAATAAAGCCTGACCAATTTTGGTTCTGTTCATCGTATATGTGGCCATTTGTAAAATAACTAGCGTATAAGATAGCGAATACTAAAGCACCTCCCCCAAAGCATGATTCAAGAATGGCTAAAGCCTGAACACGATGTTTGCTGGTGAAGTTACTTATTGTGGTTGTCAACGCTGCCATATATGTGTAGGACACTCCATGCCCAATTATGAAGAAATATAGCTTTAACAATCCTGCTTTGGAAGTGTAAAACTCGATGCTCTTCATTGTGCTCCATAGCAATAAGTATCCTGTAGATGTGAGAATTAATCCAATGGCTGACGTAACTTTAGGTCCGAACATATCCTGGACTATCCCAGCTGGGATTGCAGTATGAAATCCAAAATGTGACATGGCAGCCATCATATCAATGTCACTCTGTGTGTAGTTGAAGGTGTGTTTCAGTGCCAGTGAATATACATTGAAAATGAACAGACTTCCACACCAGAATTTAGCCATACATGCTACAATCAATGATGTTATTGTAAAACACCTGAGGTAGCTCTTAGAGTATATTTCTGCCATCCTTCTAATGTCCAACCTAAATTCACATCAAACTTCTCAAGGCAGAACGCAAAATAATGTGAGGTTTATGGTTTATCCCATGCTATGTTATGCTATGTTTTTAGTGGCCATTAGATATGAATGAAAAGTCACAAGCAATTCAACTATCTTCACATAAAATACTAAAAGTACATTCATAGACTGACTCAATTTATGTGTGCTCACTACTGTGTAATAGAGCACAAAAGCTCTCAAATAATTTATATAAATGTATTATTAAATGTGTGACTACATACAAGTCAACAATACACGGCTGAAGGAAAGATGTGGACCACATGGGAACATATACAATGGTAAGTCCAACAATTCTTTCAAACAAGCTAGGGGAGGCATCAAAAGTTCGATGTCGGATAGGAAACTAAATAAATCTAGTTTTGACTCTGACCCCCCCCCCCCCTCCCCCCAAAACTAAATTCCATGAAAGTTGATCGCCGTCTTCCGGTTTGAGAATTTGAAAAAATATTGCTAAACATGATCTAGTTTTTGTTAATTCCTATTGTAATTTGCGGCTTTTAACAACTATTGATAGAATGATCTTGATGAAGAAAGCATCAGGTAAATCCTTATTTTTGAACCATTCCAAGGCATTCTGAGTCAAAATTGCCAAAAATTCGAAATGTTGAAATTTGGCGGATAGCAAACTGAAATAGGTTTGAACCCCCTCCCCCCTTACTAGATTTATTTAGTTTTCTATCTGACATCGAACTTTTGATGCCTCCCTTAAGTATGATCAGAAGTTTTCTATTTTCATGTTTATATCTCATCCCATATATGGTATATTTCTTTTAAAGGAAGGTGGATAAATAACACTTTGGAAAATATTTAAGTGTTTGGACATAAAAAGCCTGAGATTTGGGTCATCAAGTTCAGCATTTAGCATTTACGCCTCTATACTTCATGATTGAAACATTCACAATCACCTAAAAGGTGGCCATTCATCAAAACAGTACAGAATGTAGGTCAACAAGATACGGATGTACACATAAATGTAAGAAGTAAGGTAGTACTTCACAGTGTCTCAGCTTTTTTCTACAATTCATATTTTCTTGAAAAAATCTTGGTAAAAGATATACTGATGTAAAATTAGAAAGATTGACCGTTTAGTTATTTCTAAAAAAAATGTTTTAATTTAACATTGCTCTCAACAGGATATTCTTTCTCATTTTAAAAAAAATCCCACAATTCAGATTTTCTTTAAAAAATGTGGATCATTCTGTGGAACAACAAATGTATTTTCAAAAATATTTAAGAAAATTCATCGTCCCTTGGGAAAAAAATAATTGATTTAATTAAAATAATTAATTATTTAGTTATTCCAAATAATTAGTTATTCCATTGTATATAATAAACTAGAGGTATAAAGGTTCATATAAAGGTCTAAAACTAATAAATATAATTATGTGCAATACAAAAAGTATCAAGAAAATACAAAGTGGTTCCAAAAGGATGAAAATAAAAAGATAAAAATGAAAATAAAATTGTTACGGCGGGACTCGAACCTGCATACTCCCGCCTGGAAACTGAGCATAATATCTCTGAGCCACCAGAGATAGTAATGAACAGGAGTTATTTTTTAGTGTATATACAATATTGATATAGAAAGCTTGTGTGCCTAGCCCTAAGGGGTGTATTCGCCATTATTAAACCTGCTTTGAGGTCTATATTACAATTCGAACATAAAAACTCACAAAATGTTTCAAATACATGTATTCATTATGGTCTGCCATTACTACAGCCCTCAGTTATGATGTCACACATTACTCATATCACCAGTGGTATTGTTCACAAATATGCCCCTGGTGAAATGTTGACTTTGTTCACAGTTTATAGAAGGCGTGAATACAGTCATGTACGAATTATTATTATTTACTCAAAAGAGGATTTTCTTTTTCTGATTTTTATTGCATTAATGATTATTTAAGAGTCTAAAACTTCTTCAAAAGAAGAATGATTTGAAATTCTAGTTTTGAAGATCAATTCTCGATGCCAGAAATGCTGAAAACAATGGATAGCATGTGTTTTCCCAAGGGAAAATAACATTGGATTTGTGGTTGTGAACTTGGGGTCAAGCCAAGGTGGGGTCCTAATCCATAATTTTCCAGAGAGTTGGATTGATACTTTGACTTCACTTGAAAGAAAAGATATTGTTTTAATAAAAATCACTGTATTTATAGCTAGAAAGTACTCATGATGAAAGATATGACTGTCTAAAATCACTAAGCAATATGTCACATGGCCCTTTGAGTTCCAATTCGTAATTGTTCATATATAATATGATGCTGTTGCTTTCAGAATTTATCGCGGAATTCAGGACATCTTGCAGAATTTCTGCGAAAAATTTGCAATATGCAGAAAACTAGGATGTTTCCATGACATCTGAGATTTGTAGATTCACAAGAAAATTATACCTATGAGTATTGAAAACAAGGCATTAACATGCACAATGTCACAAGCTGCCATTTGTTCCAGACACTAACCACCAACTGTTAATATCAAACATCCTCCAAAAATGCAGATTATGAAAAAATTCCTGCTTGATAAAATCTGCTGTTCTAAATCATAAAAGATTTGTATTCAACGTGAATTACCAGATCCCCGATTACTGGGCTCCAAAGGATAGGTATCGATATGGTGAACTGAATTCAACAATGCCTTTCTCTTAAACTAATTATTGAAAACATTCTGGAAAAAAACAAGGTCCTTTATGTAATGTTGACTGATTGACAACAATTTAATGCGAAAATTATTTGGAAATATTTTATTTAACTGTTTTTGTTAACATTTTTTGTTTTTTTAGTGCAATTGTTTTTGCTCCTCTCTACCAATTCTTGAGAATGAAGTAAAATATCTTTCCGAACCTTTTTGGAACAAAATAGCATATACAACATGTTTTTAGACCTCTCAATATTATAGTTATACAAAGGAATTTTAGGTTGATTTTAAAAAAGTATTCAAAAAATTAAAACAAAATCTCCCCAAAATAGATAAAAATAAAGATAAAACTTTTATTTCATTCAAGATACTTTTTTAAAATCAACCACAATTTCCTTTGTACAATTACAATATTGAGAGACCTAAACATGTTGTATTTATGTTGTTTTGTTCCAATGAGGTTCGGAAAGATGTTTCATTTCACTCTGGAAACATGATACCAAGAACAAAACAAGTGTTTGATGTGTTTTCTAAAACAATATGGATGAAAGTGTATATATTGTTACCATTCAAAAGATGACCATTAAATTGACAATGTGTTAAATTTTTAGATATTTTTATGACTGGTTTAAGAGAAACATGTGTCCAAAAAGTTCACCATATTGATACCACTCCTTTCACAAGAATACATGTAAATGTAGAAGAGTATGACAGAAGGTTTAAAGGACATTTAAAGGTGCATTTTTGGCACAACTCTTATGTTTTTATGCATCCCAACCTTTGCATGGCCCTGGTGCAACATTTTGGAAAAAATTGCAACTTTCTTTGGTATCAGTATGACAAATTAATTTGAAATAGATAATTATAATGTAAGTTTCGAATTCTTGGTATACCCCAAATATTGTGGTCTAATGAAGCCATAAATATTTACGAAGATTGTGCAAAATCCGCAAAACCCTAAATCACACAAATGCAAAAACCTGGAAACATGTATAAAATTGTCTTACCATAGCTTTGATGCCTTCTGGGTAAAGGAATCTATTGTATAATGTGTCAACAGTGTCTTCTGGTGTGACATCACACTCTCGTTGCAACAACAAAGGACCCGTGTCAAGCCCATCATCCGCCCAAAATATACTGAAGCCAGCTTTTTTATCACCGCAGATCAGTGTCCTGAAATATAAATTTTTACTTCACTGAAGCTAAAGCAGATATATCAGGATTTTGGTAATGTTGGACAAAGACTTTCATTTGACCTCCATTTATTGGCATTTACTTATTCATAGATGCTGAATCATGGTATGAACAATAGTAATTTAAAGCTCTGAATATATTTGATGTTCGTAATAATGATATTTACATTGAATAACGGGATTATTTAGTTACCAATTTATAGCCGAAGCACCTCTATGTCGTGGCAATATGGAAGGGTGGTATATGATGGACTCATGTTTGGGATTTGTAATCACTTCCATAGGGATGAACTGGGAACAGAAGGGCATCACGTTGAGGTTCGCACCCACAGATTGGTACTGCTCAAGGACTTCTGGGAGAACTTGGCCCTTTTTACGCCATCTTGGAAATTTAAAGACACTAATGCCATCACTTTCAGCAGTTTGAGCTGTAAAATAATACAAATATTCATGGTCACAAGAATTTACTTTAAGAATTATCCTTTCATTTGTTTGTTAATTCATCTGTTTTTCATTTTTCATTCATTATGTAGGTCTAGTCCATAAAACTTAATTGCATGAAGAACTGATGCCACTAAAATTGCAAGGATCATTCAAGTTATACTTAAATTGAACATAAAAGAAACTGATGTCAAAAAGACCAAGTCATAACCCCTTAATACATTTTTGAAATGTGGAAAAGTATGTAATCTCTTTTGAATAACAAACTCATATTTATTTTGGAATTCTAAGTTGACAAAACAAAACGCAAGCACTGCTGCTTTGCAAATGTAATATAAAGACATTTGCAAATACATACTTGCTGAAGTTGTACAAGAGAATGAATATTAAGATTCATCAGACAAAGAAAAGGTTCAGACTAACTTGACGTGCTTTTACTGACGATTAAACCTGCCAAATGCGAACATTACTGAGATCAGCAAAAAGCATTAAGATATATAGGTATGCACAGGAATGTGTGATACATAATTTTCATGTACAACTATCATGAATATTGAATGACCACAATGAATCTATTGACCTTTGATACCATATACCCTTGTTTTCATTTCTATAAATCAGACATATCCTGTTCCATCCTGTTCTGCCCTGTTCTGTTCCTGTTTTGATAATACATGTACATGTAAAATTGTCTGACCTCTTATCAATCAATCCAATAATTAGGTACTATAGCTACTATACTGATTCTCTGTCTACCTTTAGAGCAACCTACTTGAATATCCTTCAACCACAGGGCTCCAAGATCCAGAATATCTGGGGAGTTTTGAAAGCCAGTCTTTGAAAAACGTTAACAGCTTTTATGAGACATGCTCCATTCTCATATGCCTTATCAATTCACAATAATTAATAATAATAATGTGAAATAATTTAAAGGGATAATTTGAGAAACAAAAATTGTACTTATTCAAGAACTCTACAATAAGATGAAAACCGGGAACGTCTGTTGTCATGGCATCAAATTACACAATCCCCGTCCATCACTTACCTAAAGGGTCGGCCCTTCCTTGTATATCAGGTATTGTGAATACACCAACTATTTCATGCTTCTGTTTGAGAACTTTATACACCTCAGCACCAAACTGACTCTGCCCAATCAGAGCAATTTTCAGTTTATCCCATGATACCTGAAAATAAAATAGAGGAAAAGTCGAAATAGAAATGAAACCATTGATTTTATCGAAGATCGAAAGCTAGAAATTTTCAAATATTGGATCAGGACCCTTCATGCATTTACCTATTCCCTCAGTCTCTATATCAGGGAGGAAATGAAGGGGGGGGGGTTAAAGGGTCTATGAAGCGGAAGGTCCTGGGTTTGATTTCTACAAGGGGCATTGAGTTTAGCATACTACTTTTCATGTCCAGAATCTTGCTACTACAGTGTGTCTCCAAAAAAATGTTACACTTACAAAAAGTTCAATATCTTTCATGATTTTGACTTTTCCCTAAAATATACTAAGATACCATAAGACCAGTCTTTCTCGAATAAATTCACACCATCAGATTCAAAATCCGTCCAAGATTGGCTGCACAGGACAGATTTTATAGACGCATGTGAAATCTGATTTGCGCCAACTTCTCAGTGGCTGGACATGTGGTGATCAATTCCTTTTTGGTGTGAATGCTGTGGACAGTGATATCTGAATATGATCAATGATCCAGTTGTTTCTTTCCTGGATAGAAATACAAGATTTCATTGTCAGAGTGTTCAATTTTGTTATGATGGCAACAGGATGGTGAAAAGGCCTGTGGCAGATTGTTTGGTAGAACTCTTTGGAAATTAGAAGATAGCATTGAATTACCCCCAGGGTCATCCCACCACTTTACACCCTTGAGTTTTTGAAGGGCCTCTGAAAGTGGTTTACAGCATCACAAACTGACCTAAATGAACTTCTGAAAAATTAATTGATAGAATCAAAGTGATATTACAAGTCATGCGCGCATGGGGAAGGGTACCTCAAGTTTAATTTGGAGAACATGTTGAGGGGACCACATGTTTATGTCTTATACCCAATGATCATATGTACTTGACAAATAGGAAAATTACAAAATGACTCAGTTTAATGTCAAGCTTCTACTCAGAAGAAAGTTAAATATTAACCTTTAGCGTGCTGCCGGCGAACGCGTCCGCCGAGACTAAAATGTCTCTCACAACTGCCGGCGGACCCGTACGCCCAATTTCAAACTTTTAAAAACTTTACTTTTTCGCGCCATTCGTATTGTCCAATTAGATTGCCCGATTTATTCAGTGCCTAACATGACTTCCTGTTGACCTAAAAATGGCGATATTTCGAAAAATAATTCTCAATTCAACAATTTAAACAGTGTTTTAGTCGTTTTAAGTGAACAAATCGTACAAAATGGCGGACAAATACGATCACAACGAAAATGTGGAGGAAATGGACTACGATTTCAAGCTCTTTAGGCTCTTGGAAGCCGATAATGGTCATCGAAAATAGAAACTAGAATATTTTCTGAATTGAAAAATTGAACATTCGATCGCTGCAAATTCAGATTTGAATTCTGACCAGACGAAGGGGCGGAGTGGCGGATTTCGGAGGAGTATTCATGGTATATTTATGCCCAGTCATGTTATTGTACGAAAAATATTCATTAGAACATTTTTTTCATGAGCCAGGCCACTGTATCTTCCCTTTGTGAAAATTTTATCCAGATTCATTCAGTAGTTATTGAGATATTAATTATTTAGTCCAGGCATATCATTTTTGCACTCTTTGAAAAAGAAGCCAGATGCGTGGGATATATTTGCTGAAATAAGGCAGCATGGTAAAGGTTAGAAACTGTTCCTCTTTTGTCATTTGGTCAATCCAATCACTTAGAAGTTGGCGCAAGTCAGATTTTACCATGGGACACTAAAAGCTGTCATGTGGAGCCAATCAATGACAGATTTTGAATTTGATGGTGTCAAATTATTCGAGAAAGATTTTTCTTTTGGTATCCAAAGTATATTTTAGGGAAAAGTCAAAATTATGAAAGATATTGAACTTTTTGTGAGTGTATCATTTTTTTTGAGACACTCTGTATACTACAGCTCTCTGGAATTGCCTAAGGGTTGTTTCATTATTTTGTACTTTCATTCACTCAGTATGATTAAACTTTTCTTTAATCATATCTTAGGGTACCAATTTTTATCTGATAAAAATAATTTGTTTTAAAAGTTTAACTTGACAATTTACCTTGACTCTGTCTCATATACCATATCTTTGGAGGACAACTATGAACATATGAGAATTTAATATTTGTACTGGGTTCTATATCCTGCATGGGTGAGACAAACTGTCTGACCTGTATGTAATCAAAGTGGCTGATAATGCCTTCACCAAAGCTACTACAAGTGTACAATGTTTATGTATTGTGTATGTATTTGTTAAATAAATTCTATGAATAAAAAAAAACGTATTGTATTATGAAGCTAATTCCTCAAAGTTAGTCCTACATTGTATACATGTATATTGAAGATAAATATAAGTGTCAATTCAAGTTCATCTCTAAGTACTGGTCATTGTGTATTCTACTTAACTTCAAGAGCTTTATCAACTTATCAGCAATCATGTCAAAGTACTAACATACTTATAAGCATGTACTTTGATTATCTTATGTTACAGGGCCCTGATAGTCAAGTTAAATGATGCAATAATTACCAAATGTTTATCAACAAGAGCCTCGAGAGATATACTTATCAATGAGGGGTGTGTTCAGAGAAAAAGCTCTCTGATTGGTCAGAAATATTATCATAATGTATAATATAGAAATCAGACAACGAATCTAGATGGAACAGGTTTCATTACAATCCCTTAAAAGACAAAACAAGGCACAGACGTGAACAATATCGTACCTAAAACACAGCATTGTGGCCTTGTTGACCAAGAAAGCAAGATGGCCGCAGAAAAGTTAATCAGCTCTAGAACTTATCACTGTGTAACATATGTAAAAATTTGAACGGTTTGGCTTGAAACCTGTAGACAAGCCTCGATAGACAAGATTTTAGGACGGAAAATCTAAAATGGCTTAACATTTACCCAGAATGCCCAAAAACTAATCAGTTCTTGACGTTGATATGTAGAAACATCCCTGAAAATTTCAGATGAATCCCTCAAATGGTTTGGCTGAAAACCTGTAGACAAGTCTTGAAAGTGAAGATTTTAGGACGGAAAATCCAAAATGGCCACCTTAAAATTTACCCAGAATGCCCAAAAACTAATCAGTTCTTGACTTTGATATGTAGAAACATCCCTGAAAATTTCAGATGAATCCCTCAAATGGTTTGGCTGGAAACCTGTAGACAAGCTGAAAAGTGAGACGCCGCCCGCCCGCCCGCCTGCCCGCCAAGCTGACTACAATATCGTACCTCTTGTTAGGTACGATAAAAAATTAAAATACCAATCCAATCTGAAGTTACAGTACAGAATGATTGAAAATGTAACTGATAGCTTTAATTATTATGTAAAATCATTAAAGGGCCCGTGCAAACTTTCAAAATATAGCTTTATCACTCACATAGAATTTTACATGACTTGAAAAACTATAACTTGACTTTTTGAAAAATGTGACTGTTGAAAAAAAGTTGTTCATCTTATAATTTTCAAATCTTTGAATTTCCTGCCATTTTAGATACAAAAGTTTAGATTTTGATCATCATATGCAATACTTAACACATTATTTTCTTTACTCCTCAGATCAGGGAAAAGTCAATTATCTGAACCATTCAATCTCTGACTTTATGCATATATAAACTTTTAAAGCATTTTTTTAAATTTGTTATGTCAATACACTAAACTTTCAAAATAAAACATTTTTTTAACCTATTTAGGTTGAAAATAAGTTTTATATTTCAGATATTTATTGGATTCTATAAGAACTAATATTCTAAAATGCTTTTTTCTCTGAACCATTTTTCTGTGACTATGGTATAATTTCTCGCTTATTTTACAATTTTTACAAAAGTAAAAAAATGTGTAAAAAAAGTGCCTCAAGTTCTGCCTATCATACTAAAAGAGAGTCTGAATGAGAGAAGTTTCAGTTTAAGCTGTTAGAAAACTAATTTAGTGATCTTTACATTTCTGCCCTCCATTTTGAAGAGCATTTGAACAGCAATGAACTGAACATTTCCGGATGCCAATTTATGTTGTTTTACAAAAGAACAATGCAAAAACAGAGTGCAGCTATGGTTCATTGAGGGAGAGGTAAGGCATAGCATCTTCTTAACATGCTATTGTCTTTATACAGTATCCAGCATCTGATTTCAGTACCGGCACTGAAGCCCTGCACTACTTTCGCGCTACTTCCGGTAATACCAAGATGCACTATATGTTATGCATTGGTTTAAACTATTGCTTGATAAAGTATGTGTATGACAACAAAAGGTCCTTCAAATTTGATTTCACAAACAAATTTTGATAACATTGTGTAAGACTAATATCTCGATAAAACTTTATATGGGGCCTTTAATCTTTACCATTTGTAATGAGCTTTATGGGTTGTGTATTGTTATTAAAGCGTCCAGCTGAGTATTACATTAATCATATTGATCTTTTTATCTCGATTAAGGTCAGAGTAAAACCTGATTTCCTTTGAATGGCAGAGTATTTATATTAGTATCTACATGTAGCATGTTCTTATTGCAACTGATATGTTCTGATATGCCATAAAATATCTAAAACATACTCCAAATTCATGTCTGGCCTTGTCCAGTAACAGGACCACAGCTAGTCCTAAGATCTTACGTTACATGTATGTCCACCCATAGGTACTCTCTTGATAGCCAGTTAGAGTTCTTTTTAGATAATTGCTTGAAACCGTGTATCAATGAAAAGTTCTTTAGATAATTGCTTGAAACCGCGTATCAATGAAGAGTTCTTTAGATAACAACTTGAAACCGCGTATCAATGACAGTTATAATATGTGGTATTATAATCTATTCTCCCAGATGCAATCATAGACAATGTACTGATAGGGATGCTCGCAGGACTAGGCGAGATGGCATAAGCTTACCCGAGTCTCTAGCTTACAGCTAGATGTAACTTCATTGATTTCGTATGTAATCTAGAAAAAGTGTCACACACACCTAGAAGTCCTATTTAATAGTTCTTATAAATATTTATAAGAATATTAATCATATTTAAGTTGAAGCATTGCTTGTCTGGATCAAGATATTTCAAAATTTCTTTTCTAAAAGAACCTCAAACAGATCCGCCAATTATACAGCTCACTCAGCAGAAAAATGGAGGCCATTTTGAAATGAAATTCCACTTCGCTAAATTAAAATATATATAACAATCGATTAGAACTGTGATATAAGCTGATATACTGCAAATAAAGGTATGTTTCATATAAGTGTGCGTGTGTCACCATGATTTACAAATATTGAATATCAGGGCGGCGGTAAACAATCACTCAAAGCCGGAATATAGAGAAGGCTTTGGACCTAACGGAAGTAAGCACCAGCAGATCTAGACAGGGGCGTGGGGGCGCACGCCCCCCCTAAAAAGTCGGAAATTCGTGTTTTGCCTCATGGCTTTTTACAAAATTTGAATCTTTTTTAATTCGCTCTCAGTTATCATCACACCCCCCCCCCTAACACAAAATCCTGCCCCTGGTAAGCATAAGCCTAAAACATTGGCCAAGGGAAAAGTAATAGTAAGCGCTTCTGTATATACGGCTTACTAGGCCTATTACTTTGCCTATGGCCTAAAGATTAGACTACTCATTTCTCATGTTCAATATGGTCGAGTGCCCATAATAAAAGCTGATTCAAATTCTGCAGTTCAACATTTCCAAGGCTAAAATAAACATAAAAAACTGGATCAGAGACAAGTCAGATTGACTTCTCAATCCAGGTCAGATTGACTTTTCACTTTCAGTTTTCTCTGAGATTTTTTTGTTTTGTTTAGCCTACACAGTATTTTGGTTTTGGCATTGTTACTCCATCGAATTTTAGATAAAAGGGGATTCATAATATACTTAATAAAACTATTTACATTTATAAAAGCTATATAACACAAGATCTCACCTTAGATGTTGAGAAATTCCTGATAAACTGACGGGCACCCAACATGTTTGCATGCAAGTTGGCAAGATGTTCAGTCTGTCTGTGAACCAGATGTCAAACTTTAGGCCTGAAAGGTTAGATAAAGTAAAATAAAAGCAAATTTTTACAAAATAAACAAGTTAAAAATATATTTAATTCATTACGAATTATTCTTATTTATCATTTTAATTTAATGAATGAGATGATGTAGGGTTTTGTTTATCAGTGTTTTTTAACCAACGGCTGAATTCGTTTTGTTATACGGTTACATTTTAGATCCTGTAAAAAAATTATTTCGGAAAGTGCTGAAATATCCGCGTTTAGTCGAACTACCGTTGTTATACTTTATGCAATACTTTAAAAGGTAATACAGGTTAAGCTATGAACATTTATGTAATGAATATGACTGTTAAATAATCGATTTTATTGACATAATGTGGTACAATTCTCTTCGAAACACAAAGTGGGCGATAATAGAGTTTGAAATTCAACATGTGAATAAGAGGAGGGAAAGCCCCAGAGTTTCAAGATGACAGACATAATTACCTCTCTTGCTTACCACCTTCGTTCGTTCGAATTTTCATCGGCTAGTTATCAAATACTACACTTCGATGGGATGTTATAATTGATATAGGCATATTCCGTACACCTTTGGCTTTATCTTGATGTGAAATGAGAAGCTATGATATTGGTTAACACGCCAGAAATGAACATAATATTATTCGAAGCGTATTTCGAAAATTTTGAAACCGCCATTGATGATGTCATTTGTTTGTTGACTTTTGACCAATCAGCGACCGTGTCATCTCAATACAGATTTACATTATAAGCGTATGTCATCTTTGAACCCTGGTGTTTCTCCCCCTCTGATGTGAATCAAGGAGAATTGGATCCCAGGGTTCCAACTAGTGTTGTCGCGATTAGTCGATACATCGCGATATACATCGCTAAAGCTGGTTCTGGCGATGCATCGATGTCTGAAACAAAATATCGATGTTTTTAAAAAAATTTAATTTGCTAAAAATCGCCCTTTCTTATCTTATTTTGACGCAAATTGCTTACCTTTTTTCATGTCTTATTTCATTTTCAAATGTTTTCTGATATTCTTTCGCTTTAAAACTATTTTAGCTAGTCGATATGAACCATTAATCTAAAAAAATTACTTTACTTTCATTTCACCGTTACTATGTTCCCGGATGTACCAGCGTACTCTTATTAATTTGTTCTGTTCGATATTTTAGTGCATTAGGGTTCGGTATTTCAGTGCACTTTTCTCGAACTTTTTATCGATGTACATCGCGATGTGCATCGATGTTTACTACTGAAAATTGCCGATGCATCGATGTACGATTATGGCACATCGCGACAACACTAGTTCCAACTGGATCTTTTTAATCTCAGCTTCTGTAATCCCTGAAGAAGCCATTTTACATACTCATTTCTAAAATGTGTTATGTACCAGTGACGTGTTCCTGTTTTATATAATCAAATATTGTTCTAAACCTGAGCACTTCGGCTTCCTGTAGAACTTGTTGCCACATTTTGAACATTTGTTAACTCAAATTTTTTATTCTTGGATCAGTTCATATGGTTAAAATAGCGAAATGAACACTGGCGGATCTGGGGTGGGGGCCCAGAGGCCCGCCCCCCCCCTTGGGTGGGCCGAGAAAAAAAATTGGCCCCAAAAAAATTTTGAGCCAAAAAAGGCCTCAAGGCCCCAAAAAGTGGGCCTTTCTGGTCATAAATGGGCCTTCTAAGTCCTTATTTTTTAATATTAGACCAAATTTTGAAGAAAATGGGCCTCAAAATTTAGAAAGTTTTTTTCTCAGACCATAACTTTGGCCCCCCCCCTTGTTGGTTCCCAGATCCGCCCCTGATGTAACAACGTAATGTACTTCTCTTGAAAGCCCATGCCAGTTTGTTCTGTGCTATCTATCGGACTATGTGAATTGTTCGAATTGTGAAACAGCTAAACACGACACTGAAGGCAGTATTCTGAGGTTATGAAATTTAGATCGAAATAATTTCCCATTTGTTGCACCTTGAAGATTTCCGGAATTGAACACAAAGTAGCGAACGTTGCGATCTTTCAATTAAGTTCGTTGTTTTTCACCACTGTATGTGAAGTGTTTCAATTTACTTATTTCAATGCATCATTTGAGGTCTTTTTGATTCATAAAATTAATAAGTTTCCTAGCGTAGGAATATCTTGAATAAAGTTGATTTTAAATAGTCAGTAGCTTCAGGAGCCCTTCATACCATACTTGACATTGCTATCTTGGAAGATTTTCTTTTATATTCAGCAGCAGATGTCCGAAAACCATTTTCTAATAAATTAATATCTTTCTTTGAAGACATGGTTGAGTGACACGTCACAAGTCATGTGATATAAACTAGTAACTAAACACATGATCAGACATGTGACTGGCAAAATGGATGATCTAAATTTCAAAGAATTCGGCTAAGATCAATATTGACATGTTGTTGCCTTCATTGTCGAGTTCTGCAATTCACATAGTCCGATGGATAGCATAGAACATACTGATAAGTAGATTACGTGGTTACATCACATCATTTCGTTATTTCAACCACATGAACTGGTTCCCAGAATAAAAAATAAGAATATAGGATAATGTAAAATTCTGATTAGGAAATTTTGCCATATATTTTATATCCTGATGATCAATCAAAGCAAACTATGATTGTGTAAGATTGGTTTTCATTCCTATAGTTTTTCATGAATGACAACTGAATCAACATTTTTTTAGAAATGTCAAGATCGACTGCATTTAAGAGTGATATAGAGTTCTGTCCTGAGTGTGGTGTAATCCTCCCTTTGCCTGGAATCGAAGACGTTGTGACGTGCAATCAGTGTAACTTTCAAATAGATGTAAAAGGTAGGAACATTCTCGAGTCTTGTAAATATCTTTGGTTGACTGTTGCAGTCCCGTAGCCAGGGGCCGGGGGAATGTTTGACCCCTGGCTAAAAATTATTTCGAGATCATGCAGTTTTCACTATTCTGAGCGCTTTTAGAGTGATTTCGGCCATTTTAAGGCCAAAGTCGTCAAAAGCTGGCTACAAGCCTATGTTGAACTACTATTATTTTAAAGAGGTACTACCTGTTATAGGGGGCAGTTTTGGCACCCCTTGATAGCACATTTACTTCATGTTAATTCATCTACATACCAACTGTGAAAATACTGTCAACATTTTTTCATTACAGATTTTGCAGGTTTTGAAGTAAAGACGAGCATAGAATTTAACAAGAGGGAAGCTTCACAGAGTGCCGGGCTTACAGCTGATGACTTTGCTGGTCCAGTTGTAGATAAGAACTGCGCTAAATGTGGTAATGAGGGCATGACCTTCAGTACCAGGCAAACAAGATCTGCAGACGAAGGACAGACTGTATTCTATGGTTGCCCCAAGTGCGGGTATGTATTCTTCCTGATATTTTAGCTGTTCTGAGGATATCCTTGTTAAACAATACCCGCCTGTTTTATCTGGGTTAAATTAACCACTCCATAAATGAGCAAATTTGTGAAAAACGGCTGGAAGATTTTGTTTCACATGTGGTCAGTTTGTCACCTTCCAATGAAAGGGCTGCATCTGGTGTACCTATGGAAAAATTGAGAAAAGGCCATCCAGTTTTCATGCATGGTAATTCACTTATAAAGAACTACATGATGATGTTTAACTTTTCAATTATATTTTCCAGTTACCAGGAACAGGAATATTCTTAGAGGGAATCAGAACATCAAATACAAACAACTGATAAAAACAACAAAAAGACAAGAATAAACAATTGAAATTGCTAGGAAATAATCAATAGACAATACAAAGCCGAGCCACTTCAAAATGTTTTATCTTATTGGCTTGGGTCTTGGAGATGTGAAGGATATCACAGTGAAGGGGCTTGAGATTGTGAGAGGATGCTCCCGTGTATATTTGGAGGCATACACCTCTATATTGACTGTTGGGAAGGAGGCTTTGGAAGAGTTTTATGGGAGGACAATCATTCTGGCTGATAGAGATCTTGTGGAACAAGGCTCTGGTAAATTATTTATCCATACATATGTGTAATGTTAGCATTATTCTCCCTCTATTATTAGTATTTCACTATAAAAACATGGTCATTTTTTACATTGTTTTTTTTTATTCATCAGTTGCGCATTTCTAAAAATGAACTAGTTGACAGATTATATGTGTTATATTAGTACATTGTGAAATACTTAATATTTAATGTTTTAGATGAGATACTTGAAGATGCGGATAACACAGATGTAGCTTTCCTAGTGGTAGGGGATCCATTTGGTGCAACCACCCACTCTGATCTTGTCTTGCGTTCTGTTGAAAAGGGGATTGGTTACAGAGTGATACACAATGCTTCGATTATGAATGCAGTAGGCTGTTGTGGGCTACAGGTAAATGTTTAAACTGATAACCTCTCTGAATAAATCTTTTTACATGTTTAATCAAGCATTCATATACTGCAAAACCTGTCATAATGAACACCTGTCTTTAGTGGATACCCTTCCTCCACACCTCCTCTACTGACTTCTGAATTGAATTAGCTTCTTTTAGTCTACGAAAACTGACATTTTTCCTGGGCAAAAAATGTTCAATTTACACAGGTTTTACTGTATTCTAATTTTTACAAAAGATCCAAATTTCATTTTGTCTTTCTTGACATTGAGTAACTGAAATATATGAAAATTGCAATAATATACTTTTAACTTTAAGGTGTCCAATTTGACTATCGACATGTTTATGCTTTCATACCAGTTTTTGAAAAATCAAGCCATATTTTTCAAAATATGAACATCTATAATGGCTACAACAGAGAATAGAAACATTATTTAAGAATTATTCATTTCTTCATATTTCAGTTGTACAATTTTGGTGAGACTGTCTCAATCGTGTTCTGGACTGACACATGGCGACCGGATAGCTACTATGATAAGATCGTAGCTAATCAGGAGAAGGGATGGCATACACTCTGCCTACTGGATATCAAGGTCAAAGAACAATCCATTGAGAATCTAATGAGGGGCAGGAAAATATATGAACCACCAAGGTATTACTTTTCATTTGAATATGCTGCTTTTGGGGCATGGTCTTTGAAATATTTCTTGAATTGTGAAAATCTGTTAAAGCAAATTCAAATGTTTATACAGTGTATTAGCAAACTTGTTGTATGAAAACGTTAGAGCAAAATGTACTTGCTAGAGTATGTGAGAAATAGATATATTAATAAAACGAATGCAAAATAATAACAATTTGCTGATCAGCCAATACAATGAGGTTGCCATACTGGTAATCTTTTCTCATTGATGTTTAAGCTAGGCAGAGTGAGACCTGTTTATGCATGAATAAGTATGCAAACCTGCATGTTATATGGGCAAGGGTGACAGGGGCAGTTTTACAAAAATATCACAAGTCAGGATGACTGATTTGAATTGACTTTTATGATGCTATGGACATTGGAAAGGGCATCAGACTTCAATGGACTGTTAAACAGCTCTTATAGTTTAGCTAAAGGTTATAATGGGATAGTGTGTCATAAGCAGATACCAACTGTCTGTAATGTGCATATGGATATGTACAGGGTGTCAAATAAGTCTGTTCTCCCCCTTAACTTTTTTATCTTTAAATTTATCATACTCTCCCATATATCATTTTGAAGCTCATGGAAAATGCTGATCACCCTCAAACAATCAATCATAAACTCCTACTAATAAAATTGCTACAATGTTTCTTGTAAGGTTGTAGTTGACCTTTGATTACGTCAAAACAAGTAAAATTACCAGGTATAGTGAATGAAAAGTGAAAATTTGATACTGCAGTGACAATGCCAACATTGGGTGATTTCGATGTTTCTCAATACCATTACAGAGTAAAATGTGTTACATTCAGGGGAGCTTTTGAAGCAGGGGCATCTTTCATCACAAAATAGTTGATAACAGCCTAAATTAAACGTTCTATATGATTTATACAGGATCATATCCTTGTAGAATTGAGGCCCTCAGGGCTGCTGGGGGAGACATACAGACTATTAAAAAATTGAAATATGGACATCACTAAAAATACTCTAAAAAATTTGGAATTTAGCCAATCACTCTGAAATTTGGTGTGTCATCTGCCCCTAAACCTCTAAATGAGAGAAAATGTTCAACATGTAATTCTATTGAAGATGAAGAACACTTTCTCACAAGATGTAAAAATATGTAACTCTTAGAGAATGTTTGTTTTCGAAATTAAAAGAAATTATTCCAAGTTTTGATTGTGATGACCCAGATATTTTTAAAAGGTTAATGGCTACTGAACACTTGAATGTTCAATTATACATTGGAAAATTTATATATCATGGATTCAAAATTTAAGTGTATATGTTTAATAGTGTGCATCACACTGTATAATAATTATTATTTGTAGTTAGAATAGTTGTAGTAGTAGTTTGTAGTGTTTTAGTGACTAATGTATCATGTTACTGATATAAATTGTCAATAAAAGATATAATAATCAGCAAATTAAATTCCCTTTAAGATGATATATACCAACCCTATGTTATCTCTAAATTAAAAAAGTTAAGGGGGGAGAACAGACTTATTTGACACCCTGTATACGTAACTGGTGACACTAATAGAATAAAATATTTTCAAAAAGACCAATGAACCAGATCTACCCACCTTCATTATGTTAGTTGTACCCATTGAATGTGAATGTTATTTTTCAGGTATATGTCTGTCTCTCAGGCTGCTGAACAATTACTTGAGATCGTGGAGAATAAACAGAAATCGGGGGACAACAGCGCCACCTTTAACAAGGACACTTTGTGTGTTGGGCTAGCAAGAATTGGCTCAGAAACACAGGTTATAAAATGTGGAACACTTGAGGAGTTAACAAAAACTGATTTAGGACCCCCTCTACATAGTTTGATTATAACTGGGAAGACTCATCCTCTAGAACTGGATATGTTGAAACTGTTTGCAGTAAATAAAGACACTATTGAATTAGCCCAATCAAAGGTAGAACATTGATGACTTAAACCATTGTTTTATGGGAACGATGGTCTCAGGCCCTTTAAGTTTAAAATTGAGACTTCTACATACATCTCATACAAGTGTATATGTCTGAATGCAAAAACTGATAACCAGAAATCAAGAAAACTGCAATATTTATGATAATTGTAAAATGAATCGGGCAGACCTATGGCGACAGTTATTGTATACTTAAAGTCTAATTTTGAAGAACATTCACTGGTGTAGATCAATTGGTGGAGGTTTATTCCAATGTGAGTGGAGTATGCTATATTGTTTAAGTAATGTTCAAGTTCTGAACATCAAAACTAACTTTTAATTGATTTCGTACTCATACATATAACAACACTAAGATTAATTTTTCTATGGTTTATTTTTTACTGTTTATTTTTTAAATTGTACAATGATTCATGTTCTCTGATTAAAATAAATAAATGAAGCAATGGTATTGTAAAACTACCTTTCTGTGTTTGCGTAATTTATTCTTTATAAGTTATACCACAAGTATAAGTAGCCACTACGGGCTCTGCTATAACACCAAGAGACAAATGTTTAGATATATAAACAGTTCGGTTGTTGTGCCATTTATCAGTCCAGCCCTACATAAAACAGTGTGATGTCATTTGTGGTGTTTTTTATTGTTTTGGCCCCTGTTTTTGTGAACCGAGCAATATTTTGTCATGTTACTGCCTTAGTATTTTACTATATAATGTGCTTGTCATGGCTTACAACTTTACTGGAATATACAGGGTGAGACACCTGGAATTCCACCTAAGTCACTTTTTGGTCACCCTGTAGAATACTGGAAATACAGAGATGCACAGCAAAATGCATGAAAACTATTAACAGATTGTATCAAATTGAGTCAAATCAATAATCTATCGGAGATTTTGATGGTACATGATATGCACAGCAAATCTATCCCATAGTTTAGAATTTAGACTTACCATACCTATTCTATAAAGATACAAGCTAAAAATACAGGGAATACTTGATATGATAGAAACTCCCATGTATTAAAGAGATGGCAAAGATTATGCAAGCTGTCACAGTTTTGCAATATGTTTTCCTCATTAGTGCTACATGACATTCCTTATGTTGTATATATTTTCTAAAATGTCCAAGTATTTATTTCATGATAGTATCTTTCCTGTAAAACCTGTCAATAATTCTAAATTCATTCTAAGTACATCCACTTTTTCAATGAATTTGGAAATCTCAAATCTGCATTCATTTTAATTTAATGGGATGATAAGGGACACATTTAATTGGCATGCTCATTGAAAAAATGCTTGCAAAACTTGTAGTGGTATATCCTTTGTTACCACTTTCACTATGATGAAATGCACTGGGAAGATTAAGACATTAGTTTGACACACTTTTTGATTTATAAAGTATGATGTGTACATGGAGACACAACCATGGTCCTACATATGCATATTTATCCTATGCCAAGTAGAGTTATAGGGAGATAAGTTGGTAAGATATATCCCGTATCCTGATTTTGAGGTTTCCATATCCTGAACAGTGTAGACACTAAGGGGCTGAAACCTGCTGGTCAAAATGATATTACGGACCAGTTGCAATGTTATTTTCCTATACCTAGTGAAAAAATCAACTGGTCCGTATCAAAAGTAACCAGATAATGACCAGTGGACCGGCTGTTAATGAAAACACTGATCCTGAACCTCCATATCTCCCGCCATATCTCCCGCTCCAGGGCATATCTTCCCGCTTCGAAAAAATTTTGAAAAAATTTGAAAAAATTGAAAAAAAGAAAAAATTTGATAAAATAAAAAATAGAAAAAAGAAAAAAATAGAAAAAATAGAAAAAAATCAGAAAAATGTGAAAAAATTGAAAAAAATTGAAAGAAAATTAGAAAACTCTACTTGGTATAGGATAAAGCAGTTATGTACGGTCGGTTTGGATATTTGGTTCATCCCTCGTGAGATATGCACATCTACCTTCGGTCCCTACGGTCCCTCAGGTAGATATGCATATCTCCCTCTGAATAAACCTCATATCCAAAACCTCCCAGTACATAACCCTTATATACAGAAGTTAATGCAAAATCAACATATCTGAATCACAACAATGAATTCTGGACGGTGTATGGAATGGATCATGTAAGCATTAGCAATACATTCAGAATTTGCATATTTCAATGATAACAATTATATTTTGGACGGCATATGAATGGAATGGAATGATTTTTGGCATAAGCTATAAAAACAATATGGTATGGTGTCACGATCCTGACATCAATCTAAAAATACATTTTTTGTAAAAACATGATAGTTGATAAAATAGTTATCCTACTGCCAAACATTGTGCAGTATTATTCAATGTCGAACTACAATATCTATATATACAGTCTAGTAAAATATTTGAGATCGATACATCACTCACCACAACCTATGTCACACTGGACAATTTTTACAAACATTCTTAGTTTGTAAACATTCTACTTTGTGCTATCACCCCTGTGTTAAGAAATAACAAGATGATTCTATCAAGTGATTTACACTTTTTTGTTTCATAAACATTCAGCATTTACATGGACCTCAATGGGCAAAACCACATAACATTGAAATGTCCTTAAACAAGACTTTATATTAAGGAAACTTTGTCATGGAATATAACCTCAGTGTAGAGGAATAAATTTTACAGAAACATCTTTGAGAAAAGAGAAGATACAGAGATGACAGGCATTTAAATTCATCCTTTTAAAATATTTCAGATTTCAAAGATCCATTTCCTATACCTTTATATGTAAACAATCCCCTATATACATGTATGAGTATAGACTTATACATTTCCCTTTGTATACTGCACAAAAACCTTCATAAAATAATCTCATTAGTGTCACAAATATCTACGTACTACTGTCTCCTACTGTTCCTACAAACCCTACATGAAATGCAACTAAGTGAATATCTTAGAGCAATCATTATTCATTGTATTATCTCACTATCCGACCCAAAGTTTATTACACATCCAATAATTCTGATCCACGTATCTTTACATTCAATAATTCCAATCCACAATTAATATTCACATTCAATAATATGTATTCAATTATTCCGATCCACTGTTTATCTGCATTCGATTATTCCAATCTACAATTTATCTTCGTATTCAATATGTTTTCAGTTATTCTGATCCACTGTTTACTAGTATCTTTGCATTCAATAATTCCGATCCACTTTTTATCTTCACATTCAAATAAATAATTCTGATCCACATTAATCTTCACATTGAAGAAATCTAATCCACAATTTATTTTCTCGTTCATGAAATTCTGATCCACTGTTTCAATCTTCACATTTAATAATTCGATACATGATTTTCTTCACATTCAGTAATTCCTGATCCATATTTTATAAATTCTGATCCAGTGTTTTAATCTTCACATTTAATAATTCTGATCCACGATTCCTCTTTACATTCATGAATTTATCATCAAATTCTCATAAAGGGATCACCTTCTTAACACAATCTGGCTGAGTAAAGGGGGCCCTCTATTCTGACTGACCATTCTCAGTCCAAGCTCATCAACATCAGCATTTGATGCTTCAATTAAACGATGCGTTACAAGTTTTCTTTTCCATTGGAATGCTAAAACTATTGCTTGTGTTGCATCAACTTCATGTGCAGGGGGCTGTCTTAGGCCCTGAAAGTAAAAGCAGAAATGGAGTTCACATTTAAATATACTGGAAAACATATGTAATTGGAAAACCTTTTGTTCTGTACTCTTCGATTTTGCACAAAGGTTCAGTTAACAGATTAATATTAAGTCCTTTGGTTCCAGGTTTCAGGAAAGTGCTGAACTTACTGAGGGGTTATTTTAAATACAAAGCTATTGTGACTTTCAAGAGAGCTTTTCTCACATTCCTTTAAGGTGGGCAAGGAGATGATAATTTTGGACCAGTTTAAACATGTCTAACACATAAAACCTATTCCAGCGAGATAACTCACTCAACTAGGTCAACCTTAAAACATAAACCTACCTTTACGGAAGCAGCTTCTGCAGCTTTGAGTGTCCTTACAACGGAGAGCATGAGATTCTGGGCATTCTTCACCAAAGTCTTATCAGAGCCTCTATCCCCAGCAGTGGATGATTTCACACTGGTTATTATGCTAAGCTGAGTGCTCAGAGTGGGGATTTGGTCAGCCATCACTTCCAGATCCTTCGCAAATCTATAATAAGGTGACAATTTAGGTTTACTCAGAATGAGTACAAAATATTTACTATATAAGACTTATATTACAGTACTATCATATTGTTTCATTCTTTGTGATTTTTATCTTCAACAATTAACTTATATTTTTATAGTATAAAGATTATACAATCAGTCATATTTTACAACAATTAATATAAAATTAATTGGTTTTATGTGTGTTTTATGAGAGATAGTCATTTATTAATAAGGTAACCCTACATTTGTGTCATGATTACATGTAAACAAACTTTGGTTTCTAGGAAGTAAAATGTAGGTCAGTAAACATGTGCAGAAGTTTGTCATGACTCATTTTCCATCAATTTTCATTGAAGCTTGAAGGACAGTGTAAAATCTGATTGAATCTTGTAAGTACTTGCCCACCAATCCCTCCCCAAAAACCACCCATGAATTATCCCCCAACTAAGGTGAGATCAAGAAAATGGTAAGAGATATTGTTAGTGATACATTAAGGTAAGCAACTAAAGTAATCACTATTATACTGGTCAGGTGCACTGTTTATGTTTTTGAGAGGTAAAGTAGGTAACAGAAATGATTGCTCCCTAAAAACCCACATAGACCAAAAATACAGAAAAAATAAATATTTAATTCTAATATATTTGGAGCTATAGCCTATGAACAACATTGAACATATTTTGTTGGTCCAAATGAGGATCTGCTGTATCTTATTGTTTTACCTTTCATCAAGGCAGTACTTTGCTACACTCTTAGCAAACTTGACAATGGTTTCTGCATCTTGGCTGATCTCTCTACTGGTTCTAATCATATCTGATTTGTTCTGAAATACAATACAAAAGTTGCTCATTTACAGGTATTTCTATGTATGTTATGGGTTTTTGACTCTAGAAAGCTTCTTTTCTTCCAATTTAGATGGCATCATAGATATGCAACAAGATACACAGTGATAAATGTCATACTTATGTCATACACAATTACCGATCATGCCCAAAAACTAATCAAATCTTGGCACTAATCTGTTAATGCATCTGAGAAAATATTTCAAGTAATGAATGAGCTGATTTCTTCTTATCTTGATGATAAAACTCTGTGCAAGACAATGACAATATACCACTTTTATCTGTGATCAAAACCTACATATTATCATTAAAACATTCATTTGATTCTGGTCATAACATATACAGCTAATTTCTTACCACAATAGGACCTTGTCCTTTGACAAAGTCTGCCATCTGTTTCATTCTACTGGACATGGCCTTTGCTGCTCTTACTATAGCATTGTTGGAGTCTTCCCACTTGTCAGCCTCTAGCTCTAGGTTATTCGCTGCATTCTTGAAGAATATACAAAGACTGACATTAGGGAAACCAATGTTAGTGCAAATGGAGGAATCAAATGTGTTGTGACTTTACTTTTTATAAAATATCAACTTTCCTTGTGCATGACATACATAACATGTACATGTACTGTTTCAACAAGTTCTTGGCCATTTCACAACCCACTTTTTTCTGCTCTTGAACCAGTCACTAACTTCACTCATCCACACAGAGTGTTCATTTTAGGATTTTAATAAAGGTTCTTGATCTCTAATGACTTTTTAAGACAACCTCCATATGGGCGTTCCAATTACCTAGTTTATATTATACTTACTGTTAAAGCTGAGAAGTAGGAGTCATCAAGCTTCTTTCCAGGAGAGTAGTTGTGTGACTTGAGGTACTCTGAGAAACTAGGATTCTCTTCTGTGGATCTGTTCATTGGGGAATCTGAGCCCACTTTAAATGATGGCATACTGGAAAACACAAAGTAAATGTTAGTCAAGATAAAGTTATTTAACTTGAAGTACTTGACAATTAGCCAATAGTTCTCACTCAATCTGTTCACTGAAGGATTTGGGCCCCCTCTGAATGAGTTCCCCTAAGAAAAAGCAATGGTAACCATGGTATTTCATGGAAGTCTCAGATTCCATAGCTTCGCCAGACAAAGGATGTAAGCTAACACACAATTTATAAACACTTGTAACCATAAAACAAAGGAGTCTAAAATATACCATATTGACTAAGAAAAGCATGGAGGGAACAGACCTCCAGTGGTGTTTGTTGTTTATAGAAAGTAGCCAGAATCGTCAATCTCAGATCAGAATAGAAAATCCGACTGATTTGATTTTGCCTCACCAAAACCATATGTTATTCTGAGAGCACATTGTTTGGTTCTGAGATGGAAGATTCTTTGAGGTGCTTAGATTAGTGAAAGATATAAAAGGAAAACTAGCAATTGAGAAGAGAGTTAGGAAAAGTTAGGAAAAAAATAATAGAATAAAATGTATTGTTGCTTTCCAGTAGTGAAACTAAATTGTAGAAATTATATAAGTTGGAATAAGAAATTGAAGTAAGGATTTTTAAGAAAGAAAATATAACAAAAACCCACCTTATGTTCGGAACATTGATGATAAAGGACATTGGTGAAAACAAACAATTCCAATCAAAAAGTCATGCCTTTCCAAGGTTATTTGTTTGATGCTTGAAAGTGTGATAAAAACATTTTCCGCCACAAAATAGAACATAATAATCTTTAATAGACGCTGCAATTTATAAAATCAATGGAAAATACCAATGAAAACCCTTGAACTTAAAGCTTTTTTCTAAATACTTAAACCAGTGTTTTCAAACATACAAAACCATATAATCAATTTCAAGATTAAAACATGTCACGATTATTGTTTGACCTTTGAATGTAACGTGACATACATCACGTGCACACATAGAGGTCATATACATGTAGTATTCAAAATTATTTTGAAGAACAAAGCAGGCGCATACCATTCTCTTGAGAAAAGGAGTAAATACAATAGTTTTAATATTGTACTAGGACCTAGCTCAGAAGAGACTACAATATGTCTCTGTCGAAATCTGAGAAAGGTAAGAACTAAAATACATGTCTTAAGATGCACTTCAAAACAAAAATGTCTGTCCTCATTTTGCGTAGCAATAAAACTACTGTAAAACGAGTGTCTTATTTGATTGAATGGATGTTAATATGGTCATATTAATTTTATAGTTTAATTAGTTTAATTTGCTCCACATAGAATACATACATTAAGCTATTAGTGAAGCAAATAGCATTAAGAAATGAAGTCATTTTCTAATGCATTAGCATGTATACTGATACAGAATTAATGTATCCTTCACTAAGAATATAGTTAGAGCACATTTATGAATTTTAATGTGAAGAATGTATAAATAAAGGGCTTATTATTGTATCTCTTCTCCCACATGGTGTCCAAAAACAGAACCAAAGTAAAAGTAGATTAATCAACCTTGCATATTCTGCCTTGAAATTTCAAAATTATTTAGATCATTTCATGTGAATTTTGTTGTAAAGATTTCATATAATCTGCCTCAGTACCTTAGATATCATGCTCCACATTGGCACTCTCATCTCTATATTCAATTGTCAACTATGATCAACTTTTCTTAGGTCCTGTTTTTGGACACCCAGAATGAGAGCAAGGGAGATTGAACACATTTTAAACATATTTTATTCTAGCTGGAGGCAGGAGAAGCAAGGCATCTGCTGTAGAAAGAACTGTGAGGCTGACTCCATATCCGACAAGAAAGGACAGAGGTAAAATAATTTTTATTAGAAAATCGTAAAGTACAAAAAGTGCTAAAATATAATTTGAATACGTAAAGACAGGCCTGTCAACCTGGGAACACCTAAATGAGTGACTTACAAATTTTGAACACCCTCCTTCAAATTGTAAACACCTTGGTCCAAATTTTGGACACCTAGATTCAAATGTTATTGCTTATATCCACATTTTGAACACCTCTAATTTTTCTTGTAACGTCACTCGCGTAATATCTACTAAAGGGGGGGGGGGGTAGGTACAAAAAGTTTTGAAGCTAATGCGTGCCATATACATAAATTTCGTACCAAATGCGTGACATATACAAAGGAAATTTGTTTGTGTTTTTCGGCGTTTGTTTTTATATGTATATACCTTGTACATGTATATATCTTGTATGTATGTATGTATCTAAAAGTTCAGCTAACCTAACCTTTAATCTCAAGAGCACTTCAAGTTTTTATTTCTATTTGTATTAGGTCTATTCATTATCATCTTGATAATGATTGAACTTAAAATGACAAGCTGGTTTGATTTGGTTTGCATTAGTTAATACTGGTTTTAGACTATTTAGAAGTATGCGAGTAATAAAAAAGGTTTCAGTTTCTTTTGTATGGTGATGAAGATTTAGATAATTCATTAAATGAAAAATTAATAGAACTAATGAGTCATTTTGTGAATCAAAGTTTGAGCCAAATTGATCGGTTTGGCTAATTTTTGCATGCATGTGTTAACTCATCCCTGGCCCATGGGATTATAGTTTCTTATATGAGTTTTAACAATACTTTGATAAATTTTAAAATTTTAATGTATTCCTATTCATATTGTCTAAAATTGCCGCTAATGTTTTTATGAAAAACTTTGGCAATCAATTGCATGTCTGTTATTGTTTACTAAAGGAATAAATTTATGTATAATAAAAAAAATAACTAGATTTTGGAAATTGAACGAAGTTCAATTTCAGACTCCAGATCTAGACTTTTTTTTTAGCCGAGTCATCCAGAATAAGCCGAGTCATCCAGAATAAGCTGAGTCATCTAGAAAGAGATGGATAAATAAAATAGGATGGTAGGATAGGATAGAATAGGAAAGAACGATAGGATAGAATAAGAAAGAAGGATAGGATAGAATAGAATAGGAAGAAAGGATAGGATAGGATAGGAAGGATAGGAAGGAAAAGATATGAAGGAAGGATAGATAGGAAGGATAGGGTAGGATGAGATAGGAAGGATGGATGAATTTTTCAATATTTTCTTCTCTACTCTTGACTTTCTATCAGGATACCATCAGATCGATTTTTCTCGAAATTTCAAAACGCTATCACTTCCGAACCGGAAGTCGGATCGAAATTTGGTTTGCAGATTCGGATTCCTGACAAAATTCTACCCCTAATTCATAACTCATACGTTAAATTTGGAGATTTTTTATTTTGACCTACTTTTCGGACACGCCATAACTTCCGAACCGGGAGTCGGATCGAAATTTGGTTTGCAGATTCGGATTCCTGAGAAAATTTTATACTTAATTCATAACTCAAACGTCAAATTTGGAGAACTTTTTATTTTGACCTACTTTTCGGACACCATATCTCAAAAGTGGGTCAAAATACTTTCTGACGGCAAAAGGCTAACACTATTAGCATATTCTTAGCTACATGTATACACAATTTCGAAGAATATAATTAAAGTGTAGTGTCAGAATCGAAAAAATAAGGAAAACCTATGAATTTGACCTAGATTTTGACCTAGGAATTTCGGTGTCCAAATTGTGAAGCTAGATGGCTTTTGAGGTCCCCTTCTTTTAAAAGCTTTGATTATATGTAGCTGAACTCAGTCTATATTCCGTATTTTTCACTTCAAAAAAATATTTTTTCCCATTGACTTAACATGGGCACCAAATTTAGCGATTTTTGAGTTTTCAAAATGCCATAACTTCCGAACCGGAAGTCAGATCCAAATTTCGTTTTCAGATTCGGAATCCTGATAAAATTTCCTATAAGTCTAATATCCTGGACATTTGATTCGGAGAACTTTTTTTTGGACCTCGTTTTCGGACACTGATATCTCGAAATCGGTTTGAGATATCAAAAAACTAAATCGACCCTAGGTTTCCTAGTTTTTTATAAGGAACACAATGAAAAAAACCCGGATCGAAAATATTGAAGGACGACCGAGAAAATCGAAAAAAGTGACAAAGTACTGGATTTGACCTAGTTCTTGACCTTTGACCTAGATAAAAATTTGACCCAATTTCCCACCAACTAGAGACTGAACCTAAATAAACTGTATTATGGTACTTACTGGATACCTCATAGTTATTGAAAAAACTCCGAAAGAATAATAAGAATAAGAAGAATAAGAATACTGGCAAAAACAATAGACTCCAGATTGACATCTGGAGTCTAATAATAAAATAAAAAAGGTGCATGGAGTTGAAACGATTATGAAACATAAGGGATCACATCTGCTAAAAGCATGACAACTAGTCATATTTAATTTGTTTTAAAACATAGATAAAATAAAACAATAGTATGTTGCTTTAGTTACTTTGTTCTGTCCTCGATATATCAACCATACTGTGCCCATAATGTGGTCTCACGATATATCTAAGATATGCAATAATATTATATGAGTAATTACAATGGGACATTACTGATTGTCTGGGGCAAAATATCTGAGACTGTCTCGCATTAAGCAAGAAGTTGACAAAAAGTTGAAAATAAATGGCAGCAATCACTTCCCAAACTGTCTATTAATACCTGAGGTAACACAAAGATCTATATCGAACCATATTTTTGCTTCATCGTTCAATTAAAAGTTCCATTTGTCTATCTTGCCCATTTAATTACCAGTATGCAATCTAAATCAGTAACTGGGGTCGATATGATTATTCAAGACTCTCATTTGGGCAATAATACAACTTAAAATGCAACACTAGATTTAGATCATTTTAAAATTAACCATTCGCCATACATTTTAATTTTTGCAGTTACAGAACAAGTCCAATTGTCAGATAAAGGCAGAGGCATTTGTCAAGAGTCACAAGACACATGTGATACAATTGTAATGGTGTGTCCTGTGGCCAAAGTTAGTCAAGAAACAGCTAAGATGAAAGAGGAAATCGAGAGCCTTAAAGCAGAGGTTGCGGATTTGAAAGCCAGGCCAACATGTTGTGTGTGTACACACCAGCACAATGGAGGAAAGAAGGAAGAATGTGTGAAGATGAAACACAAGCCAAAACCTTAAGACTGGACTTTGGCTGTCTTCAAATTCCTTATAAATAGCGCCTCACTTAGCTGATAATGCTGTTCCAAAACCCAACTCCTTGCTTTACCCCATATAACCTTATGAGTAAATGTATGTCAAGGGAATGGGTTATAAAGAGTGCTGTGTTGAAGTCAAATACCATTTGTTATGGGTAACATGGGTCATTAAGTGAAACTGCAACTTGCTACTGTATCTTAAGATAAGAGTGGAAAGTAGAAAGCAATGTAATCCCTTCAAATGATTTAGTATCTTGTAATATGAGGGTGTGGTTCACCTAGTGGAAGCCATGTTTGATATGATGGCTCGTGATGTGAGAGCATGTGCTCCAGTGAAATCCCTTGTTTGTTTGGGTAATTGTAAGATGTAACGATGGAGAATTAACTGAAAATCTCTCAAATGATATGTTGGGATACGAGGTACATTTTCAATATACCCGTGGTTTGGCTATGTATATAGAAAAAACAGAATGATTGTGCTGACATTTTAATATTGAATCTTTTTGTGAATTGTTAGGATACGTATGAAAAGAAAGATACTGTACATGTTTTAAAGATAGCAATAATTACTCTTATTATATGTATGAGTCCAAAAAGCTTAATGTGTTACAATATAAAGATAGATGATAATATAACGTAAAGTACAAAGTACAAAATAACAATACTGTTTGTACAAAATGAAAAAGGTGTATCACTATTGTATGTTCATTAAATCATAGATGCAAAGAAACCAAAAACTACATTGTAATTTGTGTTTGGCATTTATTTTTATGTAAGTGCACAGTAGTTAATAAGAACATGCTTGCTGTATAGAACATTGTCAAATTTTGACAACTTTATCTTGTAAATGACACTAACATTTAAGTGTTTGAAACATATAGTGTTCAATGAAACTTAAGCGATAAAGACTTATTAAATAAACACTCTTTCTAAAAATAAACGATGGCACATTTAGGTTTGTTTTGTTGAATACTAAAAACATAGTACATGTACATAAATTAAACAAGGCATTAACATGACAAAATGTCACCACCAAGTTGCTCACAATATTATAAATCTTTTTTGACCTTGAGGAGGTCATTCAAGGTCAAATTTATAGTCAGATTTGAACTTCTGAGAAAAAAATTGGTCAATTTGAAGAAAGTAGCAAAAATACCTTTTTGGTATTTTTAACCTTTTTTATCTACAGAAGGTCATTGGAGGTCAAATCTTCAATCTAAAGTCAGATTTGACATTCTGAGAACTTGAAGAGGATTTTGAAAAAAATTGGTCAATTTGAAGCAAGTTCAAAAAATACTTTTTTGACCTTGAGAAGGTCATTGAAGGTCAATTCTTTTTTTGACCTTAAGAAGGTCATTGAAGGTCACATCTCAAATCTATAGTCAGATTTGAACTTTTGAAAAAAAACATTTGGTCAATTTGAAGCAAGTTGAAAAAAGACATTGAAGGTGAAATCTCAAATCTTAAAGTCAGATTTGAAATTCTTGTAGATGATTTTGAAAAAAATCGGTCAATTTGAAAAAATACCCTTTAGACCCTTTTTTAACCTTTTTTGACATTGAGAATTAAATCTTAAGTCAGTTTTGAATATCAGAAAACTGATGATGATTTTGAAAAAAACTGAAGTCAGTCTAAACAGTACAGTATTTGTTAAGTTATATTGGAAGTTGTTAGAATTTGTTACAGACGCCGATCACCAACCACCAACTGCCATCCGCCGACACAAAAAATGGAGACCGTGACAATATGTCACCACTTTTTGGTTGTGACATAAAAATGCTATCTAAACTTCTTTTTAATCAATTTGAATGATCATGGGCATAGGTAGTTCTGAGGCAGGCAAAAACGAGGCAAGGCAACTGCCTCCACAAAGTTTTACAAAAATAACTTTTAGACATTTTTTCAACAGAGCTGTGAAAATTATGTCTGATAGTAGTGCAAATAATATTAAAGTCCCATCATGTAAACTGGTGCAGCTTTTGTCTTGATCTTTCCAAAGTTGCTAACAGCAGATAAGAGAGGGTCTGGTTAACCAGAATGTAAAAGTCCATTTTGGTTTAAGTGTTGCCTCGCCTATTTAAATTTGCCTCATCTATTCTTGATTCTGGTTATGCCTCTGATGATCTAAGTTATGAGAGAGTAAGAGGGATGTAAAGAAAGAAATGTCCATTAGATAAAGGTATCCACATATAGTGGTCAGTGTTCAATAAAGTTCATAGAGAGTGGAAATCACGAAGATAGGACAACCGAAGCTTAAGGAATAGGTGAAGAAATCAACACTGTTCATTGTAAGTATACATCAATCCCTACACTACTTTCAACACATGCAGTCATGTTAGTGTTTATGATCACATACATTGTGTGACCTGAAAAGAAAATATTAATAAAAGAAACAAGAAATTTAAAGTATATTGAAAAGAATTCTAAAATGATCAATAAATTACATCCCAATAAAAAGAACAATTGGATTAGTGATCAATTATTGAGTAAAAAATTTAATTCAATCAAATTAAGTAAATCTGTCACCCAATGAAGGAAACAGCAGAATTATCAAAGAACAGTGTGTACAATAGTGGAGGCCTGGGTTTCAGTGGATTTCTAACGATGTTACTCAGTTGACAACATTCAAACATTTTGTTTTGTGAACTGGCATGACATCTATTTACAATGGGATATGATTCTCTCACCTTATAGGCCTGGACTTCATGGGAGAATATTCTGATGAAACTTTGGGTGAGAGTTTGCTGGAAAATTGTGACTTCCGTACAAATGGTTCTGTTGTTGACAGCGTTAATGCTTCACAAGTCTTTGGTGTATTTTCATTTGATGTAGTTCTGGCTCCATCAGCAAGTATTTCCTATATCATAAAATATGTAGTATAAAATATTGAGTCTCATCAATTTCATTGTTTGTTGTTTTCTAAATTGGGCACAAAGGAGCATGTTGTATCGTTATATCACCATGATTAATCAATCTAGTTTCAAGCAATTACATCTCTAAATAATGCATTTATTGAAGCTGATTATTTTGGCTTTTTCATGGGACCATATCATTGTTCAAGTGTTGGATCATTGTTACCTTATCTGTGGTACCCTGTAATTTGGTGCTATAACTTTGGTCCGGTTGTTTGATGGCATTCTGGTCACCTGGTTGATTGGTTATATTTGATAATGGTTTTACACCAGCTGGTAAGCCCACTTTCCTGTCTCTTGGACTGCTCAGTCGTAGTTGAGACCTGGCCATAAGTAAGCCATGGACCTCTGTAATGCAAGCAGAATATACATGAAAACTGTTCGCAATGACGTCACTTTTTATATATATTACAATTCTAGTACCCAACAATGATATCAAGAGATCAATATTCAATCAGATTTAATTTGATATACTGTAGAGCATAATAAAAGAGTTTTAATTCTTACCTTGTATATGGACAGGATTGACATCATTCATATTTGAGAGAATGTTTAACAACATCTGAGCTCTTTGTCCCCATCTTCTTCTCAACTCAGTAAACTTTGCAACATTTACATCGTTGTGTGAAACTAAAAGACATAAACTGAATATGAAGTTGATATATATTATGACATTCCAAACACCACACATTTAATGAAAATAGGAGAACATTTTTAGTGTACAAGTGAACATTATATGGTCAAGAAACAGGATGCCCAAACTCTCAAATGAGAGTGCATGAAAACATACAACTCTGAACAAAACTTATTTCTGTAATTATATCCTCAACCTTGATAAAATACAAACTGTGGTGTGATGTACCTGCCACTTCCTGTGCCACTGTGATTAACTGTGGTGTGACCTGCCCCATGATGTCTAAGCAATTGCGGACTTTATTCTTAACAGGAAGATTCAATGAAGGATGGATGCATTCTGTGGACTTAGTCTTTATGTTCAACATGGTGGCGGAAATGTTGTCACACACTTTCAGAAAATCCTGTTCTAATGTCTTCTTTCCTGATCCTAAATCCAATATATCTTTATTTATATTTGATATCTCCAAATATAGGTATGTAATTTCATGTCTCCAAATATTGGATGGCAACATGTAAACACAAGGCATTAACATGACAAAATGTCACCACCTGTAGTAAGAATTAGTTACAGACAGCAACTGCTGAACACCGTCAAGAAAAAAGTTGAATACTATAACAATATGTCAACACTTCTGGTGGTGACATAAACTGTCCAGAAAAATTTGAGAGATTCAGATTGATGAATGATTATATTCACATATAGAATTTTCGAGCAAAAATTATAAAATAGCATGTACATTAATGGCCACAATTTTTCAAGATGGCTACTGATTACATTAATCAATATAGTATATGAAGTAAACAATAATAAGAAATTACATCAAAAGTACATATGCACTAAATAGCAAAAATACTTGTAAATAATGTTATAAGGTGGGAGTGACCTAAAACAATCAACACGTTCATATTATATTATAGTCACCTTGAGCTGTATTCACAGCTATTGCTGCTCCTAGTAATCTGTCTAACACAACACAGACATCTCCAATCAGTCCATCAAGCACAGTATAAGCTCCTAAAACCTGGAAAGTGAAATATTCAAACAATTTATTTATCCATTTTAGAAGGATGACATAAGAATAGGTCATAGGTTACATAATTAAAATAAAATAAAAATTACTTTTTTTAAGTTGAGCCTATATTTTCATTTCATGATTTTACAGGTTCATTACAAGTAAAAATTAATTTCAACCCAAATGTTTTTAATTCATCATATTTTTATATGAATATATAGGTTTGAGAATGTCAAAAAGTGAATACAAACTTCTAATTGATAAATACAATGGAAAATAATTCTACCTTGTCTATCCATTGACACTGCAGGGCCTTCATAGAGTAAGCTGCATATTGGGTGTCAGGACTTGGAAATGCAGTTGGAGGCCTCTCCATCAAACCAGCAACATCACCAAGCTTCTCTATAATACCACAGAGGGTTTCTGACAGTGTATCAAGTTTCTTCCTTGTCTCTTCTGGAATGTCTCTAGAAGTAAAGAATACATGATAATTAATTAATTGGTTTTATTTCTTTCTAATCTTGAGTAGCTTGACTTTATTAATGGGCTCGGGGTTCATAAATGATGACGTAAACTTACCCCTGACACATTTCCTGTATAACTGGAGTCATTGATGATGTGAGATGCATGAATGATGAAACGGGAATAGGTCCATCAGTTGTAGTGGAATGTAAGTGTAACTCTGGTAACATCATCACCATATTTCGTTGTTGTCTTGCTATGGTTGCCATGATACAATGAACCCTTGTCACCCAGTCACGCCCAGTTCTCTCTAATATGGTCATCTCATCTGCTGAATCTAAAAATTCCTAATTTGGTTATAAAGGAAACAACAAATATGCAGCTGTTGAAAAATATATTAACACACAATAGGTAAAATTCAGTTAGGTTGTGATTTTTGTGACTGACTGATTGTTGTAACAGGATTTTCAAAGGAATGTAATGAGAAGAATTTAAATGAAAATGAAACATAAAGTTCTTTTACCTCACAGTACAGGTAACCACAAGCAGAATGAATAACCTGATATTAATAAGCATATATTCAGGCCCATAGCCAGGGGGGTTCAGGGGTGCGAGCGAACCCCCTCCTGCCCTAAAAGTCTTTCAAAATTATGCAGTTTTTCACTATTCGAAGCACTTTTCAAGTGATTCTTGGCCAAAATGGTCAAATGTGAACCGCATACTAATGTCAAATACAAACAAGTTGGAATAAAACCATTCAACTAGGGTCATCTTAATTACTATTTGGCTCACCACATCATTTTATCTGACTTTAGATCCAGCAAAATACTTACCTGACCTCAGGGCCATATCAGCCATGGTTGTCAAGGTGAAGGTCATGTTCTCAAGGTCATTCATGTATTCTTGCAGAGCCTCAGTGTATTCTGCACTTCCTGCTTGGCAACCAGTTACTATGGCAACTATTTCTTGAATCACACTTTTGTGTTGGTTTATGGAATGGATCTGCAATAAGTTTTTGAAATCAAACTGAGGATTTATTTTTGACTTGGTTAACTCTTTATTCGAAATTGAATAGCTTTTTAATTTCCAACAGTATATCTCTGAAATGAGAATCACTGATGTCTCAATTAGCTAGTCATATCAATTTATTTCCCTCTAAAAGGGACCAGATCAAATGTTCCACTTATAGGGATGAATATATTTGACCTCCTTTTACTATATAAAATCAATATTTATCATTGCTAAAGATCTAAAGATGACATGAACTTATCATGAAATACCTCAGTTGTGAGTAGGGGGACATTCTTCATGGTTGAGGCTTGTATGACACGTTCCACCACTCCTCTCCACTGCCTGGTCATCAGTTCTACTCTACCACTCACGTCTGATACCTGCATCAAAAGATTGTTATAACCGTAACTATTTAACGATAGAACTGACACATTTTAGAGCCAATGTATACATGGAATGTCACACTGCTGGACATTGAACAATAAATTATAACAATGGACAGCACTGCACTCTCAAACATGATTTGTCAAAGTTCAAAATGATTTCCCCAAATATCACATTTTACTGGTACATGTATTCATATAAGAGATGGGTCAGGTGCAGGTCAAATTAATATGGGGGAGTCAGATTAAGGGCATCATCCACTTTTCTTCATGGAATGAATGCAAACTCTACAACATCCTACAACTTGAAATAAGTACTTTATATATCAAACAAATTGAGCCCAGATTGATTCCGACTAACTGGAGGAATGTCTACATTTTTGATTAATTCCAAGAATATATGCCAAGTGAGGTTAACCAGGGGAGGTTATCATTTTGAGTACCTCAGCTACAAATTACCCAACCCATCTCTTACCCATTCGATGCTATTACCAACCTTCTGGGCCCATGTGTGAGCAGTTTTATGTAGTGGTTCTACAGTGTTTACATCCCCAGTGGCCACACTACTGGCCTGTCGTACAAACTCACTTGTTGTGCTAGTTAACAGGCTTGCATCATCATTTAATAATCTAAATACAGAATACAAATGAGTTAATATCAATGAAAACCTTGTATAAAACACAGGCTTCTCATTAAATGATAAAACCTGCAAAAATTTGGAATTTGGAATGTTCAAGGTAAACAGTTTCAAATTTCAAGACAAAATAAACCAATTGTAAACTGACACATTCTACTGAAAATAAATCATACACATGACACCATATTGCACTTTACAAACTTTAAAACTAAGCTTTCGTTTTCTTTCTAAATGTGACCACATAAGGTAATTTTATATAGGAAAAAAGAGACTTCTTTATATCTTTTTCTTAAATTCACTTACTTTTTATCCTGTATATTTTCTGTACACATAGCTAGTTGTGATGCTGTCTCCGCAAGACTATTTGCTGAACTAAGTATGTCATTACACAATACAGCTACCTCACGTTTACTACCACTAAGAGAGCACCGAACCAGTTTATCGCTTAATTCATCTTAAGTAAACATAAAACATAGACTGAATGTTTTCTCTAGACAAATATTGTGTCCACATTAGAGGAAAAATGAAGTTTGACAGTAGATGTAATTCTGTTTGGAGGAAGGAGACAAAATTATTTGAAGAATTCTGTTTTAGCGGTGAACATTAACAATAATATAACTAACAATTATCTGACATCTTATAACAATAACAATTATAATTATTGAATGAACAAAATATATGATACATTAATGCTTACTTTTAATAGGACTAATGGACTCTCCGGCACCTTTATTTACAGATAGAGATTCCAAGGATAGCGACAAATCTGCAAACATAGCACTGTCTGCATCCCCCTGAGGGTATAACCTCACACCTTTATGTGGTGATGCTATCAGTTTCTGTGGAGATGTCACAGATTTATGTGGTGATGTCATCAGTTTATGTGGTGATGTTCTTGGTGATGTCATCAAGGCAGCACTTAAGAATTTGTTGTTGGTGGGAGGGGTTGGGCTCTGGATAAGAGACTCGTATCCAATACTCTCATTGTCGACATCTAAAATGAAAACTGATGGCTAAACCAAAAATTCAAATAAGGGCCGTTCTAGCAATAAATTCATGGTTCTGCTTAGTATTCATTAAGATTCCACACATTCATATGAAGAAAGACATTTTGTACAAAGTATAAATAATTTATGTTATAATTTAATTTATAATATAATTTTCCATTTATGAAAATAATGCTAACCTATGTTTACATGGAAATAAAACAATACAATTCAAAACTATAAAAGGCATTTAATATGCAAAAATTGCCACTACCTGCCATTTGTTACAGATTCCAAACACCAACCACCAAATGCCAACCACCAAACACCATCCACAAAAAAGTTCGAGACTATAACAGTATGTCACCACTTCTGGTGGTGACATGAAATAAAACAATACAATGCAATCTTGTAATATCCACAGGCACTCAATATATACACAACATCAACAATTTTTCCTACCAGCAACTTTATAAAACTGCATGTTTTCGGGACTCCTCACATTTCGCCTGAGTTCACTCATTAGTTCTGGATGGGATTTCTCATCTAGGCCCTGGCGAATATGTTTCACACAATTCAACAAGGCCTTGCTACGTTTGTTCAGTGTCCCCAGTAATCCAATATCACCTAGGTTCTCACTGAGCTGTTTACATGTAGATTTCACACCAGGAATAACTGCAAAAAGTGTTGAGTGAGACAACAATTGACCCTGACACCAAACTCTTTTACTTAACATGTGTAGTAAACATTATCTATAAAAGTTAATAGTCAAGTCAGATGAGGGCAAACTAGAAAACTGCAACTCCACTGAGGAGAAAATCCCAACAAAAAATTTATGATCTTAAGATTAACAAAAAAAAATCTTTCCGGACCCCCAATTATACAGCTGCTGGGGGAGGCCTGTTGAAAACAGGGTATATAAAGTATGTCAAATTTCCACAATTTTCAAATGAGTGGCCATCTTGAAATTTCTTTTTATGTAAAACCATTTAGCAATATTCATCTTTCCACTAAATATGAAGAAAATTGGATATAAGTAATGTCTGCGGACAGATGGACATTCTGACTAGACTATTAAAAAAAAAGAGCGACATTCACCTTGATATAAACATAGAAACCGTCTATGTGACGATGAATTATTGTCATTGTCGAGCACATTGACCCTTTTTATGTTTTTATAAACCCTTGGGTGTTGATTGCAATCATTTATCACAATTAATTATACTTCCAGTTCAGATTACAAGTCACTAAGACTCATTAACTAAAATGAAAATGGTAGTAAGAAATTCAGCAATTATTGCATTTATTTTTGTAATGGTGCAGACCATCTGGTTCCAAATAACAATATGGACATCACTAGAGAATGTGCCGTTACCAGTTATGGATAAGCGATATCCAGAGATGCTAGAAGTGTCAGGTAAGACATTGAAATAAACATAATAAAAAATTTTACAAAATGGCCACATACTAGCCAAACTGTCATAACACAGCAAACCATGCTTGTAAGTATTCAAAATAAATAAATAAGTAAATAAGGACATATCACTGAGTCTAATGGGCTTTAATTGATGTTACTATTATGTTTTGTATTTGTGATGGCCATTATCCTGTCTCATTTCAGATAAGGGGAACTACAATAACTACCACAGTTCTAGAGATAGGACCTTTAAAGCAACTGATAAAACTACTGACAATTCAGATGTGGCCACTGAAAGTCCTAATAAGATCACTGGTATTGCGGATGAAACAAATGGAAATATAAACAGGACTGGGGAAAGTCCAGATGAGATCTCTAAAAATGCAGATAATATCATTGTAAAGGGAGATGAGGACACTGAAAATGCAGATAATACCATTGGAAAGGGAGATAAAAACACTGAAAATGCAGATAATACCATTGTAAAGGGAGATAAGAGCACTGAAAATGCAGATAATACCATTGGAAAGGGAGATAAGAACACTGAAAATGCAGATAATACCATTGGTAAGGGAGATAGGAACACTGAAAATGCAGATAATACCATTGGAAAGAGAGATAAGAACACTGAAAATGCAGATAATACCATTGGAAAGGGAGATAAGAACAATGAAAATGCAGATAATACCATTGGAAAGGGAGATAAGAACAATGCAAATGCAGATAATACCATTGGAAAGGGAGATAACAACACTGAAAATGCAGATAATACCATTGGAAAGGGAGATAAGAACAATGAAAATGCAGATAACACCATTGGAAAGGGAGATAAGAACACTGAAAATGCAGATAATACCGCTGGTAAGAGAGATAAAAACATTGAAAGGGAATATAAGACCATTGAAAAGGAAGATAAGACCATCGGAAAAGGGAATAAGACCACTGGAAAGAGAGATAAGAGTGATTGGGAATTTGTAGTGGCTGAAGAAAAATGGTTGTATAATCCTGGGGTGTTACTTGACCCAGAAACAAGGAATCAGCTTATAAAATCAATAACCAAATCACTAGATGAACTGTACAAGAGGAGATCCAATAGTACAAGAGATGAGTTGGACCTCAATGGTGCTACAATGTTAGGGCCACATTTCTACAGCCAACCTGAGGATTTATTCAAAGAATCTCAGCGGATGAAATTATTAAAGAGACTGCCTGGCTTATTGGTGATTGGGATTCAAAAATGTGGCACAGCGGCGCTAAAAAATTTCCTAGATGCACATCCAAATATGGCGTCTGAAAATGATGAACAACATTTCTTCGATAACCACTATAGGGAATATCATATCAATAACAATATTGATCTAAAGGAAAGAGTTCTTAAAAGATATCTTCCAAATATGCCAGAGACAGCAGAAAATGTGATGACCTTTGATAAAACGCCGGAATACTTTGATCTGGCTGACCCATTGGACATCTATCGTATGAACCCTTATATAAAGTTAATCATTATGATATGTGACCCAGTTAGACGGAGCCAGTCCTCATATATTCATAACAAATCTAGAGGACGCTATACTGAATCCTATTCCAAATACGCATTTTCTGTAAATGGTTCCATTAACACAGAAGAATCTTTCATATTTAGAGGCAGATATGATAGACCATTGGAAAGATACCTGACCATCTTTCCTAGGGATCAAATCCTAATCATTGACAAAACCTACTTCAAGGGACATCCCTTAAAGGTCATGACTGAAGTTGAGTCGTTTTTAAAAATTCCAAAGTTTTTCGAGGAAGATATGTTTTATTTTGATGAAACTGTAGGGTATTTTTGTCTGACCATGACCTCAAAATTAAATATTGCTGGATGTCTGTCAAAAACTAAGTACAACCAACCCCCAGTTTTGGCCGATGATGTGGTGAAGAAGTTACAATTATATTACAAGCCATCCAATGATAGGTTTATGCTCCTTGCTGGTTCAGAATACCCTTCTCTTATATATCCAGATATTTAACTGTTTTTGCAAGAGCTGCCTCACAAGATGATGCCTTTAAAACTCATGTTTATATGCTTTTGTCAAAGGGTCTCAGAATTTATACCTTCAGAAAAAAGGGTGTGGCATTTCTTCACTCACATTTCTTTCTGAACCTTGGCCATTAGAGAAACTATGAATATGTGGTATATATTCTTTTTAAAAACTATAATTTGAAAACAGGGGTTCGTCCCCCATTCCATCCATTTTCAAATTTTACCCTTTTTACCTCTTTTCTGTAGGAAATTTTGTCCCATGGCCCCATTTCTCACTGCATTGTTTCAATTTCAATTCAATGATTAAAAATGTTAGCTATAACATTGGGTATGTATTTTATACAGTTGCTTTCCAGCCCTACATAAATCAGACATTTTATACAATGCATCAACAACAGAGAAAAACTTTTTCAGATTTTAAAGTATTAATATTAAATAAAATACCTTTAAAATCTAATCCTTTGATAAATTCACCATAACTTAAATGAGGTTTACCTTTATTTAACTGATTAATATACACCATGAGACCATTGCGATAGATGGGGTCTACCTGATGATCTACAACCCGTGTCGCCATATCAACCACTCTGTGAGCCAATCCTGTCAAACCATAACTAAACAGTAGAACCTCTGAGGAGCTTGTTGCATTCTTCAAACGACTACATGTGTCTATTTCTTCCATGATAAGCTTTTCTGCAAAACATTTCCAGATGTCATAAGATATAAAAAAACATATTATAGTTATATATTACTGTACCCTAAATAGCATATTTTACCAAATTGTTAGGAAAACAATATCTTTGTTCTTGTTTTATAAGAACTACCAGAATCCCGAAATAAACATTTCTTCAAAATATATTTTCTGTAAAAATGAAGGACTCAAGATATGATATCATACAATAAGACAGAGAACTAAATAACAGAATAAACAACATGTGGCATGTCAGGGATGAATATAACATAGGTATAAAAAATTAATATCTTTGGAAAAGGTTCTATCTCTGCGTTTGACTCTCTTTGTTATAAGAAATGAAGAGGGTAAATAATAATAACAGTACCTGTTACATTTACAAACAGATTGGGATCTGTAATTCGATCAATACTCTCAACTAAAATATTCATCTCATTGTTCCATAGTTGTTTCAACGTCTTTAGATGCTTCACAGCAACTTTGTTCAAGGGGTCTCTACGGCATGACATCACAGCAGGTACAAGTTGAGGATCTAAAAGCTCGAGTTGTTTCACGCTACTCCTGATATCTCTTACTCCTACATTTTCAGGGGGAATAAAAAGATGTCACATAAATATATATATCGTATATTCATATCTGCACAAAAATTAAAAAAATGGTTTCTATAAAAACAATTATCCTGATCTAAGAAATTTAGAAAATTGTCAGCTCTGTTTTATGTATGGCTGCCAAATGAATATTACGAAATAATAAACTAGGTCTGATATTTGTAAATATCACGCTTCCTGGTCAACTTAGCTCCAAGTCATCTCAACCCTTCGTCATCTCGACCCTTGGACAACCACCCGTAGTCAACTCAACCATGGGCTTTCAATTCTTTCAGTTCTAGTTGAAAGCCCATGACTCAACCGATCAACCATTCTTCCATATGTACAAAGCTATCTTTTAAGAAGTTAAGAGAAACAATGCAAAGGGTATCAAATTGTACGACTTATTTTCAAAAAGGAGGATTTTGTTTGCTATTTATGGTTCCTCATATCAAAATGTAGAATGGAGTCTTATTTGGAAGACCAACTTTTTGTGACCAAAATTATGAGCTGAAAGTCTACATAGGGAAATATCAAATATGGGTGACTGAAACTAAGCTGAAAACAATAGATACCATGAGTTTGCACTGTGGAAAAATAACATGGGATATGTTGTTCTGAACTTTATTGCATTTTAATGGCCTTTCCCTTTCAGAAGTTACAGATGTGCAGCTGAGGAAACTTGATTTGATAAAAATGAGAAATGGAAGGTCCTCTTTTATATAAATCTGATATAATTTTGAAAATACATTATTATGCAATTTGTGAAACATTCAATAAAAGCCAATAGATATTAGGTTTATTCTGTTAAACATTGTTTTGAAGGATCAATACATTCATAAAAATCAGTGAAAATATCAGTACATTGTACATTCTTTTTACAAAATGTGTTACTCAAAAATAAATATTTAATTTTTAGTTAAAATGAGCAAATATTATTTAAGATGAGAATGGTTTTAGATATCTTTAATTTAGTTCATCATCAAACAGATGTTGTCTTAAAGGCCCTGTGCCCTACTGAAAATATAGTTTTCTGAAAGATGTGACTTTTAGAAAAAAGTTGTACGTCTTATAAATTTTAAATATTTGAATTTCCCACCATTTTAGAAACACAAATTTAGAGTTATCTCAGAATCAACTAAAACATTACACGTCCAAACCCTTTCCATAGGCTCATGATAACCTATATGACACCACCTGAGCAGTCATTTAAATCTGACGTCTACTCATATTCATTACGATACAACTGTGAGTTCAGAAACAGGTTTATGGCTGCTATACGACTAGTTCCAATCCAAAACAATAGAATGTGACCAACAATAAAACTGACTTTACATTCAGAAACAGACCCGTATTAGTAATAGATTCATGATATTTATATTTATTGGTATCTATTGTTACTGCAAGACAAGGCAAGGAGGAAATATTATCGTGTATTGTCAACAATAATATTGATATATAGCAGTTTTCTTACGCTGTGTGTCTGTTGAACTAGCAGCTACTAGTAGCGCCACCTGGCTAGATAGCTCAAAATGGCAGTTTAGACGATCGATGTAAGGTTCCAAAATATCATGACATTCTTTTTCTGGTAAACGCTGTATCGTCTGAAATGCACAATAAAAAAGTTTAATCTTTCAGTCCAGCAATGTTCTCTCCTGAAATCATTAACCACTTTTCATTGTGGATTCATAAAAAAATCACTTCCATCTTGACACAAATCTTGTTTTATTTGAGATTCAAAGGACGATTCTCGGTTTGGAGAACAGTCTCCTGGGCTAATAATTTTTTTCATGAAAAATATAGAAATATTACCCAAATTAAACTATGAATATTCAAAAGAGGACATTTAAATCTACAAGATGTAAAGATAACAAATTGGTCTGAAGCAGGGATAATGCTCAAAAAGACCGATTCAATATAAATACAAGTCTCGATTCGGGGAAAGAAGTCCATCAGTGTACTGAGCTAATATTTTTTGGCGAAAAATCTAGAAATATTACCCAAATTAAATTATGACTATTCAAAAGAAGACATTCAAATCTTTATTATGTAAAAAAATCAAATTTGTCCGAAGCAGGGATAATGCTCATTTAGATTGATGAACTTCGTTCTCCAAACCGAGAATCGTCCTTTCAAAATACACTTCATTATAAGATATTGATTCTCAAAGACACACCATTGCATCATTATGAATTCACAACTTTCCAGAAAAAATACTATTATTTAGAATTAAATTAAATAGCCAATAATACTCTGATGATATAATTTTGCTCCTAAACATCCCACCCTTGTTATAAATAATATGGAGATCAAGCTTGCAATGTTTTTCACAACCTAAATTTGAACGGAAAATATCTAAGCGATGCATTTGTATGGGCAATTGGTCATCATATAGGTTGGCGTTTCGATTTTATGTACAAACTTAAACCCCCTAATATACACATTGTAACATAAACAATAATATGGCATTTTATACAAATATAAATATCTTAGCTTGTGATAAGTCATACACCTTGGGGTGTCTTTATCATTATTATGTAAATATGTTTATATGATTTCAATAAATAAATAAACTCAAAAAAATATGAACGATACCATTATGCTTCATATATGAATGCAGAACTAGGAATCGATGGAAGTTTTGTTTGACATTGTTTTTTTATGTATGTCTGACTGTGTTTTTGGTGCCAAGCAGAACCAAACGTCTAAATTAGGATTTTCATGATCTTCCTCATTCTCAAGTGGGTGCAAATGGATACTGATGTGGGTGCAAGCTTATTTTGAAAATCTCAAGTGTGTGCAGTCCCCACTTGCTGTAATGCTGGGGAGGTTATTGTTTGGACCAAATCCAATAACTGGCACAAGAGCCCATATTCCCAAAACAGTGCACATGTGATCAACTTTTATTACCAATATACTCTCAGGAAATCAAAAAGTGACTTAACAGCAAAGTAATATCTACACCTTATAGTGTTCATAGTGTAGTGATAACAACTTATAAGAAAGTAACCAAACCCGTCTGGCCCAGTTATCTACTCCTGACGTCCTAGATCTGGGCCAGACTAGGTCCAATGCTAAAAAGGGGGGATTTACTCTGGAAAAAACATGTCGCTGAATCATCACTAATTATTCATTCCCTATTAGCCATCCAACCAAAACATCGGGCTCCATGTAAACCCAAGTATTTATTTGAAATAAAGAGTATATTACTTACACGTAAATGTGGTGTTTTGTTTGTTATATTGATGTTGAAATGGGCACAACATTTCGTCAATATTTTCGTCAGCTCTCCGCACCGAATAAAGTCACGTCATGTGACGTAACATAAGTGTGACGCGATAATTTTTTAACTTCCATGGAACGAAAATACATTTCCCGGGAATCAATACATTCCAAATATTACGATTTTTCCAGCAGATTTTTCATCAAAATGTAGATCTCTTTATAAAACAGACGTATCTGTGTTGTATTTAGACTTGAAAGAAATATTGTGGACATTAAATACGATTTTTCGATTTGTTGAACTGACCGAATGTAGTACTGAACGAAATATGCAGCCGAGACTTCTCGATATCCTACGAGATCACGAACAGATTGCAGAAGAATTTTTCTTTTTGCAGCGTTTAATCGTTTCGTTCTTATTTATTAGCCGTCATTCAGCGATGGAAACCTAATATAAATACAAAGTTTGATACAAGGAACAAACACGTAAGTGACTTTTATGATGTTTATTCATTTATCAGCACGTATTATACATTGAAAAACCAGTGTGTTTTTTCCGGAGTAAATACCCCTTTTTTTGCATTGGAGCTAGTCTGGCCCAGATCTACGAGGTCGGGAGTAGATAACTGGGCCAGACGGGTTTGGTTAATAAGAAAGTTGCATGGTAACAATTGATTTTCACTTATATGAATGCAATATGGATTTATGCCTGTGTTGTCTTCAGAATTTCTTAAAGGACAACTGAAATAGCTTTTCTAAACTTGCAGCTACAAAAATGCAGTTTTCTCCATTGTAAACCCAACGTAGAGTTCTTGCGATAGCCATTATAAAATAAATGTTAGATAACTGCTAACGGTCATAAATAACGAAACAAAACTAACTGATCAATCAAAGTGGCCCCCACGTGATAAGTAACGTCATATACAAAATATAGCTTTGGTTTGTTGGTTCCTTAGTAATCACAACGTCACGGCAACCATAGGATTGTAGTGTAAACCAAAACAAAACATTTAGGCATTATGACGTAATGGGCCACGTGGGGACCAGTGAGAGATCACGTGGGGGCCAATATTGCACAACCAATTCGAATATTGCTTATTAAGCAGCTATAACGATCGTTAGAGTGAAATAGTTTTCGCACTACTGATGAGAAAACATGTCCAAATACATTTATCAAAAAATTATATTGATTCCTGTAGGTTAAAAATACCATTTCATATCTGCTTTAATATTTTCCATATTAATTTTGGGAGGGCACTGTTCAGAGATAATATGGCATTATTTTGCATTATAAGAAATTGTATCTGATTGGTTTCCATTTTAAAATTCACCAGCCATTTTAAAAATACCTTTTTGACCAGAGGTTCTAAGGCATCAGCAGAAAATCTGAGCTAAATCTGTCGACTGGAATTTGAGTGATCAAAGATGAAAAAAGGATGGCCATACAGTAACATTTGAAATTCACTCTTGAACAGATGGCCTATTCCCCTAAGACATTAGCCCATAAAATTTGGACCAAATCTGATTTCTGGATGATTAGATGGATGGACCAGGCACCACAATAGTTCTACTTGAACCTTGTTTGGTAGGATAATAATTATTACTGCAAAACAACATCTCCAAGGAGTAGCAAATCCCAATGAACAAGTTCATATTGATTAATCTGTATATGTCACAATATAATATTTACAACCCACACCCTTGATTTGCAGATAATAAAAGACATACATTGGAGATTAGGAAATTATTGCAAAATCCAAAATTAGGTTGCCATTTTAAAATTTCCATATGTTTGCAATCTACTCTAAATTGCCTTTCATTTGAGTATAAAAAAGCTTTACTTCAGCCCCTGGGGGTTAGCCAAAAAACACAGAATATATGTCAAACAGATATAAAACTACCTAAATATCAAACATTAATACTTATTACACTGTACTTTGGTTAACTAAGAAATGAAAAACTTGTATTTTTACAAAAATTTCTGCAATTTATCAAGTGGCAGCCATCTAAAATAACATATTTTTCTGCACAAAACTATTTACCAAAATCCATCTTCCAACCAAATATGAAGAAAAACTCTCAACAAAAATTTGATTAATTTTCCATACAAATGGATGGACGGACAGATGTACTACAGACATATGGGTCCTCTATATCCCTATGAACTTTGGTGGGATAATAAGATAAACATAAAGATGAGGCATTTGTTATCAATATTTTATGAGACATTGTCTGTATGGTGTTTAGAGTTCAATTGATGAACATGCAAAAATAAAAAATAGTAATGATTGCAAGAGTAAAAAACTTAAATAATTCATGGACTAAATGTGAGTCACAATGATCCATTTTGGCAATTGAAGAACCTGAAAGTAACTCTTACGGCATGTCTGTAGGTCTATTTGAATTAATGTAATCATGACAATAGAAAAATGTTTAGACAATGTATTTTGCCTTAAATCTGAACACTTTTGTCACATTTCACTGAAGGAGGAATTTATTGTATATGTATTTGTAAGAAGTCTTACGGATGCATTTAGAAGCAATGAAAGGGATGTTGTAATAACTATTAATAATATTGAGCCTTAAAGGCCCTGTGTAAAGTTTAATCATTCAAATATTACTTTATATGACTTGAAAAACCATTTGAGATGTTATGACTTTAAAAGGAGTTGTTCATCTTACAATTTTCAAAAATATTTCAATTTCCCACCATTTGAAAAACAAACAAACGTTTAGATTTTTAGATCATCAAATACAACACTTAAAGCACAAATGAAATACATATTTTTGTTTTCTGAAATTTAAGTTCTTGTGATATATGTGTGTGTGACAACTAAAAATTTTATTTGAAATAAATTCACAATTTTTTCAACAAAAAGTCTAACAAAATCAACATAGGAGATTTTGATAACATTGGCTAATAATATTATCCAATGCAGTTTAAACTTTATATGGGGCCTTTAAGTCCCATTCGATGGCTTATAGATTATGATGGAGTTTATTTCAATACAACTGAATTGTAATCCAATAGAATCAGTAACAGAGTTTTATATATACCAAAGCTGTGCTCTGGAATGAGATATTTTCCTATTGGAAATCTACATCTAAAACATTTACAGTTTGAACATATGATTTTTCAAATAACTTCAGCTTTAGAAACCAAACATTAAATTGCAGCATTTGCAATTGGAATATATAATTTTCAGATCAAATTACAAAAGCTAAAAAATGAAAACTTACACGAAATGGATGACACTGTTCTTAGCAGTCATGGGACTTTATTATGCTATTCTTACCTTGTCTCATAATGATAATGCAAATATAAATGGAAAGAGAAATGATATCAAAAATGTAAAAAATACTTATGACAAAATTGAGGAAAATGAAGACACAGTAGATGTCCAAGTTGACAAAAAGGGTATAAATGCAAGATTAGATAACCTTTATAATAACGAACCATGGGATAACATAAAGCAAATCAATGACAATACTAATGACAATATTCAAAAACAGGATAATGAAAAATGGGGAATTGAAACACAAAATAATGCGAAACAGGACAATGCTGAAGAAGGTAATGACAAAAATGTTATAAATGACAATATTCAAGGCAATAACAATGATCTATCAAACTTTGAGGGTGAAGCTTATATATGTAATGCAGAAAGCCAAACTGTGCTCACTGGATACCAGACAGAAAATCGAGATAATGACCTCATAATGTATAGTGAAATGGGCAAATGTGGGAGTGGAACACTCATAGCTATCCTAGCGCGTGCGTGTTTAAAATCCAAGGCATATATGACAAAATACACAATTCCATTACCATGGGATGACCAATTACCGACTATTCAGAAAAGATTGAAATATGTAAATGATAAAATTCTAAACAACAGAAAGCCATATTTATTTACTGGGCATTCAAGTTTCATAGACTACAAAGAACTTGGACTTCCACAACCAATATACATCGATCTCATAAGGGATCCCATCAACATGTGGATCTCACTGTTCTATTATATGAAACGGCCTCAACTTCCGGGAATGCAAGCAAATCCATTGGAGTTTTGTATTAAGTATTGGATCAAAACATCTGGATGTGAAAATTCACATGATATGGTTCACTGCTTACATACAAGAGAATTCAAAGGCTGCAAGCATGGCTATGTCAGTCCAGGATATAAACGGCAGTTCACAGGGCGATATGTTAATTCCTCAGAGTGGAGTGTACAAAATGCAAAAAAAAACATTGAACGCTACTATACATTTATCGGCATCAATGAACATTATATCGAGACTCTAAAAGGACTGGAAATGGTTATTCCAAGGTTTAAACCAGGATTACTTACTGATACCTACAAAGTAGTCCATAACAAGAACGTAGGCAGAAAGAGGGCGCCTCCAACTAATGAAACAGTGGCTCTTATGAAGCAATTGTTAGCTGATGACTACACTATCTACTATTTTGTGCGTCAACGGTTTTACACTCAGTTAAAATGTTTAGGAATTGAAGTAGATTTTGATAAGAAATTCCCCTGGCATTGAAATGTCTATCATCAAAACATTTCTGCTGTTGGATGCTACTATAGGCCTTGGCTTTCTTGGTTATTGAAGAGAGAATCATTAACTGATTTAATAGTCAAATATGTTACCAAACAGACATCTAAGACAGATATCATAGAATGATATTGGAACCAACATTTAGTCTAAACAAGACACACAGTGATAAATATCGCACTTTGAAGAGCAAACTGGCCACCATGCAATTCACCCAGCATGGCAAAAACCTAATCAGACCTTGGCACTAGTCTGCTCTTGCATCTGTAAACATTTCAAGTTGACAAGGTTAGCGGTTTTCCTGCAATTTTGATGACAAGAATTTATTTGTAGTCTTGAACTTTGGGAAAATTTAGATAACATTGTTTGTGACCTAATTTGATGACCTTCGACCTTGAAAATTTTACTTTTTCAGACCTCAGTAGGTGTTTTGTAATTAAGCTGACCTAAATTTAAATCCAAAATATCAATTTAGAAAATCAACTTTTTGACCTTTTCAAGGCCACTGAAGGTCAACGAAAGGTCAAATCTGAAATCTAAGGTCTGATTTGAACTTCTGGGAACTTGTAGATGTTTTTAAAAAAAAAATTGGTCAATTTGGAGCAAGTTGAAAAATTCAAAATGGCCGCCAAATTGAAAAATTCAAAATGGCCACCATGTAATTCAGCCAGCACACCCAAAACCTAATCAGATCTTAGCAATAGTCTGCTCTTGCATCTGTAAAAATTTCAAGTTGAACGGATAAGTGGTTTTCCTGGAATTTTGATGACAAGATTTGTTGAAAAATTAAAGATGGCCACCACGTAGTTTACCCAGCATGCCCTAAACCTAATAGGCGAGTAGAACCAATGGCCAAATGTGCCAGGAAAGTACTTTTTAAAATACATCATGGGGAAAAGGACAAATGAGGTACCGTTGTAAAGCTAAGGACTTCGGCTTTTCAAATCCACCTGTACCTAAGTTTGAATTTGGGGCAAAAATTGCAAAAACATCCGTTTCCATAGCAACCATTTAAAATATAATCAATAAATCAGAAATCACCTTTCGGATCGTAGAACCCCTGTTATCTGTCCAATTCTAATGATACATATATGAAAATGAAGCTATTGATGTCCCCTTGTTTATAAACAAGAAAATATGCAAATTAGCTAATTTGCATATCTATTATGACATCATAAGTAGATTTTTTAACCAAATTTGAGACATTTTGGAGATTTATCTGATATAATAATGAAGCATTATTTGTAATTGAAAATTATTGTTAGATATTACTAATAATTCATTATTTGAGTTAGAAATAAATTGACTGCAAGGTTTGAAAAGTGCTAAAAATCAAAATCATAGGATATCCTATAAATATTATACTTACATCAACAATATCACTGCTGGTTATCACAATAATATTGAAAATAATTTATTTCCTGTAATATTTCAACTTATGATGGAAATTTTGGATGCATGCTGTATTTGTAACTTTTCAGTATATTTAGGGTGTCCTAAATTCAAATCTGCCGGATGCAATTTGAGTATACAGGGTGTTCCAAAAGTAACAGGACTGGTGCTGGTATTTTGTTAAATATGCACCAATCATCTTCAAAATTTTACATAATGTACTTTCATGTATTATGACTAGAACTGCAAAGTTGTGACAAAAATTATGAAACTCAGGTAGAGTTATGGTTGCTATGGGAACATGACATCATAATACCCGGGGCAACATTCCACGCAGAAAGTTTCACAGACTTTAAGCATTTTGGTCATCCCATATCAAAGTTGAAATGCAACAACTGGAGGGAATTACATTTGCTACACATCTTTTGATATTCCTATGTATCCTCTACTTTGAAAAGTGAAGGCTCCTCTTTGGTCAGTACAAGAGAAGCACTTTGTATCCATAACTGAAACACATGAGTTAACCCATTTAAGGACATTGCATGGCGATTGGATAACTTGGAGAAGGTCATTCTCACTTGGAGGTAGATTCTCATTTTTAAAGGTCTTACCGCACTGATTAGCATTTCATTCTCCACATAAGTAAAACATAGATATTGCATGACCAGAAGAGAATGATGCATTGTCTTAGACCTCAAGACTTAGCTCCTCTATAGCTGCAGTGGTCTTTACTGGTGACCTGCGGGTAGGTGCGTTATCAAGGTAGATGACTGGCTTCAAATTGAGTCTTTTCAAAAACTCAACCTTGAATTTAGCACACATACATAGTGATATTCCAGGATATCAAGTAAATATCATTATTATGAATCTGAGTTGTATTGCAAGACCATCACAACAAAGCAACTAATAAAACAAAGAAAAAATGTTGTACTGTAATAGGTGAATTAGATACTTGTTTCAGTAAATCAAAAATGTTAGATATCACATTTTCATGGAATAGTTGCCCCGGGTATTGTGATGTCATGTTACTATAGTAACCATAACTCTATCCGCATTTAATCATTTTTTCTGAAACTTTCCAATTTTACTTGCCATACTTCAAAGTACAATATGTGAAAATTTGAAGACACTAGGTGCATACTTGACAAAATGCCAGCACCAGTCCTGTTACTTTTGGAACACCCTGTATATTGAAATGGCCGCAAAGTACTCAAATTTCATCCGGCAGATTTGAATTTAGGACACACTAAATATACTGAAAAGTTACAAATATAACATGCATCCAAAATTTCCATCATAAGTTGAAATATTACAGGACTATATAATATTATAAGAAGGTACACTATTTTGTATATCTTCAGACATAGAATTGAGCAATAAATTGTTTTCAATATTATTGTGATAACCAGCAGTAACATGCATCCAAAATTTCCATCATTCTTAAAAATATGGCAATATATTGCAGGACTAAAATGCAGATCACTATTATGCATATTAACATACATGTCTTATATGTCTTATGTAAATAATGCTAGAATAGCAGAAATATGGAAATACATTAATATTGTATGTATACATTTTAAAATGCAATTTGTTTATTCTTATAAACATATAATTTATCTTAAAATGGATTTTGAATAAAATTAATAGTTCTAGTACCAATATGATATTATTTAAAAAATATTAACTTCACACGGTAAATGAATACATTTTGGTTTTAGTGCATTCTGCCCTCAATTCCTTTAACCTAGAAATTTTTCTGGACAAGTTACCAATAAGGATACTTTTCATACCCATTTATAAGTAGACTTTTCAAACACATTTAAAAGCTAATACTCAAACTATTTCTAGCATCAATAATGATATTTAAATAGTAGTAATTCTACCAGTTTATTAATAATTATAACTAATATGTTATCATTAATATCAAAAACATCTCAAAATTACCTAAACATTGGTTGAAAAAAATTTAATTATGACATCAGGATAAATATGCAAATGAGCAAATAGACATATCTTGTTAATTATGAACAGGGGGCCTCAATAGCTTCAGTTTGGTATATATATCATTAAAATCGGACCAAGAACATATGTACTATGTTCAAAAATATGATTTCTGATTAAATGATTAAATTTTAAATGTTGCCATGGAAACGGCTATTTTAAGCATTTTTCAAAGCTTGCAGCCAATTTATTTCGAACTCAATGATGAAATTTAGTTATGTTTACCAATACATTTTCAATTACAACTAAAGTGCTATTATAATATCAAATATATCACCAAAATATCTTAAAATCGGCTCAAGAATCTACTTATGACGTCATAATAGATACGCAAATTAGCTAATTTGCATATTTTCTTGTTTATAAACAAGGGGACATCAATAGCTTCATTTTGATATATGTATCATTAGAATTGGACAGATAACAGGTGTTCTATGATCCGAAAGGTGATTTCCGTTTTATTGATTATATTTTAAATGGTTGCTATGGAAACGAGTGTTTTTGCAATTTTTGCCCCAAATTCAAACTTAGGTACAGGTGGATTTGAAATGCTGAAGTCCTTACCTTTACAACGATACCTCATTTGTCCTTTTCCCCTTCGTGTATATTAATCACAATTTTCAGACCTCCATTCTACTAGCCTATAATCAGATCTTGGTACTAGTCTGCTATTGCATGTGTAAAAATTTCAAGTTGAACAGGTTAGCGGTTTTCTTGGAACTTTGATGACAAGAATTGATTTGTAGTCTCAAACTTTGAGAAACTTGGATAACATCATTTGTGACCTAGTTTAATGACCTTGACCTTCGACCTTGAAAATTTCACTTTTTCAGACCTCAGTAGGTGTTTTGTAATTAAGCTGACCTAAATTTAAATCCAAAATATCAATTTAGAAAATCAATTTTTTTTTACCTTTTCAAGGTCACTGAAGGTGAACGAAAGGTCAAATCTGAAATCTAAGGTCAGATTTGAACTTCTGAGAACTTGTAGATGTTTTTAAAAAAAAGTTGGTCAATTTGGAGCAAGTTGAAAAATTCAAAATGGCCGCCAAATTGAAAAATTCAAAATGGCCACCATGTAATTCAGCCAGCATACCCAAAACCTAATCAGATCTTGGCAATAGTCTGCTCTTGCATCTGTAAAAATTTCAAGTTGAACGGATAAGTGGTTTTCCTGGAATTTTGATGACAAGATTTGTTGAAAAATTCAAGATGGCCACCACGTAGTTTACCCAGCATGCCCTAAACCTAATCAGATCTTGGCACTAGTCTGCTATTGCATGTGTAAAAATTTCAAGTTGAACAGGTTAGCGGTTTTCTTGGAATTTTGATGACAAGAATTGATTTGTAGTCTCAAACTTTGAGAAACTTGGATAACATCATTTGTGACCTAGTTTAATGACCTTGACCTTCGACCTTGAAAATTTCACTTTTTCAGACCTCAGTAGGTGTTTTGTAATTAAGCTGACCTAAATTGAAATCCAAAATATCAATTTAGAAAATCAATTTTTTTGACCTTTTCAAGGTCACTGAAGGTGAATGAAAGGTCAAATCTGAAATCTAAGGTCAGATTTGAACTTTTGAGAACTTGTAGATGTTTTTAAAAAAAAAATTTGGTCAATTTGGAGCAAGTTGAAAAATTCAAAATGGCCGCCAAATTGAAAAATTCAAAATGGCCACCATGTAATTCAGCCAGCATACCCAAAACCTAATCAGATCTTGGCAATAGTCTGCTCTTACATCTGTAAAAATTTCAAGTTGAACGGATAAGTGGTTTTCCTGGAATTTTGATGACAAGATTTGTTGAAAAATTCAAAATGGCCGCCACGTAGTTTACCCAGCATGCCCTTAACCTAATCAGATCTTGGTACTAGTCTGCTCTTGCATCTGTAAAAATTTCAAGTTGAACAGGTAAGCAGTTATCCTGGAAATTTGATGACAAGATTTGGTTTATGTCCCGCCCGCCCGCACGCCCGTACGCCCATACGCCCGCCCAACAGCACAAGACGACGACAATATAGCACTTTTTCAAAGTGCGATAAAAACTATGACATTAAGCTAGTGTATTCGCAATTGCAACTAAAGCCTGTCGGCTACCGGATTAACCTACTATTTCATGACCAACTCATTTAAACTAGGTACTATTCATATTTAAATAAATTGCCCATAAAAATAGCAGGTACAGGCCGACAGGTGTTAGTTGTATTTGCGAATAAAAGCTACAAAACATTATTTGAAGATTGGCAATTGAGCTGTATAATAATAATTATCTTCATACCACCCTATACTGTACTTAGTGATCGCACCAATTACGAATGGTTGTGGTAAAGATGAGCCACTGCAATTTAAGTTGACCTTTTCTGATCAGCTTAGCAGTAATATAACAGAGCAATGTCCATACCCATAGTCAATTCTCGTCATCAAAATTTTAATCTCGGAAAAACATGCATTTTGCATTGGATATACATGATTAAAGGTCACATTGTTTCACATGTATGAAGAAATAAAACACATCTGTGTACAATCTGTACATATACCTTTTTATGCATCGTGATTGTTGATAAAACTGAGAACACAAGGCATGCATAATTTATTTCTGATTCTAAAACAGGATAGAATCTGATATTATCAACATTGTGTGCTATAGAAATACGAGTTCAAAAATTATGGAACTCATCTTTATTGGTTTTTAGTCTTCGTGGCTCGTCTCTACCACTACATATAGGGTGAAAACTGATAACTAGACTCTGCAAACAGGGTATAAAAACCGATAAAAACCGATAATCATGAATTACTTGGAAGAAACATGCCTAACATTGTATTATCAGGAAATCTAAATGTGTATTGATCTGTGGATCAATAACCAATACTACATTAAAGTTAGTTGCATGTTATTGTTATTGTAAAAAATATCCCAAAAGGTGACATCAATAAACATTTTTTGGAATTTTGACAAGAATTGATTTGTAGTCTAAACTTAGATGACATCATTCGTGACCTAGTTTGATCTACACATATATGAATATAATATCTGAGTACCCAACGTCCCAAGATGACGTATATAAAAAAATTCAAATTCAAATAATTGACTGTAAACCCACACATACATGATATCCACACTGAGTATTTTCTGCAAGGACTATCATCTGCAAAGGTGAATATACTAAGAAGTTTTCCAAAATTGAAAATAAGTTACTACTACTCCTATTTTTGCATGGAAACAGTGATACATATTCAAACTATCACATCACAAGTCTACACAATATATACAAACATCTCTGATGTAGCAAAAGATGGCAGGGTTTGTTAGATAGGTCTGGTTAATGTTTAGACAAAGCACACAATCTTCTTTGCTTAACAGCTGCTCAATAATTAAAGCAATTTGGAATCAAGACTCATACATCTTTGTGAGGAGTGGAGTGGTGCATACAAATGATGTACGAAACATTTTGCTTTAACCGATTTGAATTTTGAACAAAAATGTTTAGTACTATTTAATATTTAGTTAAAAGGTGACATACCTGATCTGTTGAAAGAGCTGCTCTGACCAGTCTATCGAGAGGTTGCGTAGTTTCTTTGAATGTGGCAACTACCTGGTGCAGTGTAGCATTGTTCACATGGCGCTCAAGGTCATGTAACTCCATAGCAACATTAGAACAACTGTCATCATAGTCACTTCTGAAATTATAAATTCAAATCATATAAAAATCTGGTGTTTGTCTTTGAATGTTGTTGTATAAATGTGAGTCAAACACCTCTGTAAGTTAAACACTTCCAAAGTTGAACATGTTTTTCCAAATGAATTCTAATTAGACTATTACTGTGTATGTACTACTTCCAGCTATATGCGAGAAACGTGTCATAAAATATCATGATATGATATTTCTCTTGCATAAATGAACAGCTTTAATTCCATTAGTGCTTAATGCCAAATTATTTAACCTAAATATCATAATATGTTTAATTCAAAAAATATTGTTTTACGAGTATGAACATGACATGCAACATAATACTAATTAAAGTATTTGACTTTACTGAGTAGAATAACCCCTGTGCAAGGAAAACACATTTGATAACCTGAGAATAGTCGTCTTCTGCTTGGGAGGTGTTCCAAATGCAGAGGTTTAGTTCAGAATGAGGGTGACACGACTTTGAAAATTGGAACTAGAAAATAAACTTCCTACCTAAGCTCTACAAAGTCTGGATTATGCTGTACATTCTTCAGGTGTTGGAGCATCCCACCCTTGAGCCGTATCACCTGGAGCAATATAGAGACATAATTAATACGTTGCACTTGTAGTTCACTTCCTAGATATTTCAACCCCATCCCATACATGACAGAACCTTGACATTTGATATGTTGGGACACTTTGTTAGATATTATATCCCAAAGATACTTTACAAATACAGTAAATAAAACCTATCTAATCCGAACAACATTGGGACCGGCTAAAAGCGTTCAAATTAGGAGGTGTTCACATTTCGAGATTTTTGCATTCGTGAGATTCTGGATTCTAAAGAAATGTGAACACATTCTCAGTACATATTTATAGTTCATTTGACCACATAGCTTCATGGCATTTCAGAAATTTGAAAATTTGATTCAAATGAATTTAGTCATGCTAGAAAGCCCTATTGTAATCAAGACCATTCAACTTTTTTCCCAAAGTTTTGATATCATAACAATGTTTGATCAATTTTGTATGAAACATGTGAAATTTTATGAAAAGTGTTCAGATTAGACAGGTTAATTTTTAAAATATAACTGTTCACTGTTCAAATTGAGAGGTGTTCATATTTCAATTTTTTTAACATGGGAGTTAATGGGAGGAAAAAATGGGACCGAAAAAAGTGTTCAGATTGGGAGGTGTTCGGATTAGCCAGGTGTTCAGATATACAGGTTCTCCTGTATGATAAATAAATATGGTACCCTTTGACAGCATGTGATGATAAGATTTCTATGATGCTCTGAGGATATGTGTGAAACAGCCATAGCATGTCTTAGTAACACATCGAGATAAGCCTCTACATCAGGTGCTGCCATCTTTGTGTTGTCATCACTCTTTAGTATAGATAACATCTACAACAAACCAAGTAATCTTGAAAACAAGTAGTACTCAAAATGGGAAAGTAACAGAAACATGAAATCTCAAATGAAACAATACAAAATGTCTAGTAAAAATAAATGGTTCTTCAAAACCTTTCTTTTTTATTGATTTCTTTCTGATTTAAGAACTAAAATGCCCATCACCAAACCAAATCATTTTCATTAAACTAACAATTAATGAGTAAAATTGTACCTTGTCTAAATATGTGACAAAATGACCAATTTCCTCCACCTCCTCAAGTTCAGTTTCATCTCTTGTCGACAGTCTGTTTTCAACAGCATCTATCAGCTCATCAATACATGTGATTATCTCACCTATCATGTGTTCTTTAGTGGACTGAAAGAAATATTTGAGATTGTTGCAGTTGACAAGTATGTTATTTCAAAGACTTCAAACATGTAAACTGATGGTTGTCCTTTGTTATCATTGATACTATAGACTGAGCCCAAAAAATGTTCACATTTTTCATATAATGCTTCAATAGTTTTTATAAGCCATGAGTTTTGGCCCATTCTGAAAACACAATGAGTTAACGGTACACTGAATCCAAGACCTACTGGCTTGTGGCTACAATCTATCCCAGTAGTTAGACATACAGTTAGACATAGTTAGATATAGTTAGACATAGCCACACAGCTTGTTTTTCATATCCTGCAAATGCATCTCACAATATAATTTCAAGGTCCAATTTATTGCTAATTAGAGCTCTAAAAATGTATATTTTAAAAAATATAAATATTTACAGTACTTACGATTGCTTGTTGATTATTTGGGTACTTTACATAACTCTGCAAAGCATTGCTCAGGAGTGGGATGGATTTCTTCAACACTGTCATCGACATTATCAATCGCTCCCTCTGTCGAGGATGAAGTAAATCCCTTTGACGTTTATCGGCCAATTTTGTTAAAACCATAACTGCTTCTGTGAATCCCTAAAATCAAAAATATTTCCCATCAGTACTACGCACAAACCTTGGAAATTCTTCAAATAGATGCTATCCTCTCATCCTTGCCTCCTTATAATTTGCTTTGGTTTTAGGGGCTATGTGATAGACTACACTTTGTGTTTGGCATTTCTGATTCTAGTGTTTTTGCATCACAATATGTACATATAATTTGGTTCTTGTTATATGTACCACTCTATTGATTAATGTACAATATGAGGCTATCATTGCTGAAGAAAGAATTGCAGTGGCTACACTTCATCAATATTTCATTGCTTTCTGAAGCATATAAAGTACAAGAATAGACTGGGAAAATAAAAGTTAAAATCAACTGGCATTTTCTGAGATTTAAGAACCAAGTCAAATTGTGCAAAAGCAAGAAAAAAAGCAACCCACCCCTCAGATTTAAACAATTGTACACAACTTCATTACAACTTAAAAAATAAGGTTTCTATGTGCCATAATAAAGGGTTGAACTCATGCATTTTCAATAAATATTGAGCATGAAATGATCAGGAGACTCGGTGTCTCATTAATTATTGATGAATAATTAATTACAATATGGTGACTTAAAGATTGTAATGGAAATGGTCCTTTAAAGTGGCTGTACTCCATTATTAATTAAATTAATAATTAACTCAATATTATCAGACCTTAAAATTTTGCTTATTTCATTTTGATTAAGTTTGCATAGGAAATTGGTTCTTTTTCATGATTTCACATGGTGATTCCTTACTCTTTTTTACAAACGGATCAAGTTATAAATTAAGATAAATTTATACTGTAGGTCAAACATAAACCAAATTGAAAATATATCATTTATAAGTATAATCAAAAACAAAAAAATGAAATTCTCATGAAAACGCTTGGCTAAAATAATGTCAAACTTTTTGCCAAATTTATTGACTGTCCAGAGTAGACCTTGAAAACTGAAACTGATACTTATGCAACATATTTCATTTGAACAATATAAATGATTCAAAGTTGCATTTGTTTTAATGTGATTTTCCTACAACAAACAACTTGATTTCTCCAACATGAGATGAAGTTAAGAATCGTGACTAATGGTGTACGAACCCCATGAAAAATATATGAGCATTAGTTTGGTCAATGGCCAATTTTCATTTGTTTGAAAATTGTTGATGGATGTCTTGTTTATATGCTGTTCATGGCATCTTCATCAAGTCCAGGTTTGAGGATTTTTTTCAATAGATGGAAAGATGAGTGGCAATTCCATAGGTTCACCAAGTGAGCTAAAAAAGCAAAAAACAGGTTCATATCCATTGATATGGTCAACACTGTTAAGAGTTTAAGTACAAGTCTCTACTTTTACTAACCTTAAAGCATGTCAGTAGTGTTTTCATTGTTTTGACTGAAGACAGGAGTGCTAGACGTTCTAAGGTAGCATGGGCACTGTGGGTTATCTCCTTTACTATAAAGCTGTCACTTACAAGTAGAACCTACAAAAAAGAGATTTTCATGTTCGATGAACATGAATACGTGATTTGATTATGGTTATAGGCATTAACATGCAAAATGTCACTACCTGCCATTTGTTACAGACACTCATAATTCCAAAATTACACAATTTATTATACCCTTTAGCTAGAAAACCCTTATAATTTAAAATATGTGACAAGAAAGTACCATACAACACACCTTCATGGTTGATTCTAATAACTCTTTGGCTGTCCTTATAAGTTGTTTACAAGCTGGTTGACTATAACCCTCAATTTGTAACCTCTGAGCTGCTAAGATCAGATTTTCTCCTGACATCACTGCACTGTCACATGGCCTAGCCAGCTCAACTTCTAATTCCTAGGTGTATATGTTACTAAATTAAACACTTTTTCTTTGAATGCCAAATAATGAATAATATTGAGAAATAACTGTAGGTCCATTCATCAAATCAGTAACTGCTAATTGTTTTAGGTTGTATGCTTACTGCATAGTCATTCTATGCTATGCATCTATTTAATTTTCATCACTATTTTCAAAGTCATCTTGATTTTTGAGAAATTGGTGATTTCGGCAAAATGTCACATTTTGGTCACATGGGGACCATGGATCCTTTATTTGCTCTTGAATGATATTTTGACACATGACATCAAATGTACATTTTCAATCTTTACATGTAGATATGAGCTTAATGAGCAAATAATAGCCCTTTCACATTCTGATACTCATAGCATCTTTCTGTTTCACTTGAAACATCTCAGGGCTGAGAAGAGATGAGATGTCATGGTTTATCATGAATAGCTCTTTCTGGTTATCTGAATCCTATCAAGAACCTAGGTAATGTTAATAATTGATCATATTACCTGTTGCTTGAGAGAACTTTGTTTGGCAGCCTGCACCAAACTCTCAATTGCTTTTGAGACTTCTGTAGCAAACTCCATAACAGAGCTCCCTTCCTCCTTTGTCCCCCTTGCATCACTAACAATTATCAATTGCGACACCTAACAATTAAAAATACACTATGAATTGTTTAAAAGTTAAAGTCAAGTACAGTGAAAGATGAACACTCTTTGAACTGTAACAAAGTCTCCAGATTTGGGGATTTACATCCAAACCAATTCAGCTTTTGGACCAAAATCTATCAAATGGGATGCACAATACTTATATACTACCAGGTACATTAATATTGTAAACACAGCATATAACCTTTTAACATATAGCACTAATTCTGGCTTTTAAAGATAACCAAAAAGTAGTCAATTATCCCAACGAATAAAAGTTTGGTGAGTCAGTCCATCCATCCGGAAAATAATTTTCTTAATATTTGGGGGAAAGATCATGTATATTGGCCCATGATATTGGTAAATAGTTTTAAGCAAAATTTTTTCAAGATTGTCACCATTTTAAACATGGTGGAATTTTTCACGAAAATCCAAAGTTTTTCATTTTAAACCAAAGTAATAATAAAAGTTATTGTTTTAAATTTTGGTAGTAGAGTGAAACCTGTAAAGTGGAACCCCTCTACAAGCTGAACACATCTGTTAGTAGAACACTTTCTAAAGTCTCAAGACAAACTGACTTTAATGAAAATCTATAAGTGGAACACCTCCCAAGTTGACCACATTTTAGAGGTACTTAAGGTGTTCAACATGGACAGGTTTTACTGTATATTCACAACATCTATATTTTTCACATGAATTTGGTGTTTTTCACCCTGACCCCAAGTGGCCATGTATGGGGTTTGGGAAACAGGAATTTGTATTAATTTTGAGTGTTTGACATATATTCTGTGTTTTCTAACCTTGATAAGGACAACCACAGAGGCATCACCTTGATAGTTGCATACATGAAAATCTTAGAAAAGCTAATGGTTACAAGAAGTGAAAATGTTAGGTTATCCGAAAAGATCTCAGATTTGCAAGCCGCAAATAAGAAACATACATCCTGCCTTCATACATCCTTATTAGCAAGAGAAGCTATTAGTCATGGACTGGAAAATGGTGAGGACGTTTGTCGTTATTGTTGTGTCAGCTGACATCCGTAAAAGTTTCGACAGTGTGTGGCACGCAGGCTTGTTGTACAAAATGTTTAACTTGGGTGTCAATGGAAAACTATGGAGACTTTTGCGTTTATGTTATATGGATTATAAATGTGCAGTTAGAAAAATTCAACATATCACAAGGCGTACACCAAGGGGGTATTTACTCTATGGAATTGCATTCGTTATACATGAATAGATTAATACTTGATATTGTCAACTGTGGAAAAGGCTGCACAATAGGTGACATTGTGTGTACATGTCCGACCTATGCTGACGACATGGTCATTATAGGATACCATAAAAACTCTGTACAATTTGTTCTTGACACAATGCATGAATATAAAACTTTGGAGGATTAAATTCCATCCGAAAAAATGCCAAGTGGTTGTCTTTACAAAGAAGAAGACCCCAACCGCACCCATTGAACTAAAAATTGGAGAAAGCGTGATACCGGTCGTGACGTCTACGCAACACGTTGGCTTACCCCTGTCTGCCCGTAACAGTAACAGGGAGCTGGTAGATGACAGGATTTCTAGAGCTCGAAGGTCCATTAATGCATACGTTGGAACGACAACAAGCTGCACAGACCCCACAAACCCACTCACTGCGTCCAAATTATATTGGGCTGTAAGCGTCCCCTCGATGACTTTTGGCATGGAACTGGTCCACCTTAATGACGCTGAATATGAGGTCTTGGAACAGGGACACCGCAATATTGCGAAAAAATTACAGGGTCTCCCAGTGAGCACACCGGTGTTATCCATGACCCTTGGATCTGTTTACAGAAGCATCTCTATTAAACGTATGGTTGCATTCAGAGTCGGATCTAGACCGCTGAATAGTCTTTCTCCGATAAATGACATTATGAACCTTGCCGAACGGTACGGGATTACAAACTGCATATATGACATGTTGGACTCTATAGAAATGCCTTCTAAGACATTATGGAAACGCATAGTAAGCACAAAAATCCGAGATTATGACCTTAACAGATGGAAGAGAGAAGTGACCACGTATCAAAAGTTAAAACTGTACAGAGGAGTGCAGGATGTAAAACCTATTATATGGTGGTTGGTTGCTAGACAAGATCCAAGATACTTGAGAAGATGTGCGCTGATGGTTCGTCGTTTAACGGGACAGGGAAATTTGAGAGTAAATACTGGTGAATGGGAAGGGATCCCTTTTCAAGAGAGGCTATGCCCGCTCTGTGGAGATGAAGTCGAAACAGTAGAACACTTCACTTTATTTTGTTCAAATAATGCTGTTAACAGGAAACGCATCGAGGCCATAGTAAACACTTATTCCAGTATGAATCCTCCTATGACCACACAGGAGAAAATGATGTTGATTTTCGGAGGAGATGACCGTTTAAGTCCAAATGAACTAAAAGCAATTGCATGTGACATACGAGACATGTATCTTCAAAGAGAAGGAAACTTTTAAACTAGAACTTTCTATCGAGGTGATAATGGCACGCACATAAATCACTCAAAATCAATACGATCTATTTCATCTATTAGAATTTTTTACGCAAACATGGGAGTAGTGATTTGCGATATTGGCTATATAACATTAGTACATACAGTATAGTTACTTATACTTGATGTTCATATATATCATTCACTATTATATACATTCAATGCAATTTATGTATCCTAATTATTATATATTTATCTCCTATCTTGGAGGGAAAATAAACATAATAATAATAATAATAACACAACCCCAAGGGACAATTTAGGAGGGGGTTGGGAAGACAGTACTTTTCGTCAATTTTCATCTTTCTGAAGGCAATTTAGAGTAGATTGCAAATAGTGTAATTCAATTGTCTTGTATTTTCCATTACTTGTGCAATGTGCTCTTCAAATAAATAGGAGGCCAAAAATTAGCAAAAATGTGAGTTCCAATGAAAGAAAACAATTTTGAAAGTGACTCCTGGTCAAAAATAGTTTTCTAGTGTTCAGAACTTTGGTGCACCATGTGCATTCCATCACTGAACTTTCACATGTTCAAAATTCTATGATTTATATCATAAATTAGGGACTATTTTGACGTTACATCCCAATCAGACAGTTTATACTCGGAAAATATGCTTTTGTTTGTACAATTGGATCCCGTTGATGGTATTAGAACAGTATTTTAGGCCTACCTATTATCCCCCATCTCAAAATATATCGTTTTTCTGTATTCTCAGTCATTTAACTCAAGATAAAGTTATACATCTCAGTTATTTCAATCTTTGCATATACCTCGAATATCTAAGCTAATCAAAAAACATTAAATTACTGGAAAACTGCAAAAAGTTAGCTGAAAATTTGGGGTTCGGATAATTGCCGGAAAAGGTGGGTTCGAATTTTTTTAGTCAAGATTTTTTGGGGGAGAGGGTTCGCACGAACCCTCCGAACTCCCTCTCCCTATGGCCCTGTTGTTTTGAAGGAAGTTGCATCAATGGGGGAGGCATTAATTTTTATAAAATTCAGAACAAATCTTTAAAAAAATATTTTGGCCTTGCTTATCCACGCGATCGCACCCCCCTGACTGAAAACCTCCCCAAAAAATTGGCGATCCCCCCCCCTGACTGAAAGCTGGCTACACCCCTGACTCAGTCAAAATACAAATAAAACCTTGTCTGAACCGGGTATTGGATCCTCACCTGTATTGTGTTCTAGTATATATCCAACAGACCACTGGCCTGGTTGTATTTATCCTGTAACTTTTACTTAAAGTTTCATTCATTTACAAAAGTGTTTTCAGATTAACCAAACCAAATGCATCAGTGATTCAGTCAGTTTCTAATTCAAAGTCAATCAATCAATAATTTTTCCACAGCTCTGCCCACTAAATAAATCGAATTATACATACCTGGGCTGCAATAGGGGTTAAAACTCGTTTTACAGACTTTGTATGGACAAAGTCCCATACAAGTGCGTTAGTTACATCCATATTAAGGCAACATTGTTCAAGAATATGGCATACTTTGACAAAAACTGATAAAATAATTTTTAAAAATCGCAGCCGGAAGTTTTCAAACTTTTTCAATCACCCATGCGCAGAGCCAATTTCTAAAGCAATTTGAAGAGCGACTAGATGTCATATGATTTTACAAATATTTATGTTTTTTATTTGAAATGCTCTTATACAGATTTAAACAGTAAATTCAGAATGCTCAATCAGCAACAGACAACATGTGGAGAGTTAACTTAAGTGTGAATAGTTGGTTGGTGATTTATTGTAAGTAGCAATTTAGAAATAAAAAGTTACAAAGTAAAAAATTTATGACGACAATCGGATTTATTTTTGGGCACCTTTATTTTTGACATACCTCCATGAATGTGGGGTAATTTTGAGAAACAAATGTCCTGAATATCAAAAAACCTCAAAATAACCACACATTTATGGGGGTATTTTGACATTTCTGACTAAACTCAAATTTTTTATTCTGGGAACCACTGAGTTCATAGGGTTAAAATAACGAAATGATGTGATGTAACCAAGTATCTACTTACCAGTATGTTCTTTGCTATCCGTCGAACTTTGTAAATTGTGAAACTCAGCTAAACACGACACCGAAGGCAGTATTCTGAGGTTATAAAATTTAGATTGAAATAATTTCCTATTTGTAGCACTAGTATGTATCCAACAGACTGACTAGAAGTCAGTCTGTTATGATGTACTACTTTCCTGTGGAAATTGGAGTGAAATTTTTTGCACAAAATTATCAATTAGAGGAACCATTTCTTCAATAAAATAAACATTACAAAATTTCAACTAATTAGTAAGGTACAATTAAATGCAATAAAAAGTAACACAGCATATTGTCAAGTGGAAATAAAGCTAGATGAAGTAACAAATGTGCAAATTAATTTTACCCAATCGGCCATTTTGAATAGCACTTCCTATGTAAACAAATATTTGAAATTACCAAACTTTAACATAGGTGCCCTATAGTCTGAATATAATTCAGACTAAATAGGATATAGTCTATTTGTAGCACCTTGAAGATTTCCCTAGACTAGACTCTCCCCTAGATCCGCCACTTATACCTCACTTCCATCTGCTATACCACCCCTTTTAAAGCAGTCAGACAGGCCTGCATGATCATGGTAAATTATCAACCTATGATAAAGTAGTATTTTGAAGTCATTTCCTTGCTAATTTCAAACCTGTTTGTTTATATATTTAAACTATTTACATATGTTTATTTCAGTTTGGTTCTGTGTACTGGTCTTCTGCATTCCAAGTGATGTGAGCTCTGAAAGTCTTTTATTTCCAAAGAACTGCTCACTATCAGACTGTGTTGAGTGTAATAAAGGTTCATTCTCAAATATAAGTAAGTTGGTTATATAAGGTACAGTTTATGTATTTAAGGAAATAGAACTTGTAAAATGTTAAAAACAATTTTTTGAAAAGCATTCCAATGATTCCACTCTTGAACCCTGATTTTATTTTTCTAAAAACAGAATTGAGAAATCTGATGACATTAAGAAGGAATGGAAGAAAATTCATCACAATTAAAAAAATTACGTTCACTTTGTCATCTTTGGCCTGATAACTGTTCGACTGTTTAGCAAATGTTTCACAAATGGGTATAGATACAGTGTGTGAGCTAAATATGCTACTTTTTTTTGATAAAGTTCACTTTCCATTGATTTAACCCATTATGAATCATTTGATTTTTTCCTATTTCAACTCTAATAAGGTTATCACATTTTTTTGTTTCAGGCAGTGAAGGATGCTCATGCTGTGATTCCCCTGGGTTCTGCCTCCCAACATTTTGTACTTCATGTCCCGCAGGTACTTTCCAACCTGCAGCCAGACAGACACGTTGTGAGACATGTAGTCCAGGCAATTTCAGGTATGTTCAAAATTATTAAGAGGCCTAGTATGGACCATCTATACATATATACATCCAGGTTTGGTTGATATGAACTTTTATTTGAGGAGGCCCTGCTCTGGGATTTCCTCTAGGGAACAGTAAGAGTGGGGCCAGTGATGCTTGTATAACTTGGGCCCTCCCAACCAATGTTAACAACCTGTGCATGAAAGTTATTATGCAAAAACACATCAATGAAAAACAGAATTTAAAGTAGGCAAGGCATATTTGACTCGGGGTGGTGCAAACTTTTTCATTTATGAAAACTTTACCCTCATAGTTAGCTATGCCAATGAATATTTCCTATTCAAGCTTATTCATTAGTTCATTTGTTTTATTTCTGGGAAACTATGATATTATTAATGCATATCTGTATTCACATGTATAGCGTAAGTTCGTGAATCATTCCTATGAACAAGTGCCAGAATTTAAGCAGAATTCAGTATATTTCATAAGAAACCAGACAAATACAATATTTTGGATTCTGAACATATTCATGCCACTGGTGGCCAATTTTTTCAAAAATTTTGAAAGTCAAATATCCTTAAGTATGGGTTATACAACCTAATTGATGATATCTTTGTAATTTGACCTACTTCAATTAAATGAGTTGAGTGAGAAATGTTCTACCTCAACATGTCGATATTTAGATTTTCGCACAGTATGTTCATATATTTTAAAGTCCCCGTCTAAAGATTGAAAATATTTTTTTATCATTCACTCACTATTTGTCAGGACTTAAAAAGTGATTTTAGAGATTTTTGAACAAAAAAGAAATTTTTGAAAAAAAGTTGTGAGCATTTCATTTCTCAAATATTCAAATTTCCCGCCATTTTTCAAAAAAAGTTGAAATTTCTTAATCATCAAATATTTCTTAATGCATTTCAAAAAAGATTATCTTTTTAACACCAATGCAAAGATTGAACAAAAGACACACTATTTCAATAATAAAATGTCATATTTAATGGGCCACTTCAATGTTTTAGCTTATCAAAAATATTTTGAAACATTAGTGATGTCACTAAGGTAACAAAAACCTTTTGAAAAAAATTGAATTTTTTTTTTCGATGTCAATCTTTTATAAATATGCTAGACTTTCATAAAAAAACAATGTTGATTGTCTAACCAGGTTTAAAGGAAGAATAAATTATGTTTTAGATATCATTGTACCATTGGTTTCTATGAGAACTAAAATTTTGAAATGCATTTTTCTCAGAACCATTTTCATGCACTGATAAGTTCATTTCTCGCTTGTTTATCAACCGATTTTCTTAATTTTTTCGGCAAAAAACATGGGAGGATGAATGCTATGCATTGGTATGAATTATGGCTAATTAAAAGATATGGGTGACCTCTAAAAGTTGGTTTTAAATAAATTCACAAATTTTGGAACAAAAAGTCTATCAAAAACCACTTTTTGAAATTAAAAAAAAAAGTTTCACATATCACACTTTGATAACATTGGGTAAGACTACAATATAAGCCAAAGTGGTTTAAACTTTACATGGGGCCTTTAAATATTGCTGTACTATGCAATGACAAGTAAAAAGTACTTTCAATAAGATCAAATCCATTTGAATGGTTGTCATATCCTAAGAAATCTTTTTCAATGTCATTTCAGTTTGTCTAAAATTCAAGAATAAGACAACTTAATACAAACTAAAGTACATACATGTAGACAATCCTCAATACAAGCCTGATAATTAGGATTTTAACAAGCTTAAAACTCTAAGCAGCCTTTATATATTTGAAGTTATGAATAAGCTCACATTTGAAAACTTTTTTTCTCATTTGTATGCAGCGCTTAATAGAAGAAAAAAACGTTCTTGTATTATCATACAGTGTCCCATGAGGCTCAGCAATAAATGAATTCAAAATAAATATACAAAATCAAATTCAGTTTATATTAACAAAAGAATCTCATTTGTCATTTGTTCGATTCATCATATTTTGTTGGTTAATTCTATGTTACATGTATTATCATTTTTTGTATGTTTTTTTATCAATTATCAAAGAGCCTCAAGGTGAACCTTACAAATCTTAAATTTTGTGTTCTAAAGAACTTAAAGGTCTCTAATATCTCAGGTCTTTAGCTAATTACCAAATCAAAGTGATTGCTGTGGTAGTTATCAAAGATAATGTAATGCTACTAATTGCTGGAATCGATACACCTCCTGGGTTGTTTCCATTAGGGTCTGCTGTTGTCATTTCCATCGTCATTCCCCCCGTCATTTCTGCCTCCACTATAAGGTCACATTCTTTATGAGTTTCCATCTTTGAAGCTGCAACAATCTCGATGTCATCCAACGCAATGTCTGATTCTACCCCAAGTCCACGCTTTGCAATGAAATCAAAAGATCTAGGTGCTCTACCAGGAGGAAATTTGGTCATCTTTGTATGCCACATTTGCCCATGGTCGCCTATTTGTTCGTCAATTACATACTTTTTTCCATCATCTGAGATGCCATAAACTGCTAAGGACCCCATAGTAGCACCATACATGAAGAATGAGTATTTTAGTTTCAGCTCCATGCATCTTGCTTCTAAAGTCAGATTAGTGCTTCTCAGGATCAGCTCTTGCGAGAAAGACACATTATCAGCCTCCAGATAAATAAATGACCCCCTTGGTGTCATCATATCCCCATTAGTCAATTGGTGCTCATCTGGTCCTGTGTTATCAGTGGGGGTCGGGGTTGAACGTCGTAACCATTTTTCTGAACCTATATTCTCAAAGTCACAAAAGTCCTCATTAAAGGTGCATTTAACCAGAAAAACCTCAACATGTGTGACTTTTCTCATCAATGTTATATTTCCTCTTTTCACTTCACAAGCGTACTGAGTGACATCATCAAGTTTGACGTGATGTATCATCAGACCAGTTTCATTAAAGTAGAACTTCTCATTCGCTACCACGTCAACGAAAGAAAAATGTGTTTTATGTGTATATACCCTGACTGTTGATTCAATGGTAGCATTGTCATGTAGAATGGTAGAGTTCACGCTATATTCACACGGTATCCAGGCATGAGTATTATACATAACATGAATTGATTCCATTTCTGCATCATCCATCTCTAAACCCATAGCATGTTTTATCCTGAGACATGCCAGTGCTAGAATGAACCATTGTAAAAACTCTGCCATTATGACAAAATCTTCCTTGTCTGAGTTGTACTTCTTTTCTCTTCTGTTAAACAATATAGTGTTATGTCTTCTGGGTCTTCAATCATTTGGTTCTATGAATTACCTTCTTTATATTCGCTTATTAATTGTACCCTAAGGCTTTATAAGGACTCTATGAAGAAAATGTAATGATTGCTTGAGATATATGGTTATAAATGGTCTTTAGGACTTACAGTATAAAGATGGTGGGTTACTTGTTAGGTACTTCCTGTTATATTGGACAGCATTAAAATACTTCTTTAATGAGAAATACAGGGTGACACAAAAAATGTAACCCTCTGGAATAACTTTTCCAGTTATCACGCGCAATCTGGAGATAAAGGTTCGATGTGAAAAAATTGTTTCCATGAGATTCATTGAGATTCAGAGAAATTGCTTTAATATAACATCTGTATGACATCTGTATATTTATGAGTCCCAGCTCAGTCGGAGAGGTCTCAATCTAGGTCAATATAAGTCTCCATATAAGTCTCTCCTCGTATCTAGTATGTGTTATATGCTCAGTTATAGTCTTGGGTTATTCTCCAAGAACTGGATCAAAAATAGTCATTCAAAATCAACATGTTAGGCAAAATGTAATAGGAATACACCTAAAGATTCTATTATCATAATCTTTTAGTAAACCCATTTATTGGTCCTAACAGCTATTTAGATGGGATTTTGTATAATGTTGTATAAATTGAACTATGAATGCTCTATTTCTGCATTCCCACAAACATAGTTAATTCAAGGTCTTTACGACCATTTGCATGATAGCCCTTGATTTAAGTGATCGGATTTTTTCATTCAAACGGATCTAAATGAATGCCTTTAAACTCAAATGCAAAATAAATAACAAACAATTTTCAACTTCATATTTTGACTTTTTCATAAAAAAAAGAATCAACATCTGTATCATATTTCATAACTTAAAGTTCGTTTCATGTCACATTTTAATTGATTTATCACTTGAGTCACTATCACATGTTTTCCTCTTGAAATCTGTGATAAATATCATACCAGGCATTTATGTGATTCATGTTTTGATAAATTTGACATCATAATGTGTAAAATGTAGGGTTTTTATGTCAGTATTCCCAGAAGTTCAAATCTGACTTTATATGATTTGACCTTTGGTTGAGGGTAAAATAATTTCTCCCAATCATACTGCAGAAAAATATATTTTTAATATACTACATGTACATGTACATGTACAAATGTATATTGGGGTAATTAAAAATCTGATGTTAGGCAGTGTTTCCAATATTTTGAATCTTCCTTCTTTTCAATATTTGCAGTGTTGAAGGGAGCAGTGAGTGTGAGAGATGTCCAATGGGTAGCTTTGCCAATGCAACGGGGAGTTTGACTTGCACACCTTGTGAAGAGGGCACATTCTGCAAGTAGGTGGAATATACATGTCATAATGGCTCAACCTAGATACTGTTATTGACCAAATACATAGCAGCCAAATGTTGGAGTGGAGTAACAGATTAAGACATTTTCGAGTCATGTCTTCTTTTAAAAAATTTCTTTTATGAAAATAGCCAAATTTGACAAATCAATAAATACTTTCAAAATAACGATCATGTTTGTGTTAAACTTATACAGAAAACAGACTGACTTTTGATCCTCTCAATTGAAAATAAAGCATTTTGTTTTGTAATGCCATCTATTTTCATCAAAATATAAAAGCACTGTCATAATTTAGAGTTGATGGCAGAAGCCAATCAGAAGAGGGAATTTCACAAAGATTGATGTAACCTTTATAACTCCTTCAAAGAGTAGCATCTCTATAGGAGCTGTTCTAGTTATGGTACTTTATATTTTGTATGATGAATAATACACATGTGTTTTGATTGTGTTTCAGCAAAACTGGCTCCACAGGATGTAATGTATGCAAGAAGTGTCACCCAGGTACTGTTTTACACTATCATTTTAAAATGAATTTTTTTTGTTCTTCCATGGGCTACTTGAAACATTATATTTTAATATATTACTTCCAATGGGGTAGTGAATCTGTATGATGAAATTCTTATTCCTACATATTTTGTTATGATAGATTTTGATACTTTTAAATATTACTTCTTTACGGGGAGTTAATCTAAAAGGAGAAACTCTTACTCCTACATAATATCAGAGTGTATAGATATTTCAATGTGTGTTTTTGTCAGGCACATATAGTAACTCCACAAACACAACAAATTGTGCCAGTTGTGAGCTTGGGACTTATCAGAACACAAGTGGGGCTACAGAATGCCTGGCATGTAATGCAGGAGAATACTGCAAGTGAGTAGAATAGATGAATTGAATTTGTTAATATGTACAATGTCATGTAAAACATAGGAGGGAATAAAATCGTAAAACGCTGGACGATATATAAAGTTGTAAAACATGGGAGGATATTGAGTCACGTTTTGGATGCCGATGTCATCTTGTTAAAAATATGACATTTAGAAGAGAAATATATTAAATAACTGTTGATCAATTTCTAGTAGAAAAAGTCACGATAAGTCAAGAGAAAATGTTGAAATAAAATATTAAGAAACCTATGTTGCATTTCAGTAAGACAATGTGCACTGAGTGCTCAACATGCCCTGCTGGCTACTATACAGAAAATACAAAGTCTTGTAAGATGTGCTCAGCTGGAACTCATAATCCCATTCCAGGGAATAAAAAATGCTCAACATGTGGTCCGGGGTTTGAAGCTCGGTAAGTTAACAAGTTCATCGCAAATTACTGTGGTTATTGTTGAGGTAAGAGGAGAAACATAAAATGTGATATTATATTATGATTGGCTTTCTAGAGAGTATTTTAAGCCCATTGTGAGATGTGAACCCAGAGAAATGATTTAAAAAGAAAACAGAATTTACAATTTATCAGCTGAAATTCTTGCATGCACCATATCTAAAATACATTACAAATTCTATGTAATTCCCAAATTACAAATATCAGACATTGTATTTTTTAGAAAATCAAATCATAGAAGAACAGAACTGTAATCTATTTATAGCTATATGTCTTCAGCTTAACAATATATAGACTCCTAGTTCCCCATACTGAAACCATGTACCATTTAAACACTAACTCCCATTTGCTTAAAGAACTTTGGGCCAAAATAGTTCCCCGTATTAGTACCATATACCATGTACCTATGTATTAACATTAATTCCCATTTGCTTAAAGAACTTTGGGACAAAATTGTTCCCAGTATTAGTACCATATACCATGTACCTACGTATTAACATTAACTGCCATTTGCTTAAAGAACTTTGGGCCAAGCTAGCTGCACTGGATGCAGTGAAGGTTACTACAAGGGAGACAACACCACAGCCTTATGCACTCCTTGTCAACCAGGTAAGTGTACTCTTTTTGCAATCTAAAGAATTGTTTCTTTCAAGGTTGTTCAATTTTGTGACAGTTGTTTTGTCCAAATGCCCTTCAAAACCAATTTATAGCAATATGGGCAGATTAAAATCTGAAATTACTGACTTCCCCAAACAAAATGTAGTACATTTACAAAGGTTTAAGAAAGTACTAGATGTGTAAGACCTTTATTGACCAATGATATCAACAGATGAATGATATCTGAAAATGGATCCATTTGTCATCAAAAAAGTGAATGGACCCAAACATGTAATAGGTTATGGGCTAGCCCTTAAATTGCGGTATGGAGGTAGAATTTTGGAGATCATGTTAGTCACATCCTAATTTGTAATTCTCACCACAATTTGGTAATAATTAAGCAAAATTTTACAGCGTTTAGGAAAAAATCAATATTTATACCCCCCGCACAACAAAAGTAGGGGGTACATAGAAAATAATTAATAACTTTACAAAAACATAATGAATAACCAAAATATTTTCAGAATATATGCACATATATGTCATTGATAACTGGTAAAAAATTGGTGACCATAGGTATGATGGTTGCTATGGAAATAGAATTCGATTTTCAAAATTTGCTAATTTATGTCTATTTTGGGGGGCTAGTTACCGAAAAAATTCTATGTTAGCACGTTATGCTGCAAAAATAGCATTGTTTTAAGGTTTAGAAAATTGCATATATATGTCCTGCATGCATTAAAATTGGAATGATAATTGAATCTCAATCAAAAATATTTTTTAATTTTTTTTGTATGACCCACCCCCTCTAAATAATCCAAAGTGGGCGTGGCATTTAACTGAATGATCAAGCCTTCTTAACAGTAGATAATTTCAATTGTATAGCCAGTATTATCACAATTTCAACAGAAGGTATGATTCTAGTATCAGTTAACACTTTCTATGATTTTTTTTATCCCCCCTCAATATTTATAACCCCTCTCCCTCCTCCACCACCCCTCCCGCATGATAAAAGTAGGGGATACATTGAAAATGATTAATAACTTTACAACAATGCAGCAAATAACCACCAATTTTCAGACAGAATAAATGTATACGTCATCAGTAATTTGAAATAATTCTTGATGGTTCTATAGAAACAGGATTTGATTGTTGTGAATTTGTGTAGATTGGGTGGGGGGGGGCTAGTTCATAAAGAATCATATCCTAGTAAATTATGCAGCAAAATACCATTGTTTTAAGGTTTAGGAACTGTCTCCTACATACATTAAAACTGAAATAATGATAGGGTGTCATTCACAAATAAATATTTTGATGAGATTATAATAATAGGTGACATACTTTGATGTAGTGGCAGAAAAAAGGTTTATAATATTGCCTGATCCTTTAATGTTGCACTGCATTATGCTTTCATTAGATTGGGGACATTCCATACCCTTTGTGCTGTGGGAAAATATATGAGATTAAGGGTTCGAGGACATACTTTTAGAATCTTTGATATATGCAGTTCAATTGATGGTAGTGGAAAACATTTCAACAAGGCCTTCAGAGTTCATAAAGTCATGAATGAGGAATTGGAATCCTTGTTGATTTCAAAATTCCATGAATCTGGAGGGTATTCAGCTTACTTATCGTGTGACCTGTAAAATGAAACCCTCTGACTGGTCAGTTCTTGTGCTTGTATTGCTACTTAGATTGTTCTCATCGATCATCCCCGTAGCAACACAGGAAATATTGATACAGAGGGGACAATCTCAGTAGCAATACAGAATATTTCATAGGAATTACCTCCTGAGTAAAATTTATTTGTCTAAGACCACACGATAAAACGTTATAGAATGATTTGAGGTGCAATACAGGATATATTCTGCTCTCGATATTATGTATTGGCACTCGACTTCGTCTGATTCCAACACAGAATTTTTCGAGCAGAATATATACTGTATTGCATTTCAAATCATTCAATAACTTATACTACTGCTACTTCAACTAAAGCCTTAGTTAATATTGAAAACAATGTGTTATCACAAAGAACCAAACATTCAAGAATGACATGAAGAATGGAAAGTTTGGAAAGACTGTCCAATACTTAGTTACATATCAGAACGTGATTGATATATCACTGAAACACCAGAGAATGGAACATCAGTCAGTTGACGAAATGTGTTTGGAAATTTGGCTACTTGGTAAAAGGACATGTTGCCACTAACACTTTCACTGTTTTGTAAGTTGTGACACACCCTTCTCCCTGGATAACTGCAATTTGCTTTTTGCTAAGCACCATAGAATCTGTCCTAATGGGCTTTCCATGATTTTATGGTTTTCCATGAGTTTTTATTATAAACTGAATGGAGTTTCTTCATCTTAATTCGGGCGCATCAAATGATTTAGCATTGATCCTAATACAGGCATTTAACAAATTCTTAAAGTGGTGGAAGTCCTGATGATATCAAATGGCTTGATAAACACCACCAATCTGCACTCATGGTACATTAATAGTACCGTACAGTACCATTCTATTATGGTGCTGTACAGTGTCCATGGTACCGTACAATACTATTTTAGTCTATGGTACCATATATTACAGTACCATAGCCCAAACGGTACCATATGATACTGTTGGAGATATACAACTGTATGTAATTTTACAGTACTGTTGCCTGTGAAGCTGTCATATGGACGTGAACTGTTACCTTCATCAATGATCATCATCAACAACATGTTTGGGACTGAATCTTTTTATACCAATAAGGAACTTTGCACGCCTGTTGATTGTTGGTTGTACTGTTGAGGTTTTGATTTGGACAGCATTGTACCTACCCCGTGACCTCCTTTCATGGTACATCACCCCATCATCTACCTAAGATCTGACACCAGGAAATATTGTATCTCCGCTAAGCAATGTCAGAAGATATATTATATTGTAGCCGGCATGGTTCTGATGATCAAAAGTGCTGAAGAGATGTATGAGTCATGGAAACAAGAGTAGCAAAGTAGACAGGTAGATTGTTCTCTTTTGTTGCTCTAAAGAAAATCTACAAGACTACATGAATTCACAAAAGGACCGCGAGTTGTTTGTAGAATGTATAGGGGGAGTTCTTTCATGCATTTCTCTTAATACACTTTAAAACATTTTATTGACTATTGTTTTGGTTTATATCACAACCCAATGAGGTGTGTATTAATGAGTAACTTTCCTGTTATCTCAAAATCTGCTTGGATACCATAGGAATGCCATGGGAAATTCCTCAAAGAGAAAATTCTAGGGAATAAGAAATGGGTACCATTTACACAATTTGAGGAATTATTGGCATACATTAAATCTATTTTAAAACAGCATCTATATGATCATAATCAATGATTCCCAGCCTCCTGAAGTTAGAAAAATAAAAACTGGGTGTTAATCCATAGGTAATCCTTGAAAGAGAAATATTTTTGGGGGATTATATGGTGCAGTCTTATAGTCAATAAAATGGTTTAAAGTGTATTGATGTTTTTAAGATGAAAAATACAAGCAAAATGCATTAAAAACTCCCCTGATTCATTCTACAAACAACATGCGGTCCTTTGTTTGACAATCGAATCCTTTTTCCATAGCAACCATCAAACCGATAATCACCATAATCTTTTTCCAGTTACTAATGACATATACATGTGTAATTTTAGTATGTTAATACGAGGGGAGTGGCATAAATATTTTGGGATGAACAAAATGATAAAAAGTTAACTGATGCCTACATTCTGTAGAAATATTGAACTATTAAGTAGGTTTGATCCTACAGTTAAACGTCACGCTCACTTTGGATTTTAAAGAGGGGGTGGGTCAAAGTGAAATCTAAAAAATCTAATTGAAACCCAATCATCATTTCAGTTTAAATACATGCAGGACATACATATCCATTTTTCTAAACCTTAAAACAATGCTAATTTTGCAGCAGAATTCGCAAGCATAGTATTCTTTGTGAACCAGCCCCGCTCCCAATATCTTCGCAAATTCACAAATTTTGATGATCAAATCCTGTTTAGAAACTATCATACATGTACCTATAATTACCAAGAAATTTTCCAATTACTGATGACATATACATTTATTCTGTCTGAAAAATTGGTGGTTATTCGCTGCATTTTTGTAAAGTTATTAATCATTTTCAAGGTATCCCCTACTTTTGTCACGCGGGAGGGGTGATGGTGACGAAGGAAGGGTTATAAATATTGAGGGACATAAACAAAATCATATAAACTGGTAACTGATACCAGAATCCTACATTCTATTGAAATTGTGATAATAAAGGCTATACAATTGAAGTTATCTACTGTTAAGTAGGTTTGATCATTCAGTTAAATGCCACGCCCACTTGGGATTATTTAGAGGGGGGGGGGGGGGTTATAGAAAAAATTTTAAAAAATATTCCTGATTGAGATTCAATCATCATTTCAATTTTAATGCATGCAGGACATATATATGCAATTTTCCAGACATTAAAACAAAGCTAATTTTGCAGCATAACTTGCTAGCATAGGATTTTTTCATTAACGAGCCCCCCAAAATAGACACAAATTAGCAAATTTTGACAATCAAATTATGTTTCCATAGCAACCATCATACCTATAGTCACCAATTTTTTACCAGTTATCAATGACATATATGTGCATATATTCTGAAAAAATTGTGGTTAACCATAATGTTTTTGTAAAGTAATTAATTATTTTCTATGTACCCCCTACTTTTGTCATGCGGGGGGTATAAATATTGGTTCTTTCCTAAACGCTGTAAAAGTTTGCTTAATTTTATTAAATTACACATGTATATGTCATTAGTAACTGGAAAAAGATTATGGTGATTATCGGTTTGATGGTTGCTATGGAAAAAGGATTCGATTGTCAAACAAAGGACCGCATGTTGTTTGTAGAATGAATCAGGGGAGTTTTTAATGCATTTTGCTTGTATTTTTCATCTTAAAAACATCAATACACTTTAAACCATTTTATTGACTATAAGACTGCACCATATAATCCCCCAAAAATATTTCTCTTTCAAGGATTACCTATGGATTAACACCCAGTTTTTATTTTTCTAACTTCAGGGGGCTGGGAATCATTGATTATGATCATATAGATGCTGTTTTAAAATAGATTTAATGTATGCCAATAATTCCTCAAATTGTGTAAATGGTACCCATTTCTTATTCCCTAGAATTTTCTCTTTGAGGAATTTCCCATGGCATTCCTATGGTATCCAAGCAGATTTTGAGATAACAGGAAAGTTACTCATTAATACACACCTCATTGGGTTGTGATATAAACCAAAACAATAGTCAATAAAATGTTTTAAAGTGTATTAAGAGAAATGCATGAAAGAACTCCCCCTATACATTCTACAAACAACTCGCGGTCCTTTTGTGAATTCATGTAGTCTTGTAGATTTTCTTTAGAGCAACAAAAGAGAACAATCTACCTGTCTACTTTGCTACTCTTGTTTCCATGACTCATACATCTCTTCAGCACTTTTGATCATCAGAACCATGCCGGCTACAATAAAATATATCTTCTGACATTGCTTAGCGGAGATACAATATTTCCTGGTGTCAGATCTTAGGTAGATGATGGGGTGATGTACCATGAAAGGAGGTCACGGGGTAGGTACAATGCTGTCCAAATCAAAACCTCAACAGTACAACCAACAATCAACAGGCGTGCAAAGTTCCTTATTGGTATAAAAAGATTCAGTCCCAAACATGTTGTTGATGATGATCATTGATGAAGGTAACAGTTCACGTCCATATGACAGCTTCACAGGCAACAGTACTGTAAAATTACATACAGTTGTATATCTCCAACAGTATCATATGGTACCGTTTGGGCTATGGTACTGTAATATATGGTACCATAGACTAAAATAGTATTGTACGGTACCATGGACACTGTACAGCACCATAATAGAATGGTACTGTACGGTACTATTAATGTACCATGAGTGCAGATTGGTGGTGTTTATCAAGCCATTTGATATCATCAGGACTTCCACCACTTTAAGAATTTGTTAAATGCCTGTATTAGGATCAATGCTAAATCATTTGATGCGCCCGAATTAAGATGAAGAAACTCCATTCAGTTTATAATAAAAACTCATGGAAAACCATAAAATCATGGAAAGCCCATTAGGACAGATTCTATGGTGCTTAGCAAAAAGCAAATTGCAGTTATCCAGGGAGAAGGGTGTGTCACAACTTACAAAACAGTGAAAGTGTTAGTGGCAACATGTCCTTTTACCAAGTAGCCAAATTTCCAAACACATTTCGTCAACTGACTGATGTTCCATTCTCTGGTGTTTCAGTGATATATCAATCACGTTCTGATATGTAACTAAGTATTGGACAGTCTTTCCAAACTTTCCATTCTTCATGTCATTCTTGAATGTTTGGTTCTTTGTGATAACACATTGTTTTCAATATTAACTAAGGCTTTAGTTGAAGTAGCAGTAGTATAAGTTATTGAATGATTTGAAATGCAATACAGTATATATTCTGCTCGAAAAATTCTGTGTTGGAATCAGACGAAGTCGAGTGCCAATACATAATATCGAGAGCAGAATATATCCTGTATTGCACCTCAAATCATTCTATAACGTTTTATCGTGTGGTCTTAGACAAATAAATTTTACTCAGGAGGTAATTCCTATGAAATATTCTGTATTGCTACTGAGATTGTCCCCTCTGTATCAATATTTCCTGTGTTGCTACGGGGATGATCGATGAGAACAATCTAAGTAGCAATACAAGCACAAGAACTGACCAGTCAGAGGGTTTCATTTTACAGGTCACACGATAAGTAAGCTGAATACCCTCCAGATTCATGGAATTTTGAAATCAACAAGGATTCCAATTCCTCATTCATGACTTTATGAACTCTGAAGGCCTTGTTGAAATGTTTTCCACTACCATCAATTGAACTGCATATATCAAAGATTCTAAAAGTATGTCCTCGAACCCTTAATCTCATATATTTTCCCACAGCACAAAGGGTATGGAATGTCCCCAATCTAATGAAAGCATAATGCAGTGCAACATTAAAGGATCAGGCAATATTATAAACCTTTTTTCTGCCACTACATCAAAGTATGTCACCTATTATTATAATCTCATCAAAATATTTATTTGTGAATGACACCCTATCATTATTTCAGTTTTAATGTATGTAGGAGACAGTTCCTAAACCTTAAAACAATGGTATTTTGCTGCATAATTTACTAGGATATGATTCTTTATGAACTAGCCCCCCCCCCACCCAATCTACACAAATTCACAACAATCAAATCCTGTTTCTATAGAACCATCAAGAATTATTTCAAATTACTGATGACGTATACATTTATTCTGTCTGAAAATTGGTGGTTATTTGCTGCATTGTTGTAAAGTTATTAATCATTTTCAATGTATCCCCTACTTTTATCATGCGGGAGGGGTGGTGGAGGAGGGAGAGGGGTTATAAATATTGAGGGGGGATAAAAAAAATCATAGAAAGTGTTAACTGATACTAGAATCATACCTTCTGTTGAAATTGTGATAATACTGGCTATACAATTGAAATTATCTACTGTTAAGAAGGCTTGATCATTCAGTTAAATGCCACGCCCACTTTGGATTATTTAGAGGGGGTGGGTCATACAAAAAAAATTAAAAAATATTTTTGATTGAGATTCAATTATCATTCCAATTTTAATGCATGCAGGACATATATATGCAATTTTCTAAACCTTAAAACAATGCTATTTTTGCAGCATAACGTGCTAACATAGAATTTTTTCGGTAACTAGCCCCCCAAAATAGACATAAATTAGCAAATTTTGAAAATCGAATTCTATTTCCATAGCAACCATCATACCTATGGTCACCAATTTTTTACCAGTTATCAATGACATATATGTGCATATATTCTGAAAATATTTTGGTTATTCATTATGTTTTTGTAAAGTTATTAATTATTTTCTATGTACCCCCTACTTTTGTTGTGCGGGGGGTATAAATATTGATTTTTTCCTAAACGCTGTAAAATTTTGCTTAATTATTACCAAATTGTGGTGAGAATTACAAATTAGGATGTGACTAACATGATCTCCAAAATTCTACCTCCATACCGCAATTTAAGGGCTAGCCCATAACCTAATACTTTTGTTTTTGCAGGGAGCCATGGGAGTGTTAAAAACTCCACAAATTGTGAATCTTGCAGGCCAGGATCATATCAAGATAAAACCAGTCAGAAAGAGTGTCAACTCTGTCCACAGGGACTCACTTGCAAGTATGTATTTTGGCACCAGTTTTTTTATTTGTTACATCAAAGCTAGAATAAGATGGAGAAAGAGTGACAATGTTGCATTCAACATCCATCTCATTTTATAAGGGATCAACACAACATCTATATTTTAAGTGATGCAAATTTGCATTCAACATCCACATTGGTTAACAAAATTTCATTCAACATCTGTGTTTTAAGAGGTGACAGAATTGCTTACCATCATTTTATGCTTTGAGGGACAACAATGACTGCAATGAACATCCATGTTTTAAGAGGTGACAAAACGTTCACTTTGGTTATACATTGTACCATGGCATTAGATTGTATTTAAGTGACATGTATTGTTTCTTTTCAGTATGACAAGCTGTAAACAGTGCTCTCCGTGTCCAGCTGGAGAGCAAGCAAAGGGCACAGGAAATGTCAACTGCACAGTATGTGCTATAGGTATGTGCAGTATATAGTACTATGCTTACTCTAAAAAGTGATTCATTGATGATGATAGACTTATTTGATTCCTTTCTAAAGAAATGTAGATTATAATAACTCATTTTATCATATGATCTGTAAAATGAAGCCTTCTGATTGGTCAGTTCTTGTGCTGTACCAATCTGTATTGCTACTGAGATTGTCCCCATTGATCATCTCCGTCGCAATACAGAAAATATTGGTACGGAGGGGACATTCTCAGTAGCAATGCAGAGGATCGCACAATAAAAATGTTATAGAATGATTTGAAGTGCAATGCAGAATATATTCTGCTCTCGATATTCTGTATTGGATTCGACTTCATCTCGTTTCAATACGGAATTTTCTAGCAGAATATATCCTGTATTCCACTTCAAATCATTCAATAACTTACAGAATTAATCGTTGATGGAACTTTGGATAGACTGGACATTTGTCCATTGGTCCAAAAGGGGGGGGGGGGTCCTTTATTCTTACAAAAATATGATTTTTTACAAATTTTTAAAAGGTTTTTAACATTTATCTAAAGTTTAGGTCATGTTCTTCCAGGTTATTTTAAGGAATCTATAGGCACTGAACTATGCAAAGTCTGTCGGTCAGGATGGTACAATAAACAATACAAAAGTACATCATGCAAAGAATGTCCCCGCAGATACTTTTGTCCAGTAAGATGAAAATAATATTACAGTAAAACCTGTCTAATCTGAATGCCACTGAGATTTACCAAATGTGTTCAGATTATCAGGTGTTCACATTTCAAGGTTTTCAATATGTGAGTCTAACCAAATAGGGACATAGAAAAGTGTTCACATTGAGAGGTGTTTGGATTTACAGGTTTCTCTGTACATTTAACACAGCTATTGTAAATGCTATGTGTAATATGAAGTTGGGATAAGAACAGGGTGGGCCAAAAAACGCCACTTTTTTTCAAAATGCTATAACTTTTTTAATTTATTAAATTGTTCTTTGTATTCGTTGCAGTGTCCTCAATGTGATCCCCAGCCTTGTCCCCCAAGGGATATATGTCCCGCGGGTAGTAGTAGGGCAAAAACATGTGATGCCCCATGGTACATTGCTCAAAGAGATGACTGTGTGATGTCAGAAGAATTTATTGCTCTCATAGCAGGCTGTAGCGCAGGTATTTAGAGCTTAATGTATATTGCAATTTATAATGATGTCCTTGTACAATTTACGTATAATTTTGTGTTTATAGATGATATACATTATATTCAAAGTAACATACCCAGATAGCTATATCACTGACATGAACATATTTGAAGTATGTATGTTATTTTCAACAGTTGAATAGTGTACTTACATTATCAATCTCTCATTTTGGATTTTATTGACTTAACATTTTCAATCTCTCATTTTGGGTCTTATCCTTATAAATAGGATAGAATGTACAGATCAACAAAGTCATTCTTTTTAATTTGTATTCCAGTTGTAATAATTGCATTGATAGCAGGGTCTGTCTCCCTGTACTACAGCAGACGGTCACGTCAGTACCAAGGGATACCCACAGAAGACAGTGCTCCCCTAGTTAGAACCAGGAGTGGACCGATCTATTCAGGATTATAAATGTACTGTTTTGTGCGTTTTTGTGGGAATAGCAATGCAATGCATGCATTCCTATTTTATACATTTAGTCAAAACCAGGAATTCACAGATACATTTAGGACAATAAATTCTGTGATAACAATTCATAGATAACAATGCAACGCTTGCATTCACGATTATATACATTTAGTCAAAACCAGGAATTTACAGATACATTTAGAACTATAAATGTACATCTGTCATGTCTGTATATTACTCAAGGAATTCAATACCAATGCAACGCATGTATTCATATTATACAATTGGTCAAAATCAGGACACATATCTTTATAAACATTGCAGATGCACCAATATGTATACAGTACATTCCCTTTTCTACCCTGACATAAGATACTTTGATAATTTCACAAATTAATTAATTCAAGATATTTTTATTATTTCTATTTTGTAACAATCCTTGTTTTTACAAATGCCATGAGATGTTACCAAAGGAAGTATATTTAACGTACAAATGTATGTAAACGTTATGCATTGGAAGGTTTTTAGAAACAGTGTTTAAACCTAGGGAAATATGTGTGTGTATATCTATCAAGCAACCATAACCATTTCTCAAGGAGCTGGACTGGGATGGATATTTTCTCTGTATATCCATGATCTTAGAGATAGATTAACAGATACAGAGAATATCCATCTCACTTCATAGATACAGTGAATATTCTCATATGTTATGAACTGGAACCTCAGTTTATATGGATGCATCTACTTCTGATGTATATTGTAAGTGTACTCGTATACATCATATGAAAACAACACTTTGATGTAATCTCAGTGTATGTCATTTTGTTGATCAGAATCTTTTGTTTACATGTGCAATTTTAGTTTAGATAAATAATGGTAAAAACCTATAAATTATAGATACCATTGTTTGCAAATGACTGAATGAATATGTATATTATTAGATGTACATGGTTCTGATGTGATGTTTATTTGGTAAAGAATAGCTGTTTAAATTTATTTATATTAGATTTAGTTTTAAAAAATCTAGATAACTGTCTAATTAAACTGTTCAATTATATATCTGCTTTAAATATAATAGGCTCATTAGCAGTTAGCGGATTATTGATGTAGATGTTATATTGATCATCACCTTTGTATTGGTTTTTATTTTATAATAATGCTGTAATTTATGTAATCCAGAGTCCCTTTCCAAGAGGCATACTTCTTGATGGCACAACCATTTGTCAAGTTTAAAATTAATTTTGTGTAACCTATGTTCAAGGGCCATGTACAGAATAGAGAGGCTGCCCAGATATTCTAGTAAATGATGCCTGTAAAGTTTCCTATATTTGGGCTTTTGGATAATTAGTCAACACCTCTATTCGAAACAAATTTTCAAAATGGCTATTTTTGGTCTCAGCCCCGAGTTGAAATTTTTTCTAACATGGTTACACTATTCAAATTGGATGAAACTATGTTTTTTAAAGGATCCCTATCCATTGGGACATCTTAAAAGAATGAACATTTTTAGTTGGGATTGACAGTTCTTGAATTAAAATTTTCTTGTTTCAATCATTATCATTATTTTTAACTGCTAAAGTCATAGCAAATGGGGCAGTAATAAGTTCATACTGTATATATAATCACATCTTGATTCTCAAGGTTTCCATTGCTCCAACTGTTATGACCACATTGGAATTCGAAGATGATATAATGAGACAATATTAAATGCACTTTGAATGTGATAAACGCACAGATTTCAACAGATTATTATTTATTATTTATCCACAATAACAACAGTACAATAATATGTATATATTTGATTCTATGCAAAGCCATTTCTTGCGATGTTAATACTGTAAAGTGGGTTAATGTGGTGTCACTAATTTGGCATTTTTGTAAGTTAAGAAAGTTTAACATTTAGTTGAAATATATTTTGTATGTTAATAACTTGAACTTTATAGATATCACAGTTTGGTATTACAGTAAATGATACCTGGAAATAGATATAAAATGTGTATAGTAGGACAAAAAGATAACTTGAGATTGCTTGACATTAGCATGGGACAAAATAATCATTTTGAATTTCACACACACATTCCTGTTCATGAATGTACATGTATATACATTAATATCAAAATGTTCATTTTTCTATAATCACATTGAAGTGATAAATATTGTTAAGCCATAACTCTTGTAGAGTAAATCCCCCCAGCCAAATTTTTCCCAAATCATGCAGTTTCTGACCATTTTGATCACTGATCAAGTGATGATGGGCCAATATTGTCAAAACTGAACACCAATAACAAAAGCTGGCTACAGGCCTGACCATTTTCTGTCACCAGCGCTGGATGTTCAGCATCAGTAACAGTGTTCAGCATCTGTAATGATTTATTACATTTTGATTATTTGAATTGCTATTTACATGGGTACGACCATTTTGTATCATTTGTTATGTTAATGTAGTGATGATATATTTCTCACTGATTGTTTAAAATAAGTACATGCGCATCTGTCTCTGACAGGTTGTATTAATAGCCTTGGTTTTAAAACATAGAGATTGTACATTTTATAATCTGTATACTACTGTTTTAAGTTTTTCTTGATGCACGTCATTGTATCTGTACATGTTTTTGAAATATGTATGCAGTATAATATAAACTTAATGAAATGACAAATAAAAAATGTGTTATTTTAAGTAATTTTGTCTTTGTTTGTTTCTATTTGATGGTTGTACTTGATTGAGTTGTATACCAGCTCTGCAATTTGAGATAGCTTAACGTTTGCACGAGAGAATGTTTAGGGTGGTGTTTAGAATTTATTGAGGTAAGAAATATGTGTGTGGCCAGCGCTGATATTTTTCAACTTTTGAAGTACGAGTATAACTTGTTTTTTCTATTGAAGGCTCCCAAGACCAGAACGTAGAGATGGCCAAGACCAGAACGTAGAGATGGCCAGATAGTAGAGATAGTCTTGGTACTTGATCAATTTTATGAATGTAGTACATGCCATCCAATAACCTGTAAAACGCAAAAGTGGATTATCTTAGAATTTTGGGGGAAAAATGAGAAAACAGAAGTTCCTTTTTAAATGGGAGATTTCTTTGAAGAAAATAGGAGAAATAAAACAGAATATATCTATACGAAATATAAAAAATAGCATGGGTATGTGGCTGAGTAAACAAAGATGTTTTGTTGTTTGAATACAAAATAAGAAGATGATACAAATAAACATTCCCAGGGTATCTCTAAATATAAACCTGTGACTCATAATCAGGTGTTTTTGGTAATGCAAACAAATGCCTGTTTATGTTTTATAATATATCTTTTGACACATGAAATTTTGAAGAATAACTATTCTACACAAAGGAAACTTTTGGCCATTTTCTCAATATGACTGCATAAATAAAAAATCATAGAATGGTCTTTTTTCCATATAGCTTTGAAATCTTGTTAAAGTCTCTGTGTGTAATTTTCTATCAAAACAACTTTGATTTGCACTGTTATTTACCTTTATTCAAATTCTAATGATTTTCTTGTCTAAAAAAGGCTGGGCTAAATCCCCATTGACACAATGCTGAAAAACCTTCAAAAGTTCATTTACTCTCACAAGGATCACAATTTTAATGTGAAATCACAATCCACATGTCAATAAGATAATATAGTTTCATTCCAATGATGTTTTAAGTTGACCCAAATGGAATTACTTCTTAAATCAAAAAATTAAGTGACTCTGGCAATCCATTTACATGTATTCTAGCACTACCCTAGCCCTACCAATACCCATGATGCCATCTATTTTCCATTTATATGGGAAAAGGTCAATTAAAGAATAATGATATTACATAAAAGACACAAAGCTCAGAATCTGGATTTGTAGTAACCATGGTTTGTGTTGCCTGGTCTGTTCACTAGCGTCAGTTGATCACAGTTCTTTTTCCATGTGTGCTTTCTTGTTTTTAGCCAAATATTGTTTGAGGTCAAATAGAATATATTGCCATTACTTTAAGATAGGTACGGTCTGACATACTACAACATGTATTTTTAATATTTTTCTGTGTACATGGAGCCTTTATTATATGAATTTAGAGTTTTAGCAAACCAATTTATTTGGCAGGCATGCAAGTAATACGGTTCATACTGACATTTTTACCCTTCCTGGTATGTAGCAAAACAACTTTTAATATATTGCATGCATTTTGATTTCTATTCTGAAGAGATGAATAGAGTATAAACATTCCATGTGTTCATCAGATCATTCTGTCCTCTGAGTGATAAAAATTAAACACATTGATAAATAATGAATTAAAGGTGTAGCCTATAGATGTGGATATTTACAGATAAGAATTTTAGCATTTGACTTCAAAATGGCCGTCAGGAAGTAGGTATCTTTTTTCTACCGCATCTTTACAGGGTGTCTATGAAAAAAGTATACCCAACTTCAAAGGAAGATTTCTAGAATCCTGAACAATATTTCTGAAATATATTCATTATATTTTTACATAATAGTAAGGCAACTTAAGTTTAAAGAACATATTAATAAAGCAATCCATAGATTTCCTCAATTGATGTGTATTCTAATTCTAATGTAATAAATGATTCAGATTCAGGCTTCTTTAATCCTTATAAAATTTAATAAAAGAGTAACCTTCATTTCTTTTTATATATATTTTTTATTTTCAATAATTTCAAGCTGTTTTACATAGTCTACTTATATAAAATAAGTTTGATAAAAAATAATATTACACCCAATAATATTTATTGAACATCATTATTTATACCCTTTCTCTTGAGTATAGTATTGAGATTCCCCTTTGCATTGGTTCATGTGGCTAACTTTGAATGTGGTTAGCTAGCGACTAACTTTGAATGTGGTTAGGTGTACATGCGACTAACTTTGAATGTGGTTAGCTATACAACTAACTTTTAATGTGGTTAGCTGTATATGTAGCTGGCTCATATGTAACTAGCTGTACATGTGGCTAGATGTACAAGTGGCAAGTGTACAAGCTGTACACAATATGGTAAGCTCCATATGTGGTGAGCTGTATATGTGGAGCAGCTGTATATGTGACTAACTGTACATGTGGCTATAGCTGTTTATGTTAAAAGCTGCATATGTAACTAGCTGTGGATGTGGCAAGCTGTATATGTGGCAAGATCTACAAATGATCAACTCAATATAATGAAAATGTGGTACCAAGAGGTGATTGAAAATAAAGAAATAAGGCATTAACATGCGAAATGTCACCACCTGCTATTTGTTACAGATGCTGAATGCTGTACACCACTATATCAAAAAAGTTAGAGACTATAACAATATGTCACCATTTATGGTGATGACAATATGTCACCATTTACGGTGGTGACAATAACAATACGTCACCATTTATGGTGATGACATAATTATGACAATTTTTAAAATTTTGTGAGAATACTTCGCTGAATGTTGATTTAATATTCCTTACCCTATTTTATAAACTTAGCTACAGTAACAGCCAGATGGCTAGCGGTTTGTTAAAGTTTACTGATGCAATACAATACTAACTTATATGGCTTATATTACATGTAGGCAAATAGTGTGAGCTAAAAGTAAACAAAATCACAACACAGTCACCTTAGTGTTTATGCATAAAAAACTATTGTAGAATGTATATGTTAAGGCATTAATAATGTAGCATGCAAAATGTCACCACCTGCCATTTGTTACAGACACTGAACAGCAGCCACCAAACACCATCCAAAAACAGATGGAGACCATAACAATATGTCACCACTTGTGGAGGTGACATAAAATGTCAATAATGTATTTCCTGACAATTCAAGAGCCCTTATATTACTTTTCATATAAGGAGATACTCTACAAAGTATACAAGATACAAAAATACAACTCAAGTTTACACAGACTGTTTGCGTATTTCAATCTACATGGTAGATATTTTCTATGACTTAGGGGCAAACTGAGGCCTTTTCTGCAGCTCAGCTCGTCTTTTATAAAAGTTTGACCTAGATTGATCATTGGCCTTGGGAAAGTTTTTTCTTTGTACAGGATTGTTATTGGACACAGGTTGATTGGGGGCAGCTTGAATGGCATTGCCACCCTGTTGTCTGTTCCTTACATTTGGGGTCCGTGGCCTTGGGAGGATTCCAAGTGGTCTTTTTGGCCAACTTCGGATTTGCATTAATTTCATGGCTTTACGCTCAATATCCGCAATTTCAGTGAGTATCCATGTTAATTGTTCATCCAAAAATTCATCAATGGTTGGCTTGTCATATATAAGAACCATGTTATTTTTAAAAGATGATATATAACTCATTGTATTATATTTAATCTCATTCATTGGCTTAAGCATATTATCTAATTGCCAATTGTTGGAGAAATTATGTTTTATGTTATAAGGTGACATCCACCCATAAAGGACACTTTGTCGACTATGAGCAACCTCGTCAAACTTGTAGTGTAATTCACGGAGTTGGTACACACTACTTAGAAGGCTATTCCCTGGGTAAGAACAATGTGGATAAATTGCTGGAGGGGGGTCCCTTATTGATAAATCCATGTGCGGGTCACATCCAAGGGTTCTAAATACCTGTTTTTGTAACGTTTCGTTCATGTTTCCATGGAGCATAATCGCGAGGGTTAGCCCCAAAGAGGGAATAGTAACAGGTAACAGTTCACATAATCCTGCAAAATGATCATATCGTTGCCAACCAGTGAGAGCAATCCCTCGGAAATTCACCAGTTTTCGAGATTCAACGATATTCATCATGTTGATCCAATCAAGATGGTTGTTTATTCTCTCCTCTATATTTGTGGTGTATTCAAGAACGCCACCTGCTCCTTTGAAGGCACTTGCCGCCCACACATTCGGGAAATGTTTTGCATATTTCTCCCAAATGCTCATCTCGAGACGTTCTACCACATTGTATGTATACAGCCAGATCATGGGCTCCACAAGTCTTCCAATTTTATACTTCTGAAAAAAGGCAATATATAACATAGAGTTATTCAACCTGTGCTCCATGGGTACATCTCAAAAACATATGAAAGTAAATTATTTTAAAGTTGAGAGAGGTGTTATACTTGACAGGTTTAACTGTATTTTTTGAAAGGTGGGGGAGGGGATGCTAGACATGGTTTCTTTGTGAGCTAGATCAATGTCTGGGATGGTGGGGAATTGTTTCTATTTGACTAGATGAACTCAAGATATCCTTTTCTAACTATCATTTGTAGAATATGGTACTACTGCTTATATATTTAAGTAGTGATTATTTATTTGATTTGGGAAAATATTTCCAAATGAAAGTACCTGTAAGGATTCTTCATCCATCCAGCGAAACATATCATCCCACATAACTGGCTGCACGTGTGGATACTTTGTCTTCACATACTGGGCTATTGTAGAAACATGCCGCACAAACAAGTCATTCTTGCTGATTCTCAGGCTGAAATAATATGTATGTTTTTTTATTTTTTTTATTTTTATTAATTTATAATATATGAGCCTGGCCATAGGAAAACATGTCTTATCACAAAAATTAAAATTGTTCTACAGAGCTAAAACTGTGCCCAAGATTAAGAGGGAAATGTGCTAAATTCAAATCCGACATTTTGGTCTATATATGCAAGGGAAAATTGTCATGTCTCATTTGAAAGATCTCTTTGTGCTTTTTAAGATAAACAACAAATAAGAATATTGAAAAAATCTGTGATAAGACCGCTTTTCCTGTGGCCTGGCTCATATATGTGTGTGATGTACATTGTATACAGAAAAATATGTATAACAGGCAGGATTATAGTGTATCTATCTACATGTATATCCAATATTTTTAATTTTAATTAGGTTCTTTTTAATATTAATTTCTTAATTTCAATTATAAAATCTTTCAGTACTTTAAAAAAATATGAGGCACATATTTTCCTCAGGATAAACCCTGTATTCAAACCCACCTCCATGTACATAACATTTATTTTCACCAAAATGTGCAATACTATTTGAATATGAACTATGGCAAAAGGTGAATGACACTTAAATGGCCAAATAATTATGATCCACACATAAGGTGAATCCATACTGTATCTAGTTGCAGCTAGATCAAATAGGAGTTCAATTACTTACTGTGCCATCATATCTTGTGACATTTGGGACATCCCCAAGTGATAGACCTCATCACAACCAATGTGAAGATAACTGATGTCAGGATGTAGTGCCATCATCTGAAATGACATCATTTTGGGACTGGTCAAGATTTTGCTCTATATTCACGCACTTACCCACAAAAATCAATTCAAAATATTTGGGGAGAGGGAAAATTTCCACAACCATTTCAATTGTTCACACACATTAATTTTTTATGGAAACCAATTGTTTCATTTTTCAAATCAATAAATGTTCAACTTTATTTTTTGGGGGGAGGACAGAGTAGGAGGTTAATATAATATTAAATATGATGAAATTAAGTAGATTTTAGGACAATTCATAGAAGCATTTTAATGGGAGACGAGTAACTTGAATCTTGATTTGAAAAAAAGAATTCCAGTTCTCAGAGTGTGATAATCAGTTAATGACAACAGTTAATGACAACTTTCTTGTAATTAAAGGCCCTGTGCCACAACAAATTTAAATAGATCCCCATACAACTTGTCCAGTTAATTTTGATACCAACCAGTTTTTTCTCTTGGAGATTAAGTTAATGCTACAGTCTGCATTACATTTATTATGTTTGAACAGTCTTGCCTTAATTTGTTGTAATTAAATATAAAAACAGTTCTGTACCTGATCTATCATCTTATAAACTAACAGAATGGCTTCCTTGTTGGCGGGACAGAGAGCAGATGCGTAGTCCTGAACTTCCCTCAGGTGTATGAACTCTCTGTGTTTCAATACAAACTCCATATGGCCAAATGTCTGAACAAGCGGCATTATTTCCAGCCCATTTTCTTTGGCCAGTTTATGCAATTCGGCAATATTAGCTTGGGTGTAGCTATTTGAAGCTGCTATAACACTGAGATCGCCAGAGTAAGGAAACATATCTTCATACTCAATAAGGAGACCGTTAGCTCCTAGCTTTTTGAATACTGGAAAAATTTGACGGAAGTATGCAAGGTTTGGTGGTGCTCCTTTTAGGTCTAAATGAACAAGGCGCTTTTGGCCCAGAAGTTGGCTCCGAATGGAGACCTTTGGAAGGACATCGGAGTGTACTTGCTCTTCTGTTTGAGCAGGCTTGTTAACAGCATTATCATCTCCATTTTCCTTTAATTGTGGTTCATTTTTATCAACATTATTTTCATTTTTCCTTTCTTTGAGAATAGGTTTTTGGATTTGTTGGGGAGCTCCTTCTTGATCCTTCACATTATTTTGCTTATCCTCGGTCTCATGTTCTTTATCACTCTGTCCATCATGTATGGATTTGAGCTGTTCACGTTGCTCTTCTTCTCTGTGTTGCTTGCGTAACAAGGCACCTTCCCCACTGTCTCTCAGATGGACTTTAATTGGTTGTTCAATGTTGGCAACAGGCTTGCTTCCATGGGACAAATACGTAAAGAGACTGATGAACACGAGTCCTGTGGCAATCAGCAAACCAAACAATCGTGCCTTCTTCTTTAAACTCATTATGGCCCTGAAATATTCCAAAATGGATTTAATAAATATGTATATGATTTACAGCATTAGGGGTCTCAAGCAGGTCATGTGATAAAGTTATCCAATAAAAATCTCAGTAAAGTCTAATAAATATCATGTCTTTTTATAAAGGGGTATTGCCATACAGATAAAAATATATGAGGCAAATTTAAATATACATGTATGTACTTACATGGCAAAATTGATCTCTTAAAAGACATATTTTCTATTATATAAAAAATATTAAATATTCACATCATCCACGGATGATGTATAATCATTAACCACACAGCTGTGAAAAAATTAAGTAAATGTCACCAGTGCTAAACACCTCTCTTCCCCAGTCAATTTTCTGTTAAAAGTTGTTAATTAATCACTTTCTATTCTCATTCCCAAATGAAATCAAATTCATTTTTCCACACTCTTGATATTTAGGCTTCTGTGATCCAAAGTTTGATGGAGCATACTAAAAAATTCTGTTCTTTATAACTGGCTCCAGAAGGTCGTGACTTTTATAAGACTGGAGATGCACTTTAACATTATGAACATGGACAGATCCTAAAACTGAATAATTTTAGACTAATCTTTGATAATCTGAGATGCTTTATGCATTTTTCATACCATATATTCTCTACCATTTGTACATGCCAAAAAACACCTGCCACAAAAAATAAGAATATATCCCAATAGGCAACCCTGATAAATAAGCAATATGAGAGTAAAACATTTTAAAATTATTTTTTAGTTCATCATTTGAGCTGTTTATTAATAAAAATGGAAATTGATGCAATTAAAGCAGCAATACCCCTATGAAGAGGCTACCAGCAATATCTAGTGAATCATTGAGTTGACAATATTGGTATACATCTTTATTGAATATTTTTGCGAGATTACTTCTGAAATGATTAAAATCTCTATTTCTACACTTTCATAAATCAAGAGAGTTGTGATCTTAATTCCCTACATGGCTCTTGTGAAGTTTGATCGATGGAGCAATGGAACGAATATTCTCTAGATTAATTCTGAAGTTCTTGCATTTAATGCAATCTTCAAGTAGTTTGCATACAACGTCTTTTTTCCTCTCCACAGATCTTTAATTCGGTTTTTTGGAGATTCAGAGAAATTGACACCACTCATTGAAATTAATTTCTCCAACTACTAGTATAAACTATAACTTTAAACTATTTTAAAAATTTTGAGAAATATTTACGCAGGTATAAACGTCATGATCATGATAAACTATTTTATATCATTTCTTCGGAAATGTCATGATATTTTGTCAAGGAGGATTGGCTCCCAGAATGCAATGTCGATATTCATTCGCTTCATTCGGTACACCATACTAAGCCTCAATTACTAATGCCTTGGTCACATTTGCTCCGATCCATCAACCGGCGCCCGGCCGATTGAGTGTTTTGTTCAATATTGTATTAAATTTTGAACAAAATACTCAATCGCCCGGGCGCCGTAGTGAAAATTGGAGCAAATGTGAATAAGCCGGATCTTGAAGGATGTCATGATTACAAAATTCAGACTTCAGATTTTGAATCACAAATAAAAAATTTCAATAAGCACAAGAAGTGATCAAGTTATTAGCTCAAATCTTTTGGATTGATGATTATGATTTTATGCATGGCCAGTTTATTGTCAAACAATAACACCATTTCCATTGAAAAATATCGAGATTGCATTCTGGGAGCCAATCCTCTTGATATTTTTTATTAGGTTTGGTAACCAGCTCAACCAAAATTTCATCAAATTAGAGGTAATAAAACGTGCGGATGACATATATGACTTTTAACTGTGTTACCTAAATTAGTAATAAAATTGACAATATAAATCATAGTGCTCTGTATATGATTCATCAAGGACATTAATACATTATTACCACCATCATATAATGTTAATATTAGATGAGCTCAGATAAAAAAGAAATTGTCATAACATCAGAGCATGTTGCTTTTGAAACAGGAAGATGTAATGAGTATCAATAATTGAATACCAAGTGTTCTGAAACAATGCATAATTAAGAATGCATTATGAAAAATAAAAAATTGCAAATTAGAGAATGTTTGATATTACTGTATGTGATTAGATTCAATAAAAAATTATATTCAATAATACTAACAAAGAATAATAATTATACCAGCTGATTAATTTCCTGCTTTTTCTCACATTAGATCCACTTTACTTTCCATATTTCCCAAATAAGCCCATATCATTTAATCCATGACAGCACTTGAAAGACTCTACAAGACAATGGTTCATGGAAAAATATGCTTCATAAGACTTTTTATCTCACAAACTATGATTCCCAATGTAATGGTATATATTTTAAGAACTATAAATGCATGGACATACTTTGGGTGTTATACTGATATTGACTCATGGAAATATAATTTGTGAGACTGCCTGTAATGAGTCAGTCTGAAGAAATATCTGTGATTGACATTATGCTGATCAATGAGGCCCTGTGAATATTCTTTGAATATTGGTGACTTGCTCTTTACTATGCTTCAATCGAAGATGATATATTATTCATGCATAGCTAGGCAAGATGTGTACGATTCAAGCCAATCCAAACACAGTATTTCATATAACTGCAGTGCATTATATCACCGCATTCAAGGTCACTTGTTGAAACAGTTTTCAATGTGACAACTTGACTCTTCAGATTGAAATTGACACTTTGCCAACTTGACCCTTACAAAAAGTTTCATTGAAAATATGTTCTATTAATGATTTTATATCTTTAAGGTGATTTCAAAGAAACTATTTTGCAATGTGTGAAAAGAATTTAAGCCCAAGACTCAATGTATTGTAGCTGCTTCAATCCACTCAGGCATTGTTTCCTAAACTTTCCATTCCTGCTACACGGTCCTGCAAATATTTGGAAACAGCACATTCAACAGAATGATTCAACACAATGCACTTAGTCAAGGGGTTAAATCCTTAAATCAAGTACTCATATTCTCTTGTTATGATTGTTAACACTTTCCGTCCCATCTTTATCTTCCAAAACTATCAAATTTTTTACTTATTTTTCTAACAGAAAGTCATTACCAATAATTAAATCACTCCCAAAAGCAACCTTTTCCAGATTCCAATAATAGACTGCTACTATACATCATGCAAGATCACCGTATCTATCAGTTCTTTTCTAAAATAAAGGCCCATTGGATGTTTAAAGGAAGGATGTGATGAGAATGAGAATGGCTCCTATTACATCATTATAATGTCAAAATGAAGTATATATATCTTCGTTATCGGCAATTAAATATGTTACATAGAACGCCCTTATGTCTACTCTTGCTTTATTGTAAACTTGGAATAAATATCCACTCAAATATAAACATTATGATACTGATACTTACATACTTGGAGTCATATAACAGATGTGATTTATTGCGACATAAAAATTGTATTGTGGCTGTTTTTATATCACTAGTTAACTTTTTCTAGCACACGTTTGACAAACCTCGGATATACTTTTCAGATCATTTCCATGTTGCTTGTTTGCATACTACTCACAGGCCCGTAGCCAGGATTTGCCAAGGGGGGTTCAGTTTTCAAAAATTTCCAGGGGGGGTTCACATTTGACAATTTTGGCCCAAATATGACTAAAATCACTTGAAAAGTGCTCAAAATGGTGAAAAACTGCATGATTTTGAAAGAATTTTTGGCCAGGGGGGGGGTTCGCCCGAACCCTGCGAACCCCCCCCTGGCTACGGGCCTGACTCATTTATAACTGCTTTCGCTCAGAACATGGTCTTGTCCTGATTTATCATAATTATGTTTGCCTAACATTCTGGCCTATGACCCCCATCCTTGAACAAAGCTATCCTCGGTGTGTTTTAATTTTCTAAATGTACTGGCTACTAGTTCTATAATATACACATACCAGTTTAATACCAAACAAGAAATCTTTTTCAATTCTAGCTATTTTGCTTATTGCTTGTTTTAGATAGAATATAACTGAACATGCAGGTCTAATGAGGTGAAATAGCTGATATTTAAAAACATCATCTTGTTTACTAAATACTGAAACCTAAGTATAAAAATAATCCTAGATTGCTAAAAGTATTTAGGTGTGTAAAAGTGGCCTTTATTCTAACACTACACAATTAGTTAAGAAAAGCATTTTTTCATGGAAAGTACTTTGTTCATCCTTGGTTATAAAAATCTAACTGGATGCCTAAATGTAATTGTTGACATAAAAAAAGATCATTCTTGAACACCATAGTTACCTTTCTTTGTCTTCCTTCAAGAATCAGTGTAATACAAGCATCTGGAAACTATCCAATCTTCAATGTTGGTTATAAATTCCTAAATAATATGCATTCCTGTAAACATACAGCATATGTTACTAATGCTCCAGTGGTATAACCTACAAAGGCCTAATAGACTACCTCTTTCAATTATGCTTGCTCGTGCTATCTAATAAAAACATATGAATCCACAAAAGCAGCTAGCATCGCTATAAGTTTAAAACGTTCAGTTATTTCCTTTTTAGTTATTTTTATCTGCATTTAGACTGATTTCAGGCCATGTAATGTAACTCAGTTGTGTGTGTGTATGGCACACAGCAAGTTCTCCAACAGATGCCACAGCAGGCAATTTATGTTAAAAACAAGCCTCTAATCTGGCAGTTTATCATGTGAAACTTGAGCTCTCCTTCTGGTAATATACACCCTCTACACCTCAATCTTGAAAATTGACCACAACAGAAGCATCTCTCTACACACTATAATCTGCATCGGATTAGGGAAATATTGAGCATTAACATGTACCTCTATCTATTTAATCTAAAATGGCTAGATTCGCGTTTTTTCTTGGCTAAACTTATCTCTATCTTAATCTAAAATGGCTAGATTCACGTTTTTTTCTTGGCTAAACAACTATGTCATAATTAATTACCAAAATCAGAGATTTAGTTTTCCCTTTTATTTGTAAATTACACTATCTGCATTGAATATCACATTTCACTGAACATAAAACTACATAACATATAAACATTCAGGGCTCTGAAGCACCAGCTTCTCACGTTACAGTGAAACATGTATATATGAACACCTCTCAATGTGAACACTTTTTCTCTGTCCTAATTCTGTCATATCCCATAGACTTACATATCAAAAATCGCCGTCATATGAACACCTGCTAATCTGAACACTGTTCAGATTAGATAAGTTTCACTATACCCTGCTTGCAGAGTCTAGTTAAACTACACTCTGCCTAGTAGAGACCATATTACAGTTTAGTAGCCCCGCCCCCACGACTGGTACCGGTGACAGTTTGGGTAAATCACTTTTGACCTACGCACTGACCTTCCACCAATCAGCGAGCTTGAAGAAACATGCGCCAAATGCGTTCTAATTAAATATGCGCATGTCATTGGTCAATTCTGGGCTCAACGATGACGTAAGAAGGAATGACCATATAAAGAACGTCGGTCAAATTTGGCCGACGAACACTGATTGGCGCGGTGAGTTCACAGGTTTATTTTAGTTTGAAAGAGTGAAAACGAAGCTCTCTTTTAAGAAGTGAAGTCAAACGAATGCAAAGGGTAGTTTCACTATAATTCAATGTATTTTATCAAAAACTATGATGAATATGACCTAAAGCTGAACATGTGTCAATTCATTGCAATTCATATGATATCACATCCAAGCCCTCTTTTGCCAGACTATCAACTATAGTTCCCTATAATAGAAAAGTATTAGGTTCATTTTTGGGGGTTGGCATCAAGGGCATGTCTCGAGGTAAGTTTATTTTGTTGCCAGAGTTTTACCTGAGTATGGTTTGACTGGATTAAAACCCCAAGTTCCTTTGCTACTAGTTACAAAACAGAAAGAGCTGAGATTGACTTTTATATTTTACGCTATTGATTTTTAGAAAAGTTTATGCATGTTGATAAGTTCCTTAATGGATTTCTACATCAGAATCATTGATGAACAATTATAAACTCAGACTTAACTTGGAAAAAACAAAAGCAATGTGGATCGGAAGAAATAAAAATAATATTGAAAAGCATTTAGGAATCAGCTGGGAAGTAGGTGAAAATGCTAAAATAAAAATACTGGGGACATACTTTTTAAACCACAAACCAGCAAATTTAATAGAATCAAATTGGACTGAAAAAATTGATAAGATGGAATGTTTAATGAAAAATTGTCACTGGTTGGTAAAGTCTGTGTTGTTAAAAATTTGATTGCATCACAATTGTTGCATATGTTAATGGTTTTTAAATGTCCAGACAAATACTTAAAACAGGTCAATTCAAAAATACACAAATTTATATGGAGTAAATCTGGTAAAGGTTCAGAAAAAATAAAACGTAAAGTGTTGAGACAGCTTTACTTGGAATCAACATGGTTGATATATTTGTTAATCAAGAGGCACTTATTATGTCCTGGGTCAGGCGTTTTATCGAGGATGAAAACTCAAATTGGAAAAACATGAGTAAAATGATGTTATCAAAGATTGGATTTGATTTCAGTATTTTTCATTTCAATTCAGACTTAAAATTTATAAAACCTCAAATTCTATCTCACCATATTACGCAATCAGCGAGACTATATGAGATGATGACCATCATCTGACCAGCACTTGTTGACCGACTTCTAGGCCATGCACAGCTAGCTACTTAGATAAGGATTATCAAGTACCTTGAACTTTTAACAATACTTCTTCCAGGAATTGGATATTATAATTACGCATTTACCTCATAGTTTTAGATATATTACAAACATTTGAGGAAAAATGTCAGAAATGAATGAAAAAATGGAAAAAGAACTTTTAGATGAGGATGAAGAATGCCAACAATCAGTCCAGGGTGACATAAGTGGAGATGAACAATCAGTCCAGAAAAATTTCATGGATGCTCTTATGGAACGATTGGATCGAATAGAGAAAAGGCAGGCTGAGACGCAGCCTTCTACTTCAAAGCGTTTGAAGCGCACAATGGATTACCAATCTCCGCTGACTAAGCTGTACTCCACAGCTTCGGATCCAGAAACATCCCCTGATGAGGAATCAGACGACTTGGATGATGATCAAAAATCCCTTTTAGGGAAATTGAGAACTACCCAGAGACCCAATAGAGAATCTGGGAGTAGTTCTGCTGGGATAGATTTCTCAGCATTAGAACTAGAGTTTGGGGATTCAGAGCCTCTTGGCCCACCCCTGCCTGAAGAATGGGCAAAGTTTGTAAACAAACGATTCAGTACAAAATTATCTACTGATACACTGAAGGCAAGAATGAAAGAGATCAAAAAGCCTGAAAATGTGGAAAAAATTGTCCCGCCAGAGACAAACCCTGAAATAAAACGAAAACTAACTCAGGGAAATGAAAAAAGAGACCAAATTTACATTAACATGCAGACAACACTTGGTCGGGCTGCCATCTCAATGGTGAATGCAGCTAAGCCATTGCTTCAGAACTCTTCCACAGAGGAAGAAAAACAGGAGGCCGTGAAACAATCGATGCAAGCGATTGCACTCGTTGGCCATGTATTTTCAAATCTGAATATTACAAGACGTGAATGCATGAGGCGCACTTTACAGCCAATGTACCAGCCATTATGTAGTACTGATAACCCTGTGGGCAAATATCTCTTCGGAGATGACCTGTCAAAGTCACTGAAGGACCTCAAACAGTCAGACCAATTAGCGCGAGACGCACACAGGTCTTCAAAAAACTGGGGAGGCCAGAGCAGAGGATTCAAAAAGAAATCTCAGGACTGGTCCAAAAAAGGAAAAGGAAAGTGGCAGGAGAACAAGAACTCTCACAAGAGCCACTTCAAGGGCAAAAAAGAAAAAGATTAAAGGTAAGTGAAACCTTTGTTGATAGCAAATCTGAAAAAACAGTTGACTCAGATAATATGTGCAAAACTAAACAAAATAAAAAACATGCTCTGTATAATGAACTAGAATGCTCTGTTGCAATGTTCAAAGCTGGCCAAATTAAAAATAAACTATCAAATTGGCAAAAATTAACAACTGACCCTGACATATTAGGGATGATTAGTTCTGGGGTAAAAATTGAGTTTATTGACTCTCCACCCAAGCAAAAATATATGCCTAAACAAATTGAGTTCAGCAAAGAACAAATACTAATAATTGACGAAGAAATTGCAAAGCTTCTTAAAAAGGGAGTCATTAAGCAGTCTTTCCATGAAGCAGGAGAGTACATGTCAAATATTTTTTTGAGAGAAAAGAAAGATGGGGCTTTTAGAATGATACTTAACCTCAAGTCTCTCAATAAACACATTTTGTACAACAAGTTCAAAATGGAGACAATAATGACTGTCTTAAAAATGGTTAAGAAAAACTGCTTTATGGCTTCATGTGACTTGAAGGATGCTTTCTATACAGTGCCAATACATAAGAATGACCAAAAGTATCTGAAATTTATTTGGAAGGGGAAAATTTTTGCCTTTACATGCTTTCCAAATGGGCTATGTTTTTGTCCACGAAAATTTACAAAATTGATGAAGCCAGTTTTTTCACATTTACACATGCAAGGGCATTGTAGTTCATATTACATTGATGATAGCTATTTACAAGGGGACACATATGCAGATTGTGTGAAAAATGTTAATGCAACATGTGACCTAATGAGCAATTTAGGCTTTACTATACACCCTGACAAATCGGTACTAGTTCCTACACAGAGATTAGAGTATCTTGGGTTCATTATAGATTCATTAAGTATGAAAGTGTACTTAACAGACAATAAGTCTACAAACATCAAAGCATCATGTAAAGCTCTTCTACAAAAGTCAAAATTCTAAATTAGGGAAGTAGCCAAAGTTATAGGATTGATTGTATCATCCTTTGTTGCTGTAACATATGGTCCATTGTACTTTCGGCACTTGGAATTAGATAAAAGCCAGGCTGTAAAATTATCAAAGGGCAATTATGATGCTCCCATGTCCCTTTCCCAGGCTTCTAAACAAGAGTTACAGTGGTGGTCACAAACTGATGACTTGTCAGGGAAAAACATTATTCAAAGTAACCCAGACATGACCCTAATTACTGATGCATCATTATCAGGATGGGGGGCAGTTTTCCAAAAACAAAAGACAGGGGGACCTTGGTCAATTGAAGAAGCAAACATGCATATTAATTACCTTGAAATGCTCTCTGTATTTTTTGCTTTGAAAAGCTTTTGCTCCAAAAATTCTGATGTTCATGTGAGAATACTCTCTGACAATATGACAACTGTGCAAGTACTTAATAACATGGGCTCTAGTCACTCAACCAATTGCAATGAATTAGCAAAGAAAATCTGGTTGTGGGCAAAAGATAGAAATATCTGGATAAGCTTAGCTCATTTGCCAGGTTCATTGAATATCGAAGCAGACACTGAATCAAGGCAAAAACATTTTTGGGAAAAAGAGTGGAAAATAAAACCTAACATATTCAATGACTTTCTGATATATTTTGAAGTGAAGCCTGATATTGACTTATTTGCCTCTAGGCTCAACAAACAACTACCCAAGTATGTTTCATATCGCCCTGATCCTGGTGCATTTGCTGTAGATGCCTTTACTATTGACTGGTCTGAAACTATGTTTTATGCATTTCCACCTTTCAGTTGCATTGGGGCCTTATTACAAAAGCTGGAGACAGAGAAAGCCAAAGGCGTGTTAGTATATCCAGA